TAAAATCATATTACTTTAAAATACCACTTATAAGTTAATGATAATTGAAATTGTCTACATCTTTGTTAAGATTAGTAATGATTCCTGAAACAAATGTCACTTTCTTAACCCTTTAACTCCCAAGATCTGATTGTTAATTCTCTCCTCTAGCTGCTAAACATTTCCTTGTAAATTAGTTATGAGAACTTGATGCTGGATCAAGATAGCAGCTTTTACCCGATAAGTTTGAATATTCTCATTGCCTGTTTGCAGAATAATGTATGGATATTGTAGGGAGAAATTTCATGTTAATCACTTCTGGGAGTTAAAGGGTTAACTGAGTCCTGATGCATTTTAGCTTTGTTGTGAAATTCTCAAGTTTATCTATCTCAGCAAGAGGCTTTTAGGCAGTGGTAACCCACTGCTTACTGGCTTTCATTGAAACACCTACCTCTTAGCTGGAGTGTCATTGGAATTTTTTTACATTTCTTTTTTTTTCTTTCAGATTCATCAGACCCATCAGTAAATTATAAATAGCACATGTGTAACCAGACTACAGGATGTAACGTAAGCAAACGAGTTGCTTTAAAAGAGCACACAGAGGCCATTATTATTCAATGATACTGGGGAAAAATATCCCTCCGAAAAAGCACAAGTACAGCAGAGGACAACAGCATACAGCCAAAAAAATTACGATCATAAGCAATGCCTATTTCATCTTTAATGTTTGAAAGCTCATAGAGGTTTAATAAGGCTGTGTGTCATGCCATTTAACTGGATACTGGAATGAATGGCCTTAAAAATTGTGAATATTATGTAATTACTACAGTTAACATTAGTTAACTTGGTCCTTGGTATTTAAACCATTGAATCATGGTATCTTAGGAATGTAATTTGTAGTAGTGTCTTTTGACTGTGCTTCAGAAATTGCTGACAAAGCAAATTTGACCTCATGAGGTTGGTTTGATCATGTTCAGCAATTTTCTGGTTTTGTTTGTCTGTTGTTTTTTCAAAATCCACAAATTTAGGTTTATGCTGTATTATTTGTATGCGGTAAGGTCTCGTATTCATTTTTTTTTTCCTTTTTCTGGTTAGACTTGTACATACTTTGGATAGCAACTGTGACATGTAGATAATTGCTAAAAGTTTATTTTTCATAATTTTTGTGTTTTGTTTTTCCATATCTTGTTTATGTTGTGTTAGTTCAAACCACTGTGTTGTTTTTGCTTGAGTGTTATTTAAAAACAAGCGGCAGTAAAATTTTTGCAGAATGTCTACTTGTTTTCTAAAATTATTTCTAAAGATGTTTGTTTGTAAATAAACTGCTGACTTTAAAAGATTAGGAAGGCAGTATAAAACATTGTTTTTGTCTAAGTAACTATTTGCAAGAAACTTTTGGGTAGGGTTTAATTTGCCCTATCAAGTTAAGTAATTAATTTTAGGAATTGAGTTTGTTTCATCTTTACTGTTGGGTCCTCAATGATTGTATTGTTCTGAGAAACTCTGATGTTGTTAGCTTCATGACAATTTTCAAATGACTAGCAATCACTCTTTCTATCACATTTTAAATTGGGAAAAATTTTGGTAACCTAAAATGATTTATTGTTCATACAATTGGTAGCAAACCACTGAATCACTTTTAATAGAGCCATCTTTTTTTTATAAATTTTACTTCAGGTTATCTAGAAAAGTTTTACTTTTTTCCTTTTTTTTTTTCTTTTTTCATAGAAGGCTTACGCAAATAACTGCGACAGGAATTTTTTGGTTCTTAAGAAATATGTGATCATGATTTTAACTAATTGTCATTGAGCATTTTAAATTACATGTCACTTCTATGTCATTTATTAGGAACGGTTGATGTTGGGCTGTTTATGTACAAAGAGGAATTCCCATGGATACAGTGCATTTCTTTGCATCATGCAGAAGACCACAACATTGAATTATTTGTTTGCATCCAAATTGAAGTTTGGGCAATCTTTAAATTTGAATTTGTTGGATCCATTAAACTTTATGTGCAGGCTGGAATTGTTATTTCAAAAAGAAAACATTATTTGGTAGTTTTACAGCAATTGACTTTTCTTGAAAAACTGGTATATTCCATGAAGTTAAGGGTATTTCGCAATTGGAGAAGAGTGCAGATCTTGTATCATTTTATTTGACTCAACAAATTTCATTTTCACTTTTATTTCCCCGAATAGTGGCCATGTACATATATCCTCAGGAAGTGTCAACTAAAATAACACCAGAATTGCTCATTAAATATCTTTTAAAATGAGAATAATATATAACTCTTCAAACATCTGTTCATCCTACAGTCTGTGACAGTAATTCATATCATGGCATTTGAAAGATTTAAAAACAAAAACACAAAAACAACCTAATGCTGGCATTGTCAATGAAAGTTTGTAATAGTATCTAAGTGCAGGTCATAGTAAAGTACAAGGTTTAGTAAATAATTATTAAATTGACCAAGAATATTGCATATACTATTACCATAAATACCTCACAAACATAGCATGTATTTCCTTCCACAGTCCTTTAGTACTCGAATAAGGTATCAGTTTATTGAATGTAAGACCTATGTAATACCAAACAGAATTATAGAAGTACATTTATAAGTGCTGTTAACCATTAATGCTTTGGGTACTCAGGAAGGCGTGCTATAAAAGGAATTATATGCCACCTGTAAGGGAATAGAATTCTGTTATCAAGAATGTATAGACCTAACTGTACTTGTTACCTTGTATTCCATGACTTTTAATGGGATATGGTTCAAGACATGAAAACTGTTTGACCATTTTTGGCACTAAAATTATTTGAAGCTCTTTACTGTAGAATCAAGGTAACTGATTCAAACAAGTTGAATGTTAAATTTATCATTTGTTTTCAGTGAAGGTGAACTTTTTCTCCTTAAAAAAATGAGAGCTTGCTTTAACTTGTTTACTGTTGTTCCTGTTGTTAATGAGTGGTGGAAACCTTTCTTTTGGAGCACCTTTCTTGTTGAAAGCATAAGAAATCTGTAGGAAGTATTTTTTAAGATGTCGTTAATAATTATTGTGTTATTTTCCTAGTTTAACTAAAATAATGTCCATTGTTACTAGGTGTGCAAGAAATGCCGAACATTGTTATTGTCAATTTAATGTCAATCTTATTTATAGAATGGTTTAAAAAGTACAAAAGAGTTAGGTTATTTTCATGACCTTTGAGGATGGACAACATCAGCTAGTACTGATGAAAAATTCATTGAGTGGCACAAGCTGATCACTTGCTGTGCAAGTTTTTAGCTTCCCTTGTCATTCCTCATATGTTCTGAAAGTAGATTAAATTTGCTTTAAGAAAATCAACATTGTTGGAGGAAATGGCTATTGTTAAATTTACTGAATGGATAAGCATCATGGGGTTAAGGTTTGACTGATAATTTTTTAAATGGTATTTATCTCTCTTACAAGTGCATTTATTCTCTTTGTAAGCAAATTATAGGCTACATTTATTGTTCAAAGCACCAAGAAATAAATTTAGGACAATAATTGTCCTAAATTATTGACTATTGACTGTTAAATACTTTTCTTTGAGGAAGTTCTTTTAAGAAATGAAGGTTGTGTTTTCCACAAAATTGCTTGTAAAGCACAAAAATTTTCTTGTTCTCAAGAACTTATTTCAAACCCCCCAAGAGCCTTTTCTCCTTTGAGGATTGTAGGAGAATTCAGTTCAATTTTAAATCCTGTATTTTGTTGAATATGTTCTGCCTGTTTTCAAAGAAGTATAGTGCAGGTGACTGTGATCTTAATTAATGGTTGTTGTTAAAACATAGTTCTCATTCTTCATCTTATTTAAAGGTTGACAACATTTGTTCCATCAATGTTGATTTTTCTTTAAGCTTTGTTGAAATCTTGTTAACCCTATGGGTTGTAGTGTTTATGATCACTGTTAAAACAAAGGTTGAGTGCTCACTGATTTGTTCAAGGGCAGTTTGTCTAAAATGTTTGTAAGATTGGAGTATGTTAATAATTTAGTGTTGTAAGCAGAGTTAGGTTAGAATGTCAAGAACAGTAGACCATGAAAATGAATGTGATATCATACTTAGAGGTAGTTTTTTTCCCTTGCAGCAACTGCAATAAAATGTTGTTAAATGAACAGTTGGGCATAGTCATTTGTGGTGTGTCTGGGCTAATCCCTTTAACTCCCATTAGTGATCAACTGAAGAGAGGATTTCTCCTTACTATATCAAGTGAATACAATGTCAAGCTGACAAGTGATGAGAATCAAGATAAGTATCAGTCAGGGGATTATTAGTTGATCCAATACTAAATTCTCTGAACCAATATCATAAGAATTGTGTGACAGAGGGTTAGGAGAATAGATCCTGGGAGTGAAAGGGTGTATGAGCCTGGGTCTGGTGGAGGGAATTGAATAAAAATGGGGAAATGTTTCAGCTATTTCACCCGATCATGAATCATTTTAATCTCTCCACATAATCCAACATTCCAAATTCCAATCTAGCCTGGAAACAGGACAAAAAGAGTCACCTCCTGGAGGGTCCATAGCTAACTCTCCCTTCCCAAAGTCACAATCACAGGCTTTCTTTCCTAAACACAACAATTTCTTTGTTCCCTCACACCTTTTCTAAGAAAAAACACTTCAGTAAATGGTTTGAACCCAGGGGTAACATGTAAAAGTGTAGTTTGATCATCAGGGTGGGTGTAGTGGTGACTGACATTTCGACAACCTGAGCGGAAGTCATCATCAGAGTACAGTGTACAATCAGTGTACACAAACTGGACTAAGTACATTCGACTGACAACAACCTTTCACTTGACTCTGATAATGACCTCCGCTCAGGTTGTCAAAATATCAGTCACCACTAACAATAACAGTCCTTCTCAGGACTACACCCACCTGGACAATGAAACTACACTATTACAAAAAACACTTCCTTAACAGGAACATGCATGACTGCACTTGGCCCAGTCTCTGGGATTAAGATTGTCAAAGCACAGCAAGTTACTTAAAATCATCGTTTATAGTTTAATTTTCATAATTAAAACAATTTTCCAAGTTTTAATGGTTATCTTTTCTAAACCAAATACAGGGCTCAATACAACACAGTTGTACTGAGTTCCTTGAGACTACCTATTTACAAAACTGTTCATTGATTTTTATTTTAGTTGGTGGATCAACTTGCTGTAAAAACACCTCTTAAAATTTCGCTAACTGACAATTTCTTTAGTTCAGAGCTGGCATCAGAGTCACCCTGATCAATAAATGGTTCATCTTGAACCTTGAAATATGATTGGATGAACTCCCTACACATAGGGCAATACCGAAGATGACGACTACATAAGCCACATATGCATGCATGTCTACAAGGTAGGAAGGCTCTGGTCACAGGCAGTTCACGGCAAACAACACACACTGCATTGAGCAAGTCTGTAGATGCAGCAGAAAAATTTGCAGATTCAGGTACTGATGATGATGACGACTGTGATATGACTGGTGATGCACCCTGATGTGATGACAAGATTTGAGCTTCTGTAGTGTCTTCACTGTCCACTACAAATAGTTTCTGTGGATCATCAAGAGGAAAGTAGTAATATTTCAATAACGTAATTCTTTAATCTCATCACTTGTCTGCTTGATATTGTATTGTTATTGTAAGGAGAAATCCTCTTTTGGTCACTAATGGAAGTTAAAGGACAAACCCATCCAAACTGATAGAAAGTGCCACACTGTGATCCTCATAACCTGTTATCAGCTTTTGTCATTTGGTTTGCATGAAACAATTTTTTTAAAAAAATGTACATGAGAGTATGGTAAGATTGAAAATTACTGCAAGACAAATAAGAAATTTAACCACAAGGTTTAGTAGTAAGAGATTCAGTCCAGAGGGGCAGGGAAATTCCAAAATGAAATGACCACTATGTTTGTTATCTCTTTATGTGGGATGGAAATTAAATACTTGGCTTTACTGTTAACTCATCAATCCCTCCATCAATTTACCCATTGACCAAACAGTCCATCAAACCATTGATCCAGTTATCTGTGGAAGCAAGGATCTAATGACAATGCATGAACTTGTCCTTGCCGAAATCTCATCGAGCACAGGCATCCCAAGCTCATGTTTCGAGAAAAAGCAAACAATTAATTCATGGCAGCATTATGCACTGTGTGATGCAGTGTTAAGTTATGCAAGGAACCAATTAACAATGAGAATGTGAACATATTATAAGGAATGGTATTGGGAAAGAACTATAATCCATTTACAAGGCTAAATATTCCAAAATACATCACACAGCACATGCCACTTTCTTGCATTAATTGTTTGCTTTTGCTTGAGACTTGAGCTTAGGATGCCTGTGCATCAAGTGATGTAAATAATGCATAATGATGTGAGAGTGAGTGATGTCCAAGGTAAAACCAACTATTTTGGTCTCCTCAGGGTTTTTATAAACATGAGAGCTTTATTGTTGGCTGTTAAGGTATAAAAGGTGTTATTATCTTAATTTAGAGAAAATAAGGAGGAAGTTCTTCCAGCACTACTTGCCTTCATGCAATATATTTTCCCCTCTGCAGTCTGAACACATTGCAATGCTACATTACAGTCATGGTTACCAATGGGAGAGGAGGATACATTCACTGCCATTACAACTGCAACCTGAAATGAAGATAAAATTTATACTGCCATGGCTTTCTACAACAAGACTAAACCTTGAAGAACAGTTTTCATATTTTTATCATTTCCCACTTCCTGTGCTTGGCTCTTTTACACCATGCACCTTTGACTCCCAACTTCTGCCCTTGACTGCTAAACACTTCAGATCAAACATAAACAAAAGTTTGGTACATTTTACACTTCTCTCCTGAGCTTTCCACTTCCCAATCTTACCTCTCCCATACCCTATACCCTTCCTGTTCCCTTTCTCTCCCCTCCCCTACCAAGCCCACTCAACTCTCATCATTAAAAAAGAGTTTTGATGATAGGACCTTGAAAAGTTTGGTTTTTTTTTTTTTTTGGAAGGAAAAACAAGCCTTTTAAATCAATTAATTGTTAATTTAAAACTGTTTGAGGCTATGTTTAGCATAAAGTGGACTAAGTGTGAAATCTGAGATGTATTAAATGCCAGAACATGAGCATCACAGCATCAAACAAATCAATAAAAATGACCAGGGGCTAAACCCAACTTCTTGACAACACTCAAGTGCACAAACTAAAGAAATAAATGTCACATGATGTCAGGGAATACATTACAGCACAACTTACAATATCAGAGAGCTGCTGCGGTCTCTGCTCATCCCATCTGGACATTTCAACAGTAACAACTAGTTCATAATTTGAGCCAACAGCGACAGCACTAGTACTAGTTGATGTTTCATGAACCAGGTTAACAGGAGGGACAGCTAGAAGTTCAAGATTGGACCCAGCATCATAACTATAGATATTGAGCAAGTTAGGGATGATGTGTTGTGAAGTAAAACAAGCCATGATTTAATACAAACTCTTGTGGTATTCTTTGAAAGATATTTGATCTCACAGCAACCTGTTTTTCATCAGATACAATTATCAATAGCAATATAAGTACAAAATAACCAAAAGTTTGTAATTTTGTAAATTTTCTTGGCTGATTGGTAAACCTAGCAAATTGTCTACGACTCTACTGGTCACAAATTGTTATCTAAAACTTATGTAAGCTTTTGAAATGAGAGGCACAAGAGAAACTTTAAAAATCCTTTGAGGTGATAATTCACATAAAATTAGGGAGGTGGTTGGCTGAAACATCAGCTTCCTAACTTATCACTCATTCACCCATAATTGACTGGTAAAATAAATGTTTTCAACACCTTTGCTTCATTTACTAACATTATCGAATTGAAAAAGTCCCAAAGTTCTTTTCATTGTAGAAATGGTATGCACCTATCATAAAAATTAAATTTTTACTCTTTATCTTGGATACAATTCAGACGCACTTCGATCCTTGTATGAACCTCTCAGAATATGTTCCAGAGGAATTGCAGACATGCTTGGTTCTTCCACATCTGAATCACTGTCATCATCATCACAATCACCAAATGCGATACCATACTGCTTGTTATCCTCACAAATGGCGGTGTCTATAACAGCCTTATTGACTTCCCAGTAGAATGTCACATAGCAAGGAATCATTGAACTCAGAACAAGCTCAATCACACCTACCAAATATTACTGTCAGTAGTTTCAAACAACAAAAATGTTGGAGGACCTTTACTTAAGAAAATTTCTCCTCCCCTCTCCCCCCCCCCCCCAAAAAAAAAAAATTGCATAATATGCAATAATTTACTTTGTTTTCAAGTATTAGTCTTATTTATTTGCGATTCGAGGAAACAGCCACCGTCATCACGATCTATATCTTTCACGGATCTACCAGCAATTAAAATTTTCATATGCAGCACATGCAAATAAATAATTTTCAACCAAGAAAACAAAAGGTTTCCAGATTAATACCACGTAAGTTTACAGAAATCTTCCTGTTTTTCCTGAAATGCTTATTTTGAAGAGAATCGATTCCCAAAACAACTTTTCCTTTTCTATTCCTTAACGGTTAAGAGCTCTTATGTCGAGTTGATCACTCTGTAAGTAAAAAAGCTTAGTGCAGTTACCTGTTCTTAATGATTTGTTTTGATCAGCTGTTTTCATTTTCAACAAAAAGGGGTTTTTAACACCAACCATAGGCCGAGAAGGAATTTCCCTGGGCGAATGGCTAACATAATCAAATATGGCCTCTCTTTCCATGATACCAAGCCTGATTATAAACCGGCCTAACAAGAGAAATGTTATTACAATCATAACAGCGGACACCAGAGTCAAAAATTCCGCCATCTTCGATCGCGGCACTTACTTCATCGGTCAGCGGTCACCTTGGAAATAAATTTTAGTTCATGTAATGCGGAGTACTTCCGTCAGACATCTTCAAGAACTCTAATATCATGGCTTCCAACCGTAAAACTGCGAAGAGGTTGGGATCTGTGATCAAATTAAAGCCAGAAATGTATCAACAGTACAAAGAACTTCATGCAGCAGTATGGCCTGAGGTGATGTTTAAAATAACATTGATTTCACTTTAAGGTCAAAGTAAGAATAGATGTTGCACTTAGCAAATAACTCTTTACGTTAATTAATTTTTTCGATTTTCCAGATCTTGAAAAGGATATATGATAGTAATATAAGGAACTACACTATTTACTATGACAAACATCACCACTTGCTGTTTTCTCACATGGAGTACATTGGTAAGTTTGATGATTGACGATCATATATATGACTTCCTGTTGCCGTCAGATACCTGAAACCAAACATATATTTGTGGAGTGGGGGCATGTTAATTTGGGGAGGGGGGGTTAAACTTTTCCACTTTTTGATAATTTGTTTTACCAGTTTGGTTGTGTTGAGAGGATTTTTTATCAGCTCTAACAGATAAATGATTCATTAAGTCAATTGATTTATTCAGCCAGCTGTCCTTGTGACTGTAGGTGCAACTGTCTGTCAGTCAAACAGTCAATATTGAGCCTATGCTCTATAAATGTATCCCATCAGTCTCTCCATTCATACTTCAGTTTGATTCAGTCGGTCAGGGAATCATTCAGTTATTCATCCAGTCAACCAGTCAGTTTGTCAGTGAGTTAGTCAGTGGTAAATGAGTCAGATAGTCAGTTAGTAAGTGAGTGAGTCAGTCAGTGTCTGAGTAAGTCAGTCAGGGAGTGAGACAGTTGATGAGTCAGTATATGAGTAAATGAGTGAGCCAGGGAGTCAATGAGTCAACCAGTCAATTGGAGAGTCAGTCAGCTCATGAGTCAGTCAACAGCTAGAGTCAGTGAGTCAGTGTGTGGGTCAGTGATTCAGTGTGTGAGTCAGTGAGTGGGTGAGCCAGTCAGTGAGTTAGTGAGTAAGTGAGTCAGTGTGTGAGTTAGTGAGTGGGTGAGCCAGTCAGTGAGTCAATGAGTGAGCCAATGAGTTAGTCACTCAGTCAGAGTCAATCAGTCAGCCAGTGAGTCAGTGTGGGAGTCAATGAGGTAGTCACTGTGGGAGTCAGTAAGTGAGTGAGACAGTCAGTGAGACAGTCAGTGGGTCAATGAGTGAGCCAATGAGTTAATCACTCAGTCAGAGTCAATCAGTCAGCCAGTGAGTAAGTGTGGGAGTCAATGAGGTGGTCACTGTGGGAGTCAGTAAGTGAGTGAGACAGTCCGTGAGACAGTCAGTGGGTCAATGAGTGAGCCAATGAGTCAGTCAGTGGGCAAGTTAGTCCATCAACAGCCAGAGTCAACAAGTCAGTGTGGGAATCAGTGAGCAAGTCAGTGATTAAGAGAGTAAGTCGATAAGTGAGTGAGTGAGTGAGTCAGTAAGTCTGACAACAGCCAGTCAATTCATTGTGTATGTATATTTATCCCTTGTACCTGTCCGTCCACACCAAAATTTGTAATTCTGTGTCTCAGCTGTTTTTGTTTGTGTTGATTTGAATATTTCATGAAAATCATTCTTTCCTTTCCTTTCTTTTCTTTTCCATTCCTTTCCTTTACTTTCATTTCTTTAATTGTTGAATTTATCAACTCACTAATTTTTATTTTATTCAGGGGATGACCTAGAAAAGGACATGGAAGCTATAGGAAATGACCCCATGACAAAGAAATGGTGGAAAGTGACTGAGCCTTGTCAAGAGTCATTAGAGTGGACAGGGCCGCCACCCAGTGAGGGGGGTGAAGGGGGTAACTGGTGGTCACCAATGGAGGAAATGTTCCATGATGGACATCCTGCTACACACTATCATTAAATTATGCAGATTATTTCAGGATAACTGGAGAATATAAGAGATAATTTTTTGTCAAATCAGCCAGGGGGTCAGTCAGTCAGTTAGTCAATGGTTCAGTCACTCAGTGAGTCAGTTAATTAGTCACTCAGTGAGTAAGTCAAACAGGGTGTCCATAGGATAGTCAGTCTGTTAATCAGTCAATCAGTGGTCAGCCATGGCGGTTGGACGTTTTTCTTGGAGTTCCGTCACTTTATATGCTTTTCTGGTTCAGTTTCGCTTTTACTGTTGCTTCTTCGATGTCGAAGCCTTCGGAAAAGCCAATGAAATGCGTAGTGATGCTTCGGAGTGTGCCATGGATTGGCGAAAGGATTTTTTCTACCCGACTCTGGCTACATTTCCTCCACGTGGTACGTATCATCGCTCCCACGGTAGAAGGTTCTTCTCAACTCGGGTTTCTCTGTATCCCAACTCAGTCAGCACCTTTAATTTGATAAGGCTCTCAACTAGTGGTGACATTAATCCTAATCCTGGTCCCCCACTTAACAGCCCTAAGTGCCCAATTTGCGAGAGAGCTGTCGCCAAAACTCACCGTGCAATAGAATGCGATATCTGTCTCCGTTGGTGCCACATAAAGTGTGGAAGAGTTAACCCAAGTGAATACAACAAACTTCAACTCCTCGATCATTTCTTCTGGAACTGCCCTTTCTGTGAACTGAGGGCTCTTCCCTTTGCCGATGCCAGTTCTTTTGACTTAAACCTTGACGATGACGTGGTGTCTGAACCTGACGAAGATGTTTTCACTACGTTAAAGACTACGATGGGCAACAACAAGAACTTAAAGATTGGACACATAAATATCAATGGTCTTACTAATAAATTGTCTGAAATTCAATTCCTATTAAAAGAGGTTGAATTCGACATCCTGGGCGTTACTGAGACCCACCTGACCGTAGACCTATCAAATGAATTAATAAGAATATATGGTTATAACACGGTGAGAAGAGATAGATCAAATGGCTTGAAAGGTGGCGGCGTGGTAATATATTATCGCGATAATTTGAACATTTCTGAAAACCTAAAGTGGGACATTCATCAGGACTTGGAGGCTGTATGGATTAACATTACCATAAGATCACAGTCTACTTTACTTGGCTGCCTATACCGACCACCTAAATCAATCACGTTTTATGATGACTTACATGACCTGCTTAATAAAATATGGATCAAGAGGAAGAATGTCATATTATTAGGTGATTTTAACTGTAATCTCTTAGCTAATACGGCAGATACAGATCAAGATGCGCCATATGACTGTAATAGAATGAAAAGAATTCTTAGGCGTTTTGGTTACGTTAACGTCATTGAATCACCAACGCGCATCACAGCTAACTCTAAGTCACTTATCGACCTCATTATTGTTAGTCCTAATTTGCATGCATCAAATGTCTTAGCTGGTTCTATTGACCTGGGCATTTCAGACCATCATCTTATATTTGCTGCCTTTTCTACAAGGAGGAGTAATTCAAAGCCTAAGCTTATTACAGTAAGGAACTATAAGGATATGGATAATGAAAAATTCCAGAGGTCCTTAGAGGAAGCTCCATGGCATATTGTGTCTGCTGTAGAGGATGTTGAGGACAGTGTTTACTTATGGGAAACCATGTTTAAAGACATTATAGAGTCCAACATCAAACGAAGGAATGTGAAGGTCAGACACAAGTCACTTCCCTGGATCAATACCGAAATCAGAAAGGCTATGAATCAAAGGTATAAGTGTTTAAAAGCTGCTCAAGGTAAACCCCATGATAATCCTCAGTGGGACATCTATAGAGCTAAAAGAAACGCTGTTAGAAGTATGCTCAGAAAAGCTGAGGCCTCTTACTGGATTGGGCTATTTAAAGAATCTTCTTCACCTAAAGATTTCTGGAGAATATCTAATCGTATACTTGGTAAGATCAAAAGTGATAAAATTGGTCCCCTACAAGATTCTAATAACACTATTATTTCAGATGATAGGCAGAAAGCGAATTTGATTAATAACTATTTTATTGATATTGCACATGATCTTACTAAGAACTTGGATCCAGTACATTTAGATACTACTTTTTATATTAATAGAATTACTCCCACTATAGAGAATTTTTCTTTGAATTGGGATATAGTTAGAGATGTTTTGAAGTCTATTAATCCAAACAAAGCAGTAGGCCCTGATAATATTTTTCCTAAAGATCTTAAATTGGCACAGGACTCTGCTATTCAGGGTCTGCTAGAGGTGTTCAAAAAAAGCATGGACTGTTGTAAGTTCCCTCAACAATGGAAGGAGTCATTAGTTACACCTGTTTTTAAGAAAGGGAACAGGCTGGATCCTAACAATTACCGACCTATATCCTTGCTTAGTACACCAGGAAAGCTTCTTGAGAAGGTAGTGTGTGACTCACTTGATGATCACATGTTATCCAATGGCATTCTCACAGATAGACAATGGGGATTTAGGAGGGGCTATTCAACGGAGAGCCTCCTCCTTCATCTCACTGAGTCCTGGGGGAGTGCCCTGGATAGAGGCCATAAGGTTGGAGTCTTATTCATTGATTTCCGCAAAGCTTTTGATTGTGTCAACCACAGTATTCTTACTGAGAAACTCAAGGCTGTTGGCTTGGCAGGTGATATGTGGAAATGGATCAATGACTATCTCTCCAACCGTGTACAAGGGACTAGTGTAAGTGGGTCTAGATCTGATAGAATCCCCATTAGAGCTGGGGTCCCTCAGGGATCCTTACTAGGACCAAGATTGTTTGCATCTTATGTTAATGACCTCCCTGAATCTATTACCAGTGGAGAAGTCTATATGTATGCTGATGACACAACAATATATGTAGTAGGGAATACTGTTGATGAAATAACAACAGGGTTACAGGCTGTTTTGGACCAGGTTAATTCCTGGTGTCTTAGTAACAGATTGATTCTACATGAAGGTAAATCCGAGGCAATGGTCTTAAGTACTACCCCCTTCATAGGTCCTTTGAAACAGCTGAAGTGGGGTATGGACACCATTCGGTATGTGTCCTCCACCAATTGCCTTGGGGTTACAATTGATGATAAACTCTCTTGGTCTCAGCATGTTGCATTGGCTAGATCTGCATTTAATGCCAAAGTTAAAATGTTGAGACGTATAAATTTCCTATGTACATCTATCTTGGAGACTTTTTACTATAGGATAGTTATACCAAGTGTTCTATATGGAATTGCAATTTGGGGGTCTGGATCCAAGCTTAAAGATCTAGAAATGATTCACATCAGGGCTGCCAGGCTAATTCATAAGATACCAAATAGTTTTGGGGATAATGATGTACTTTCTAAGGTTGGCTGGATGCCTTTAGAGTATTTTTATAAGCTACGTATCTTAACTATTACATATAATGCTTATTATAATTTAGGGTTGCGGGAAATTAATTGTTTGGTGACCAAGAACTCTAACAGTTATAACCTAAGGAAATCCCTGAATGTTGTACTTAATAGGCCCAAAACCGAATTGGGTCGTAGGTCCTTTGCTCATAGATCTGCAGTAGCATGGAATGCACTTCCCGATAATGTTAAAGATTCTCCAAATTTATCTATTTTTAAATATAACTTAAAACAATCCAAGCAAACTGTTATGAATATTAATTTTGAAAAGGGAGGTAATGTTATACAAAACATGAAACCAAATTTTCACTATTACTAAAACTTTATGGTTTACTTGATTTATTCAACTTATAAATGTTATCATATCTGTATTTTATATAATTATAGACTAATTAGTTTAGGCAGGTCCACATCAGCTGTAAAGTTGCGCAAATTTTAACCTGCGTTATCAAATAAAGTTATGTATGTATGTATGTATGTAAACCCACCACTGTATTATTGTTTTGTTGTCAATCCTTCCCTAATTAATCATTTGGATTTGAAAAAAAATTTATCCCTAAAAAACCACACCCTAACTATGAACATTTTGGTTAAAATCTGTACTCATTTTCAGACCAAAAAACATACCCTTTTTAGAGGGGTGGGGGCAAATTTCCTCAAAATATGTCATAAGGGAGTACCCCCATTCCTTCCTCTCCCCTCCTCCAACCTCAGTCATGACCCTTATCACAGATCAACTTCTCATACACCTCTAACAAAATTACGAACGGAAGCATTAAACCATCGAAATATGAACCCCATTCCCAGATCTTCTGTATTCCTGTCATAATCGCAACGAGTCAGCGGTATATTGCTGAGCGGTTGACAAAATGGCGGGTGAAGTTATGGCGGAAGGGATGAAGTTGGATGTTTTGGATGTGTGTCCTCTTCTTATACTTCAAGACAGCAGCAAGAGGTTTTACGACGGCTATATTACTGTTTGCGTAAGTTCAAACGTTGGTTCCTCAGAAAGAGTGGTACACGGAATTAACTGTATGACTTCACTGATCATAACATTTTGCAGAAGAAGAGTTTCCGAATGTCTATCGAAATTCCGGAGAACAGATCATTAAGAGACGCTAGGTAGGTTCGTTGCCAAATGTATTTGTTAAGACATCTCCCCAGTAAGAACAGAGTTCTAAAGTCTACGAGTTTCTAAATGTAAAGTTTACGTAAGAATCATCTCGTTTGGGGAAGTACAGGGATGTAAATAAACAAAATCCGGTTACCGGCGGTCAATCGCTGCCTGTAAGATGTCTTACCGCCGTCTGTTTAGCTCGGGTTTGGGTTTCAGCTTACAGCCCCTTTTCCAGGCGCGTGTACTACTGTCTAGTCTAGTAAACCACCATTGAAAGCTGCGTGTGGAAAAAGTTATTGAAACCTCAGGCAAGAAGATAATAGGGGGATGATATTAACCCGCTACACCCAAACATCAGTGTGCTTATTCTCCATACTGTTCTTTATACATTTCCTAAGGTGCTGACAAGGAGAACTTGTTTAACAATCAAGAGCTTCTTTAGTTGGTGATCATTTCCTTTATTCTCATGACCTTAATGTGTGACTCAGGCGTGATATTGTAGGGAGAAATAAGATGTAAGTCGCTCTTAGGGGTTAAAGGATTAATGGAGCATTGGTGGCCCAGGCTGTAAATGAGCTGTTTGAATTTACATTATTTAAGGAAAATTTGGGTATAAACAAAATATGTATTACATGCAATCAATTTGATGCCTCAACATCCCCCCCTCTGGGTTAACCCACTGGTGTTTGATTTTTGTCTGTGCTGGAGGTTGGGGAATTTGAACCTTGCTTGGGTGGGGTGAGGTATTTTAACTGGAAGTGTAAAGCCTTTTCAGTTGAATACACGTGTTTTATCTTTTAATTTGGAGGTGTTTGAGGTAAAACGTTTCACTTTCACAAGCAAACAGTCTACACTCAAGTGATGGTAAACAAATTGATAGTCACTGTCATTGATCTTGCCTTTTACGAAGAATGTGACCATCAAGTCTAGCCTTTGAGTAGGGTATTTAACCCTTTACCTCCCATAAGTGACCAAGAGAGAATTTCTCCTCACAATATTTATACAGTATCGAGCATAGGAGTGATAAGAATAAAGTAAAATATCAATTAGGGATTATTAGTTGATCCAATACCAAATTCTCCAAATTGACATTATAGCAATTGTATAGCAGACAGTAAGGAGAATTCCTATGAGATCTTGGGAGTTAAAGGGTTAAATGAAACAATCTCAACAAGTTCAAATGCTTGGGGGTGTTGGGGGTGTTGCTTGATGGGGGGGGGGGGTATTGAATCTTGACTTGATCAATACATTAGAACCTTTTAAAATGCAAAATTCAAACAGCTTCTGTAAACTATAAGTTAAAGGGCTCTTATACAGCTTTGGGTGTCTGTGATGATGCTGATGGTGTTTGTTCATGTAATTTGTTAGGATAGAGTGCGAATGGAAATTAAGACATTTACTGAGAGGCTATGAAGGTGTTATTAAACAGGTTAAGTATAATCATCATTTTTTTTCTATAGGCCAATACTAGGAATCATTCTGACCTACTGATCCTAGCAGCATATATGACACTTGCCATTCATGAACCAACACTTTGCTTAGCTCACAACCAAGTTCTCTGTAGGTCACTCACTGGTAGAGTATTGGTGCTGGAAATCCCAAGGCCTTGGATTCAATTTTTGTTGGGGAATACCAAATCTTTCTTTGCCCCCTTCCTGCTAACTAGAAGTAACATCTTTTCCTACAAGACATAATCTTCACAGCTGATGGTAACTTTCCTAGTTGAGGTGTTTTCCCTGGAAAATTGATGTGATTCTTACTCCCCAATATTAATATGACTTATCGCATATTCTCCATACTGTTATCTAAATACTCCCTATGGCCTAACTGAAAAAATTTGTTTGACAATCAAGAGCCTTTTTGGTGGGTGATTATTTCCCACATTCTCATATCCTTAATGTTTGATTCAGGGGTGATACTGTTCCTTCCCAGGTATTCAAGGGTTGAAAGGGCTTTTAAAGGATTTGAAATTTTGTTGACTGATTCCAAATTTTGGAAATTTTCTCCTTCTCCTCATCAGCTACATGAAAAACTCTCACTTTTGACAAAGCTGATCAATGTGTGTTTTCTTTTCTACCAAGTGTGCTAGACCTTCAAAAGTATACACATTTGAGTTTTTAGAGGATTCAAAATTTTTTAGGCTTTGGGATTTCCAGCCCACTTTAGTCCTTAAAAGAACTCTCATTCTTGACAAATTTGATGAAACTCAATGTAAATGATCTTGCTTACTACCCATTTGTCTTAATCTGGTTATTTCTAAACATTTCTCTTTCTTCAGAGGTTAACTCAAAGTTTGGATCTCCCTTCCTTCTTGATGGAACTCAAAAGTATTCTGGTGATTATCATTTTCTTGTCTTGCTTGTAGTTGTAGCATTAGATAACCTCTCTGCTTGTAACTTTTTATGATGGCTTGTAGCCATTAATAGTACTTTTTGTGGCCTTTGAATTACAGGAGAAGCTTCTTGGAAGCCAAAAATTGGACAAAGTGGTTTCACAACCCAACTTCTACACACATTTAGTGGCAGAGTTAGAGGCTATAGGATGGGAGAAGTGAGTTGTAGCTCATCACTCTTACAGTTTTGACAAGCATGGGGAACATAATGTACTTATTTGCCTGCTGCCTGGTTAGTTCAGGTTGTTGTGCACTGAACTGACTTTTAGGAGGGTGAGTGTTGGAGCTCCAGACTGACCAACACTTAAGGTCTGAAAATGATACAGGAGAATGTATTGCCTTGGTTGTGGCACCTGCAAATGATTAGACATTCTAGTCTTTGTGTATAAGGACAATAAGCCGCAAGCCCTTTCCTATGCATCTTCTCTGTACTGGTCAGAAGGGGTCATTAGAGAACCCATGCACTTCTCACAAAGATTAGAGAACTTAGTTCTTGGTGTTGTAATCTGGCCTTGTTCCAAAAATTCCAAAAATTGGGGGCACCTGCTAAATTGCCTCTCAAAAATTGTAAACCAGTCAATGCAGTCAGGCCAAAGTCCCTGCAAAGTGTCGTAAAGCATATTGAAGCATGTTATATGGAGAATGTGCTGTATCATATGGAGAGTTACTGAACAGTAGTCAAACAGAAGTTGAACATAACTCAAGTTTGAAAAACTAGTGTTAGTCCTAACTTACCAACTTTACTTGATATTCTTAATTTTCTCCACTTTATCAAAGGTTGGCCTATGTGGATTCATCTTTTCAAGTGTTAAAACTTGCTTCAAGGTAAATAAAATGATTAAAACATCAAAATTTTCACCAGCCCTGGCCATTTTTTAATTAAAACAGAACCAAAATTCTTTAATTTATTTCCTCTCAACACTTATTTTCCTTTTTCCTTTTCTTCACAGAGATACCAAAGAAAGAGAGCATGTGATTACTGTTCGTCTCTCACCTCAGGTATCATCATTTAGCCAACAGGCCCCAGTAGTGAATTTTATCCATGGCATCAAATCAGTTGTTCAAAGGATGGATAGCACTATTTACTCCCTACCCAGTGGATAAATTTATCCATTTTTTGATCAACCAGGTCCAGATGTATCAGAGAGTATCTTTATTTTCATCCTCCTTATGCTAGGGTGCATGTTTGGAAACTGGAACCACCCAGATAATCAAAACCAACTAGACGACTAAACTGAAACAATATTTCCCCACATATTCAGTTTCCATCAATCAAAAATCGCATACAAAACAATGGGATTTTCATTAATTCATTGACTGACAATGTATAAACTATAAACAAATAAAGGGGGTAAGGTTTTTAAAGAAAATGTGGTGCTACTTTGGTGGGTATAACAAGATCATCTGGTTACATCAACTGAGTTAATATTTTAAATTAGCCACAGTGACCACAGAGAGTGGCTATCACTTGAAATGGCAGCTTTAGAAACTCTTCACTGCAGCTAATTTAGGTGATAAAAACCAAATTTGCTTAAAAACAATAAACCATCATTTAGTTTCAAGCACCTTACATGCTTGTATATTTATGCTGATAGAGTTGCCATGGTTATGCCCTCCTCTGTGCCTCCCTGCTCATCTAGTGTTCAGGAAAAAAAATTGAATATTATTATCATGAGATATGATAAATAGATAATAATACATGGGCGCACATGAATATGGAATTTCTCATTGAGTTTTAACTTGATGGCTCACAAGTAAGCGCAGAGAACAAGTAAAATAGAGATTTGAACACAAGAAGAGAAATTCCATATCAGTCTACAAGCAACCATTTACTACTTTGTCTATTACAAACACAATAGGCCTTTACTAACAAGAAAAGTTGACTCTATTGATGAATGAAAAGAATAGGATCCACAATCCCAGAAAAAAAGTCATTAGGTGCATTGGCAATAAGGTTCAAGATGAAAAAAATGTGTTGAATCGTTACAAAAACAAACAGTGGGCGTAACTTTCAATTTGCAAAATTCTCAGATAGTGACTTTTTCCTCAGCAATAGAAAGAATATTTTTAGGTACACGAACAAAATCATTCTGTGACAAATCTTTCAATTTTTGATTTTCATTCTCAGCCGCAAGATATGTCATTGTCAAAGCCACTGAGTACATAACTTTTGGTTTTTCTTTTTGTATTTTGGTTTCCTTCCCCTGCTAGGGAAATTTTGAATGTCACTGTCTGTAAGGGGTGTGAATTTTTCAGTCTCTTAGCAGGCATAATCTGAGAAAATTTTAATAAACCTTGGATTGAGAATTGTGAAGGCTTTCATTCACATGACAGAGTGGTGCAAAAGGCAAATGACATGTCAGCAGCTGATTGGCGATATCAAACACTTGTGAAAAATTATTGTGAGTTATGGTATTTTTTCATGTGTGTTGTTATGGCTTTTTATTCAGGGCTGGAAATCCATGTCTAATGCTGCAGTTTATATGATATACTGATTTAGTATTGTTATCACTTCTTCCAAATAGAAAGCAGTTTGTCCATTCTTAAAAACTTCTTTTTTTTTATCTCAAGCATCCACAGGTAGCACCTACTTGTTCTGCAGAATTACCTGGAAAACCGTTTTCTTTCACATGGTCTTCTCAGGTAACAGTGAACAGTAAATGTATATATCCAAATGTTAACTGACAAATGATATGTGAAATATTTCAAGGAGCAAAGAAAAAGGAGTGAGAGAGAGATTGTTTCTCCCTCCATATGGGACACTCACTTGAAATGACTTTTATTAACTGTCTTCTCATTGGATGGGTTTATATCTGTCTCTCTTCAATCTGTCTTTTTTAAGGGTCAACCTCTTCAGCAGCTGTATCATCAGTTCCAACAGGTTAGTTCTGAGTGATGTCCATATTTAAACTTACGTTTAAGTTTAAGTAATGTTAGTAGGTTTGATGAGTTGTTCTGTTGTTGTTTTGCCAATCCGTTAGACTCTCTCTCAATTTGAGGATTTCTGGGACATGCTAGATGAAATAGACAGTAACACGTGGGTTCTTGAGCCTGAGCAACCCTCAAGATCGTGTACAAGCAGAAGAATCGCTCTTGGTAACAATGCTTCTGTTCAGATAGATCTGAACCCAGTCAATGCAAGGCTTTTGCCAGAGTGCAGATTTATGGGTGCTGACAATGGTAATCAGTTTGCACTTTTCTTTTCTTTTTTGAACTTTTATTTAGTTTTTCTTTAGACTGGTTAAACTGCTTTTGTACAGTGAATGGTTTGAACTTAGTAGTTTCTATCTTTTTTTTTTTGCCTTCATCAATAAGATGTTTTTTAAAATAAGAGAATGAACACTCTGTCATACCCTGTGACTGCACAGGCAAGGGTAGTGGCAGAAGAAGTTGTTGATGTTGACAGCGACTCACATTTTTATTTAACATTAACCTTTTAACTCCCAGATCAAATTTGTATTTCTCTTTACTGTCAACCATACAATTCTTATAATGTTAGTTCAGAGAATTTAGTACTGGATCAACTAATTATCCCCAAATTGATATTTTCTTTATTCTCATTACCTATCTGGTTGATACTGTATTGATATTGTAAGGAGAAATTCTGTCTTGGTCACTCATGGGAGTTAAAGGGTTAACTTTTCACTCTCTTTATCATTAACTAATTCTCCTTACTGTCTGTCATACAATTCTTACCATGATAATTTGGAGAATTTGTATTAGATCAACTAATAATCCACTAATTGATATATTTCTTTATATTACAATTATTATTTGCAGTGATTGTTCCTTTACGAGAACATTTGAATGCAAACATCCACACCTGGTAAGAATAAAAAGCTAGTTTTGCAGGAATTGCAATTCAAGGTAGCTGTAAGAGAAAAAAACATTTTGCAAGATGGAAAATTCCAATAGCTACTGCATATAAATTGGTTTTCTAACTCTTTTGGAGATAAGAAAGTTCAAGTTGTGAGGGTGAAACACTTTTTATGAATCTTTTAGGAATCCACAGTTAACAGTTTTGACAAATCTGGAAAATTTATTGGGACAGAAATTTCCCTCACCTTCTACAACAAAGAAAGAGGTATCACATAATTTCAGACATTCAATATTTTTTCATTATTTTCTGATTTTTTATCAATAGCAGAGTGATATACCTTAATAAACATACATGCCATAAGAAGAAACTTTGATTGGCTCATGGCCATTGCATTTTGCTGGCGGGTCACTCTTTTAAACTTGACCATCTGTGACTCTTACAGTTAATATTTTAATGAATAGTTGATTTATACTTAAACAATTAGGTTATTCACTCTGTATTTCTATATGTGATAGTCAATTCAGTCTTTGCCTCTTAAACTTTCATGCAATAGAAATTTTGAGCCCATAATCTAATTGAATGTTCAATCAATAGCAATTAGCACAGCAAATCAGTCCTCAGTTGTTTGTAGGATGGATACCATTATCCAATGGATAAATATCTATCCATTGGATAGCACAGATCACTTTGTTGACACTTATCCACTGGATAGTGATTTATCCAAATCTTCATGCATCTCCTTTGTGTGTGCGTGTATGGCAGGATTTCAGCATGGAGTGTGGAATTTGCTATGCCTATCGCCTTAATGATCTGATACCAGACAAAGCTTGTGATGATTCTAGATGTGGACAACCTTTTCACAGCTTGTGTCTTTATGAAGTAAGTAGGATCTCTGTCTTCTTTGTTTTTCATTGACAAATTTTTTTTCTAAGATAGCAGAGTGATAAATCACATGTGAATTTACTAGTATGGATACCTGATACTCAAGTCTTCTTAAACCATCTCTGTATTAGTTGCACAAGGTATAATTATAAATTGCTATAAATTTTCTTTTTTTGTACAGATTGTTAATATGTGGAATAATTTGCCTAAAGATATTGTACACACAGGATCATTGACTTTATTTTGTAACAGACTAAAGATTTACATGAATATTGATTGAAATGATGGTAGACAGTTTTTAATTATCTGTATATAATGTTTTTGGTCTTTTTATTCGGGGAATCTTTTGTATAGGGTTAATCTCTAGAATATCCCCTTTTGAGAGATACTTTTACAATTTTTCATTTTCCTTCTCTTGAATAAAGTATTGTCATTTACAATGGCCCATGTGCAAGTTTATGCCAGGATAGCTGATTATCATTTTACCTCCATGCCTTGTGCTTTGATCCCTGCACCCCTAGGAGTGACCAGTGAGAAACTATTCTCCACATTACAAGTACTTTGGAAACAGATCTGGGATAATAAGAAAGAAACCATAAATTAGGAAGTAGTGAGTGACTGAACACCGATTTCTCCAAGATAGAATTTTAAGAAATGAGCGACAGTCTGTGCAGAGAATTGATATTCAGATTTTGGGATTGAAAGAGTCAAAGGTGTAGATTAGTGTAATTTTTTATTAACTCTTTAACTCCCACATCAAATTTGTAATTCTCCTTACTGTCAACGATACAACTCTTACAATGTTGGTTCAGGGAATTTAGTATTGGATCAGCTAATTATCCTCAAATTGATATTTTTCTTTATTCTCATCACTTATATGGTTGATAGTGTTTTGATACTGTAAGGAGAAATTCTGTCTTGGTCACTCATGAGAGTTAAAGGGTTAAGTATTGAGAAAGCATCAATAGGAGGAGAAAATCCTCCTAAAAACAACAAGAGGGTGGCAATTTGCTTTTCTTCTACTTTCAGTGGTTGAGAGCCCTGCCTTCAAGCAGACAGAGTTTTAACATGGTGTTTGGGGAGTGTCCTTATTGCAGCAAAGTAAGGATCTGTTTGTTGTTTTTTTTTCATTTGGATTGCTGGTTTGTGCATTGGTTTTCAGAGTAATAAAATTTATCAGTTCAAAATGTTAACTAAAAAAAAAGTAGAGCTTGATCTTGTGGGCTATGGTAGTCAGAGGTGTTCGTTGTTTACTTCCTGCAATCCTCTCAAGGGGGCAAAGGTACAGCTGAAAATTCATGCAAGGGCTAGGAATTTTTTCTTTTAATTGTTGGTTAACCAGTCACAAACCCCCATAACAGGCACCATTGGAAGAAAAGAGGAGGGTTGGAATTGGTTAATTAGTCATCTTTGTGCATCTGTGCACATAACGCCTTGGCCAGAAAATGCCATTGAATTATTGCAGTTGCTAGTCAGTCAAACTGCACCCATGTCTAGCCTCTGTCCCTCTTTTCCCATTCTTCAGTTTTCCTCCCAGTTTCATTGGGGTGGCCTCTCTTTGGTTGCTAATTAGGAGTCTATAAGAAGGTGACTCTTGGCAGGGCTGTTTTTCCACTCCAATTTATGGCCAAAACTCTTGGCACTTAAGCCATAAACCCAAGTGGAAAAGACTCACAGTGTGGACCTCAAACTTTGTTGGTAAGAAGTATTTATTTCCACTCTATCATAAATAAAATTTGCTTGTTCTCTCTTTTCTTTAGCCAATTACTGTCAAGATGGTGTCAGGGAAATAATTTTTCCTGCTGGCTTCAGGAATGGATGAGTACACCTTGAAAATTTTGGAGAAATCTTGTAGAATGCCATATTATGATGTGTATTGATACCAGTAAGTTGTATTGCATGGCCACAAAATCTCTCTTATCAAGATAAGGCATCAACATCATTAGTATGGTTGGTTGACACAAGACCGCTCCTCACGATGAAAAATTGCAGGAACAAGAGGAAAAATGAAATACCAGGAGGAAGACTCATAATTTATTTTCCATCATTTACACACCTTCATAAGTCTCCCAAAATGAAAAATGCTTTAAAAAATATCTCTGTAGATACTTAAATTTAAGATTTTCAATAAATATTTTAAATTAGTTCAGAATCTAATAATTTGTTACAAGTTTTCAGATAGTAATCAGTTCATAATTAAAGTTTTAATAGCAAAAATAATATTGCCTATTTAAATTTTTAGAAAATAGACTGGGTGAGATTTGATGATTAAATGATATTTTCCTATTGATGGAGTAGTGGGGGGGGCTGGGCAGGAAAATATTCAAATATTCGGTAAGGTTGGTACATTATTACTAAGCCATATATTATATTTCCTGTCCAGTCCAACTTAAATTGCACTCCTAAGATCTCATTAGTAATTCTTGTTACTGTCTACCATACAATTCCCATGATGTTAGTTTGGAGGATCTGGTATTGTATCAACTACCAGTGATATTCCCCTAATTAATATTTTTCTTTATTCTCGTCACTTGTCTGCTTAATATTGGACTGATGTATGAAGGAGAATTCTGTTTTGATCATCAATGGGAGTGAAATGGTTACGAATTTAATTTTACTGTTGCCCTTTCCTGTTTCCTCTTGCATTTTGCATCAGGCAGGGCTTAATGCAAGGCAGTGGACCCTGTTTATGCCATTGTATGCAGCTCTCATAAGGGGATATTTCTCTAAAATTTTTCCCACGTACAGCAAGTACTTATAACACTCATTTTTTCCCCAGAACTCTTAATTAAACCACTAAATCTTCACATTGTGTTAAAACCCTTGATTGATATATTGAGTGTGAAGGAATTGACTGTACAGTGTTAATTAAAGTTATCTATAAATAATTCTTCATTACAAATAAACCAAACCAAGCACACCCTTTCATGATTCTGGTAATAAATAGACTGTAAAAAATTGAAATTGAAGGTTGCTCTTGAAAATATAATTTCAAAATATGCAAAAGCTGTGGTCCTTAAAAGGCAAGAGGTTTGCTAAGCAGCTGCTCTTTGAGAACTGGGTCTACACTTCTTCCCTGAGGAAGGAAAAATCACACAGAAGAAAATGCTGGAAATTGAGGCACAAAGTTCATAGGCTGTTATACTTGCAGGAATTTTTTAGATTTGGAATTTTTTCTATCTACCTGTTCAAATTCATTAGTAGAATCTGTGGAGGTGCTCTGAAGTTGATTTGATTGAAAAATTAATTGTACATCTTGTTGTTGGTGTCAGGAATCAAAGAAGTCATGTACATCTCTGAGATTCTCCTGTTCATTTGTTGTATTTTCATTATTCTGTATTTCATCTGATTCTTCTTTACTGTTATCTAACACTGGCAAACTGTTTTTGCCATCAAGATTACTACTTCTGCTGTTTTGGTGAGAGGTGTCAACATCCCAGGACTCATCTATTTAAAAAAAAAATTTAATTTAGTGTTCAATCATAACAAAAAAAATTGCAGAAAAACATTGGTGCCTAGCTGTTTTATATATAATGCCTCATTATAATGCCTCATTATTAGTGCTGCAAGAAGCACATTTCTCCACTCAGTTTTCTTTGTTTGTGGCACTAATTATCAGTGCCAGACTCCTTGCAAACCTCTCACTGACTTGCTTTCTTGTGATTGGCGATTGTGATTACTTTTATGCTCATTTAAAATTTGCTATATTACAGGCCCCAGTTTTTCGAAGGTTGGATAACCCTATCCATTGGATAAAACTTTATCCAGTGGATAACACTCGATGTTTTGCCATCACTTATCCATTGGATAGCGTTATCCACCTTTTATACAACTGAGCCCAGTACTTTTACCTTCTTCATCTGCATTATATGTTTCATCATGATCCACAGCAAGGCCAACTACATCATCGCCTTCTTGGATCTGCTTAGCTTTATTGCGAACTCTTTTTGCCTTTTCTTCTCTTCTTCTCTGTTTGGCTTTGATTTCAGCTTGGTGTTTTTCTCTGTTTCTCTCTGACATTGTCAGTTTTTCCTCTAACTGTAGGGTCATCACCATAAAAAAAAAAAAAACATTTTTAAAGTTTTGGTTCCAAAAACTTGAAGAAGTTTTTACTTGTAGACATAAATGTTTTATGAGTTGATCCTTTACACCCTAACATCAGTATGAATTTTCTTCATACTGTTCTCCGCACATTTCCTATGTTTCTTACAAGGAGAATTTGTCAAACAATCAAGAGCTTAAGTTTGCAATCATTTCCTTTTTTCTCATGACCTTAAGGTTTGATTCAGGTGCAATACTGTTGGGAGAAACTAGATGTTTATCATACTCAGGGCATAAAGGGTTAATCACATTTGATCATGTTACCTCTGCCTTCTGTTGTTGGGCTTTGTCCATTTCTCTTGCCATGAGAAGTTCTGTTCGTCTTCTAGACATAACTTTGACTTTCTTCTGCAACTCCTATTGTAAAATTACGTAAAAAAAATAATAACTTAATAATTTCTCTCAACTAATTTTTAGCACAGGTGTGTCTTCTGATCCCATTTCAGGCAAGAGCATGCCTGGGGCCCATTTCTTTAGATTGAGGGAGGGGAGGGACATTTCTCCAAATAGATATTTTGCATTCTTAAATTTCTCTTGTAAAAGCAAGTTTTCTCTGCTGCATTTACAATCAAGATTGCAAAATAAGTAGTTTCAAACAAAATATCTAAACAAAAATATTGCCACAGTTCAATTACTCTGCACATTTGGACTTGAAAAGACAAATATATCTGCACTCTCTTGTAGTCCCTTGAAAATTATATGTGATTGTTTACACTCGTTTTCTAACCAGAATAACCCTAACGGAAAAAAAAGAAACCCTTGGTGTGTGTGTGTGGGGGGGGTGGGGTAGGGAGGCACATGCCAGTAAAGGTTGCACAGGATGTGTTCTTTCCCTCTCCTCCCTACTGTAAATTAGATTTTCACAGTAAAAAATTTTAAGAATCAATAGAGCAGTCACTAAGTAATATTAACCCTTTTAACTCCCAGAGGTGATTAACAAGTAACTTCTTCCTAAGATATCTATATATAATCCAGCAAATGGGTAATGAGAATGCTATAACTTATCAGGTAGAAGTTGTTGTCTTAATCTAAAACCAAATGCTCGAAACTAATTTATAAGGAAATGTCTAGCAGTTTCCACGATTTGATCGTTAATTCTCCCCTCTAGTTAGAGGATTAAAATACTAGTTTGTATTGGAAAGTGTATTACCTTTTGCCTGTTTAATTCTGCTGCAGCTTGTCTTTGTGCTAATGCTTCTCTTGTCAAAACTGGTGCGCTCTCAATTTTCTGTTGAATGAAGAGTTTTTTTTCACTTTTTAATTCAGAAGATATTTATCAAGTAAAGCATAAACAGCAAAATATCATTGCCACATGGAACTACCCACCTGTAAACGACGAGGCGGTCGGTTTGGCATCTGTACAGTCGAAACTTTATCAGAATCATTTTGTCCAAGCACAATATCAAACGCCACTGCTTTGGAAACTTGAGGCTGTGTGTTGTCACTGGGGTTCTCCTCTAGTGAAAGAAATAATAGCAGGTTGTTAACTTTGTATGAAATATCACTGTTTTTTTTTTCGTCTTGTCACAAGCGTGGGAAAAAGAAAAAAAAAATTTTGAGCCCCATGAAGAATCGAACCTCAATTTTTTTTCTTTGTCCCACGCTCGTGACGAGACGAAAAACATCTTTCTATATTTCTTTACCGAGCTCAAAACTTACCATCTGTCTTATTCTATATATCACCATGTTTTTTCCTCGTCATCGTTTCGAATTGCTCATCTTTTTTAATTAAACTGAATAAATTATTGCGAATGTTACTGTGAGTACATAGGAGAGCGGAACATTTCGATTAAAAGCCAGCGAAATTTAGTTAGGAGTAAATATAAAACGTGATTACATCCGTGTTCGTAAGACGTGTTCAAGGAAAAATTTTCGTCGAAATGTTAAGGACTTAACGAATGTTCATCACAGTCTAAGAGCGGGTAATATGAGCTTATTAAGCAATGTTATCCAACCGAAGAAACATTATTGTCTCAACATACACATATTATCCCAAATGACAGTTCATTGCTGGGCAAATAGTTCTTACCATAAAGAATTCACCGGCTAAGTACATAAGTATGTTTGCACTCAACGAAATATTCAAACAAATGTAATGGAAATGTGTAAAATTTGATTTCACAGGTGATGAATTTTAGATACACAAACATGAAAGTTGTTAAGTTGGATCGATCGCGCAGCGGGTGTACAGCGTAATGTTTAATTAAATCAAACCCTCAAGGTATTTTTCACCACGAATTGTGATAAATCAACAAATGGTAACTTGCATAGTTGCGTAGATAAAGCGCTTTCTGTTGTCATTTGCCTGAGTAAAAAATTAAGACTGAAGGATTATGAGCTTAACTCTAGCTCCAGTATTTTAATAGGGCGCTTCAATTTGTTACTGTGATCTACTTACCGTTCTGAGAATGTTGTGGTTCTTGAGCGGGTTTGTTCAAAAAGTCACCATTTGAATAATCAGTATCTTTTTTTACTAGAGAGTTGTGATTTACATCCCCATTTTTCTCAGTATTTGCTAATCCTGTGGCAGTTGCCTTGCCATTAGGCAAGTGTGCATGCCCATTTGATAACGAGTCATGTTTGTTGCGGTTTCGTCCGTTGGCGCGAAGTGGTTTATCTTCTTCGAATTCTTCAGTTTGTGGCGTTACTTTGGAAGCTCCGCAACCCATAGCTTTAAGCTACCAGAAGCTACTCTTTACCTGTAGTCGAATGAACCCATTACTGCCCAACTAATCAAATTGTAGACAGCTTCAAAACTTTACGTTGTGCTTTCACCACAAATATCAATCATAATTCGTCAAAATTCCACGCATGTTTCTGTTGGACCACAAAATCTTATTTCTTTCTCCCACGAACTACCCTGTTTCCACGAAAATGCAGTCGTCGTAAATGTTACGTGTAGTAGCTTTTTGTAGCGTATTGCCTCTGTGGGAATCCGTAAATAAGACCGGCGTTAGAATGAACTACTTGGACAGTTGCTATGCAACAGTTGTAAACGATGTTTGTTCGTTCTCCCTCGGGAAATTGGGTCATAAGTCAAACGCATTCAAACACGTGTGAATCATCAGCAATTGCGTAAATTGTTTAGCAGGTAAGCGCAAAAAGCTTAACGAGGCCTTATTAGAAAGCGTCAAAAAACAATTGAAATCGTCAGCGGGGAAGAATAGTTTGATGAATCACTAAACAAAACTGAAACAGTAAATTTTCCTCACAGATTTGAAGTTCGTTTTGGCGTACGCGTTTTAGTTGCATGCTACGCGGGTCTATATATGCCCGGCAGTGAGAGTTTGCTCGGAAACATTCTTCAACTTTTTATCAGATATTTAGCTACAAATGTCAAGCGGTGCCACATATTATCTTGGTATTTTTGCGGACGAATTTTCCGAGCTTGTGCATTCTGTAAAATCACTTGGTAAAAAACTGTTTATTTAGTGTAAAAAGAGAAAAGAAAAATAACTTTTTCGGCAAGCACAAGCTCGGAAAATTCGTCCCTCAAAGAGCTGTCGTAATTTTTGGAACTTCTTGACATTTCTAATCAAACATCTGATACTCTTAAGAAGTTTGAAAGAACCTTCCGCGCAAATTCTGTAAATATTTCTGGCTGCTAAGGGGCATTCGGTCCATTTAGGACCTTGACTGCGTCTGATGGGCATTAATTTAGACACCTCTGGAAAAGTGAAGGGCTTATATGAGAAAAAAGTGTGAGGGAGAACGTGAGTTGAATTCATAATCAATTTGTTAAGCACTGAAAATCCTAAGAGAACTATTGAAAAGTACCAAACATGGTTAAAAAAAATATATTCACATTAATAATGATTAAAAAATGCTGCTATTGGATCTCTTATTAATAAAAATCTTTGTCTTACAAAAAAAAAAACTGTCAGAATTGTCTTGCAATAATCTCAAAGACGAAGTTGTTAAACAATTAACAAAAATATACAAACGAAACAACTGCCACGTAACCCTTTACTCACTAACATCAGTATGCATATTCTCCGTACTGTTCTGTATATATTTCCTAAGGTGCTGAAAAGGAGAATTGTTTAACAATCAAGAGTTTTTGTAGTTGGTGATCATTTGTTATATTCTCGTGACCGTAATGTTTGATCGCGGAGAGATAGGTAAGGAGAAATTAGATGCCAGGTACTTTTCGCGGTTAAAGGGTTAGAACAGTAGCACTTGAATTTGACACGAAATTGAGCTTAATTGTCTCGTCATGCGCAAAAGGTACAGAAGCATCCCTTCCCGCTCCCAACGAACATGTCACCAGTGCTTTTGTTTTGTAAGAGTCAGTGCGCACAGCTTACTTTCTTAAACTGAGTTACAACTTTGGTTCCTTAAAACCGAACTGAGTCTGATAGAGAAGTAATGCAGGTTTTTGAAGTGTGTGGGAGGGGAGAGAGAGTTAATGCTTGCCCCTCACACTTCCAGGTTAATTGGCAAATATCTCTCTTTCCAACCTACGTTATCGCTTTGTTGATACTTTGAAAATCACCCCCGATTTAGGCCGTGTAAGAACTGAAGCAGACACAAGATTACTACAGACAGTCATCAGCGTCAAGAGGACTTTAATATCTGTTTTACCAAACTCTACAGACTACATTGGATCATTTGTGTTTTTAGTAACTTTCAGCCTCTGAACACCGTGGACCTGATGAGATCACCGCTCGCATCTGTATCTGACCTGTTGATAAATCAAGTAATTATAGAGACCAATCAAAATAAATGAAATAATCACAATTAAGCTAAAGGAACTCATCATAAAAACCGGTAAGCGCGGGAAAACACGTGTGACTAGAAAGTGGAAGCTTTCAAGTTTGCATCTGATTGGTTGAGATGGTGGAGTGATTTTGTTTTGCAACAATTACAGAGTGAGACATAGACACTCGCTTGATGGATGGTCGCCACCAATGTTACTTAACGTTTTGTAGACGTTTAAACGTTTTGGCTGAGCCTGCACTTTAAAATGTCAGCAGTTTCCAGTTTGGATGGTAAAAGTCCAGTCGTAAAGATTCTTCTGAATTCGATATAGGTAAGGCAGAGTCTAAACGTGAAATTGGGAAACTCCTACCTCTAGGTACTTTAATGTACCAACACAAGGATCCCCATAGATCCCATTTGATGCTGTCAAACGGCAGCTGCGTTTCCCCTGGCAGGATCTTTTCACTTTGTCGAGCGATCCCGCAGCTCCGCAGTTCGTGGTTCGTACCGGTCCTCCACAGATGTGGCCACCAGTTAAACGGCCATAGTTTGCTGATACGATGTTGATCTTCGGTTTATTTGAAGGACAACTGATTATTTGCGAGCGGGCCTCACAAATTCGCAGCAAAACTGAGTCTTGGAAGCATATTTGTGATTTTGGTACGCACTCATACCTCACCTTTTTCAATAGAAATAAAATCAGCACAATGACACTCCGACATAAAGACGAGGAGAGGAACTATTTATGCGTTATTTGGAATTTCGAAGGTTAATACTATTTACACGTTGCGAAAACGAAAAAACTCGTCAAGGAAATTTAATTGAAAATACAAGTTGGCACTCACCTCCAGATATTTCAAAGTGCCATAGCACGGGTCTATTCCAAAGGCCGAGGGTTTAGCATGCAATATGCACCTTGACTGTCCTTGGCACTCATATTTAGCGACCATCATGGATGTTCCAGCATGACAATTGGTGTTTCTATTATTTCTAAATCCACAAATTCCTCTCCGGGTGCGTCCGTAAGTAGCGCTTACGATGTTGATGACCTTCGAGTGGCAGTTTATTGCCATCGATTGACTTTCACAGACTCGACGAAAATATCCCTCTGAAAATACAAAAGAAGATATATTAAAACAGATGTTTTTGGGTGGACTGCTATTTGAATGTCGTAAAGAAATCTTATAAGCGCTTATATTCTGATTAACTCTTTACACCTTGCCATCAGTATGCATATTCTCTATACTGTTTCTATAGACTTCTTAAGGTGATGACATAGAGAATTTGTTCACCAATCAAGAGCGTCTCTATCGCTGGTGATAACTTCTTTTATTCTCGTGACTTCACTGATTGATTCAGGCCGGATGACTGTAAGGAGAAATTGGAAGCCAGTCACTTTTAGGGGTTAAAAGAGTTAACTATTTCACTCCCACATGTGACCAAGACAGAATTTCTCCTTACAATATCAATACAATATCAAGCAGGCAGGTGATGAGAATAGAGAAGAATATCAATCATGGGATTATTAGTTGATCCAATACCAAATTCTCTAAACTAACATCATAAGAATTGTATAACAGATAATCAGGAGAATTACTAATTAGATCTTGGGAGTGAAAGGGTTAAAGTAAGATTACGACACCAAAGTTTTTTCTTAACCCCTAAGAATGCCTGACATCTAATTTCTCATTACAGTATCACCCCTGAATCAACAAATAAAGTCACGAGAATATAGAAAATGATCATCAAATGAAGAAGCTCTGGACTGTTTAAGGAATTCTCCCCGTCAGCACCTTAGGAAATGTATAGAGAACAGTATGGAGAATATGCATACTGATGTTAGGGTGTAAAAGGTTAATACTGAAACTAGCCGATCAAGAAATACAGTAACTCACCTGAACCACTTGATATCACAGCAAGGAGAAATAACACCAAAAAACGAGACATCTTTGCTTGTAATTTGAACCTAAAGGAAAGTTTAAATCAGGCATTCTGCTATTACTGTCGAGAAATGCATTATTCGGTGATCTTGGTTTCTACAAATATGTTAAAAAAATTGCAATTGTCCTATGTTTTACAGGAAGAGTTTTCAGGATCAAAATGTTTCAGTCCATAAAAGGGTCAAAAAATGTCTCTCTGCCTCTGTTAGCTGAAAGGAATCATTGCAATTCATTCCTTGTACAAATTAACTCGAATTCCTTTTTTTTCCATTCAAGCAAACCCCTTATTTTCCGTATTCCTTGAAAAGATTCATCTTTATCTGGGTCTCATTCTTTCAATTTTCCGGAAGAAATAATTACCTGTTCCCTGTTTCCCCCAAATGAAGTCCTTAAATCCTTGTTTATTGAGGTAAATTTGAACATTTGCCATTCTCGTTTTCCTAGTAAAACGAAGGACTTAACGCACACTAGTATCCAGATACAGCTGGTTCCTTCCTCTTATTTTTTGAATTGAATAAAATTCTCTGTTGCACTATTTCGACTGAAACTGAATTTGAGAGCAATGCTACGGAGAACCATCTCAAAAAACTACTCTCTGCTTTTACACAAATGTTTGAATTGCCCTCATAGAAACCGTGACTGGCGAAAGAATTTACTTCGAATACCTGACAACAGGAATTTAGCAATGGTCAATTAATTTTCCTTCTTTTGTATGGCTTTGTCAGCAATGGTTTTTTTGATTTATTAAGGTATCCAAATTCAAAGAAGATATTGTGCATTCGTAATTATTAAGTTGACAAGTAGATGCTTCTTTTAAATATTTTTTTCGTGCGATCTGCCGATTTTCTTGGGGCACGAGAGATCAACATACTGCTTTCTCTCCAAAAACTATCGCTCTTCGTTTGATACGCGAGCTGGTTGTTCAAAAAGCGGTGAGCATAAATCCAATTGCGACGGTATTATTTTTTCGGCGTGATGTAATATTAAGAAACAAACATGTGAGCTGTGAAACCGTATTAACTGCATCAACGCTCGCCGTGACCGTTCTTATCTTGCTTACCTTTTCGCTTGTTTGCAAGTGATTTGATTCGTAGGAAAGAATTTATCCCAAGCCTTATCCTTAAGATATCTTTAAGATCAAAGCCTTAGCAACTTGCCGGCAACGTAACTTATAGACACTGGGGAAAGCACGACAAGCTTTTGTTGGACTGGTGTCAACAACTGGACCTGTTTTTTGAACTCGTTGGTGATATTTTTAGCGTATCCGTCTAGTTCGTAAAGCGAATGACGGTAATGATGATGTAACCGAATTACAAGCTGCGTGCAAGAGTGATCAAAATTTCAACCCTGTAAAGGAGAAAACTTTCGATAAAAAGGAATAATTATGGTATCGAACAAGAAGATGGAGAAAACTTAAACGAATGAAATAAGTTCTGGTTACTACTACAAACAAATTTCGCTGTCAGAACTTCTTCATGTCACATTTTGATACAGCTTCCGTGAACGGTTACTAAGGAAGAATCATCAATCAAGCGAGTGACACTATTAGAGTAAACTTCCTCCTCTTTCGAATACCTACTCCGAGTCATAGTTGATGTTTTTTTCTCTCTAAAAAGGCTCTCAATCAGCCAAAGCGGAATCTTACTTGAGATATGCGAGTTTCACGATTTGTTAATCAACTTCCTCAGTAAAATAAAGGGGGTAAGTTTCCAACTGTGCTGCGGCGTCGGAAGGAGGTCGACAATTTTCTTTTATCAACTGACATGATGTAAATTAGCCACCGTACAGAATTTTTGAAGCCGACGTTTCAAGAGTTAGCCCTTCGTCCTGAGACTATCGCTTGAATCATCCGTGAAACAACCTTGTGAACTTTAAATTCATCAGGTACAATAAACCGATATGAATTATTTGTGCTAGTGATAATAGTTTTTGTTATTTCAATCCGTAGATATCCCTACTCTAAACAACAAAATTCATTTTCCATATAACAAATCAAGTCATCGCATAAATCTGCTGGTATTATTTGATCAGTTTGTCATTCAGATATGGGAAAATCTATTTTGACTGAAAGTGATGTTATTCAACTGAGTTTCAAATTGTGATGTGTCCTTGTAAACAAATGAACGGAAATAAACTATATGCTTTTTTTAACGTTACTGAACGCGTCTTTTGGGCTTGCTCGCTTTTTGTTTACTTAAATGTTTTCGATCACACGGGAAGGAAGACTGGATCCGAGAGAGCGATCAAAATCGGGCCTCAACCGACAGAGTATGTTTTCAAGTCTTCCTCTCTATTTTATCACAATCATTTTTCAAATATTAACTTTAGGCTATTTTGATACCGACAGCGAAATTTTTAAGCTACACTCGCCCACAGTTTCATATAAACTTCAATATGTCTTACTTCAAAGGTCCTCAAAGTCTCTTAGCAGACATTTACTAGACAGGAAATCAATTTCCACACCTTGTTGTTTTATATATTCCATATGGGTTTAGAAATATGAAAAATATCCCTGAAAAACTAATAGTTATTTCAATTAAATTTAATTTTTCTAGATTTCCTTCTCTTGGATGTTGCCTTTCTCAAGAAAGATGCCTATGTGTTCGTTCGTTGTCCTTTACAAGAAACATTTCCTTGGAATCTGTCTCATTCTTCCCGACACCGAAGAAGCTTGGGAACTCATTTCATTCACCGGTCTGAAACTAAAAACTTTAAATAAGATTTTACACTAAGAGTCACTGCTCACTGCTTTGTTCGAAGGTGGCATGTCCATATTCATTAAGATTCCTGAAAACTGTCCGTGTCTAACAGCAATATACATTATCAGTTCTCGTGCTCATTATCACCACTGTCTTGATTCGTGGTGTTCGAAAAGCGCTCCAGTCTACGCCGCCTTATTTCAGAGTTCTCGTCATTTGAGTTCAGTTCTGTTTGCGAAATGTCTTTATCTGTTGAAACTGCGGCTTTTGCCGCCGAGTATTCAGAGGCTGAAGAATCAGATTCTGCGGAAGGCCCAGGTGTAGGTGAAGATGATTTCCCTGCGGATAAGAATGTATTCGTTCCCGCTGTCTTTGTCGTTCCGCCGAGTACCGAAGATTGTGCGCCTCCTGACCCCAATTCCGAGGGACCATTTTCTGTCGTTCCTAATCCCGAGGGACCTGCTTCAGCGGTCCCATATCCTGAGGGTCCCGCTGAGGTCGACGGCTGAGGAACATTTAAGGGCGGTTGTCTGAAAGACAAATACGCAGTGTGAGAAGCAAAGAAAAGTCGGAGGTGATTTAGCAAATGGGTCTACTGTTTGTGGCAGGCAAGGAAGCTAGTCTGCCTCTCGAGGCAGTCACGTGAGGGGAATTACTGTGTTCAGTCAGTAAAACGACGCGATTGTAAACGGAACAAAGGTAGTGGTGGAGTAGGTAGACTCCGTACCAGGCCTCCCTCTTTTCCGCTCTGTGGGTTACCAACTTGTGGTTAGTTTGAGCTTTGCATCCCACTGGTTGAGCAAAAAGCTCTGACTTTCTGAACCAACCACAAAGTGGAATGAAGTTTTCCCACCAGGATCATTTAAAAATTGACCTAGAACACTAATTCAATAATAATTTTAAACGAAAGAAAATGTGATCAGATTCCTTTTCAGGAAAGAACCAATCATAAAGTGGATTGCAGCTTTCCCTTAAGGACCATTTAAAAATTGATCAAGAACATTAATTTAATCACAATTTTAATGATATGGATTCCTCTACAGGATTGAAGAACCCTCTAAACTGTGCCTTGCTCCTGACGTGTACCTGCCAAGTAGTATCTGGGAAGCAGGAGTTCAAACCCTGTTGAAGCCTAATTTTATTTTTGGTTTCTTTGCTGAAATTGCCTAAATTCCAGCACACACACATGAATCATTGCTTTACATGAACTTTCATTTACTTAACTTACCTCTGCGCATTTACCATCTGAGTGTATTGATTAAGCTGCACTATGGCAGCATCCAGCAGGGCATGTACAGTCCGTAACATGTTTATCCTTGCTTCCACATTCTGTCTTTCCTGACCTTCAACAGCTACCAGCTGTTCAATATTTAGAGATGAAAAGTCCATGTTGGGAGGCATGCTGAGATCACCTAATGGGAAAAAAAAAATTACACACACCCAATTAACCCTTTACATCCTAACATCAGGGTGCAGATTCTCCATACTGTTTTCTATAGATTTCTTATGGCATTGACTAGGAGAATTTGCTTGATAATCATGAGCTTCTTAAATTGATGATCACTTCCTTTATTCTCACAGCCTTTACATTTGATTTAAGGCTAATACTGTAAGGAGAAATTAACTGTTGGTCATTCATAATGGTTAAAGGATTTGACGTCTTCTGTGATCCATAACTGAACACAACACCGGCAACATCAAATCTATAAATTTGCACTGTATGATAAAAATGAAAATGATTTTTATTGTGACATCATCTATGGGTCTACTATCCATTAGATCATAAGGGAGAACCAATCAAAATTCTTCTTATATAAAAGCAATTGCATCTTATTTCATTGAGCAAATAAACCCTGACAACTTACCAAACATGAAAGGTGGCATCATGAAAGGTGGAGGAAACATAAATGGTGGAGGCATCCCAAATCCTGGCATCTAAAGAAGAGAAAATAAAAATAACTGAGAACAGAAAGGAAGCACAGCTGAAGTTTCTGTCTTTAGGTCTTTCATAATTCCTTTTTCCTGTGGTTCAACTCAAAAACTCAGAAGCTGATGATATGTGATTTAAATCAGAGATCCACAAGCATACAATGAGTGACAAAAGCAGTTGGCATGCTTTTCCTTAGTAGTTGGTCAACAACCTTTCACTAAACTTAACAAATAGAAATCTTGAAATTCATCTTGCAACTCCAAACAATAAAATATTCTGGCTTAAGTCATTCAAAGGCTGGATAAACCTAAACACCAGATAAATCTCTATTCGGTAGATAGCAATATCAGTCCTTTGAACAAATGGGTCCTGAACTTTACAATTACAACTCAGTAAGACATATTGACTGAGTCTGATGCAAAAAGAGTTGAAACCTGGCAAATATAATTTATTTCCACAGACTAAAACAAATAAATCACAGCTGTGTCTCATATTAGTTATTGATAGTGAAGTTAAAAGCACAACACCTGTGTTTGGCTGGCATCCTGAGCTGAACTTGGACCTGCCAGAAAAATACAAAAACACAAAATTCCTTCACACAAGATCAGAGATCTATGCCAAAGTTACATTAAAAACTTGCTTGTTCATCATGAAAATATCAATAACTGCACAGAAGTTTACATGAAATGTTAGAAAGAAATTTGTTTCTGGAATGACCCACCACATTTCAATAGCAGTTACTGATAAAGGGTGAAATATGTTTTCTTTCTTGCAATTACTGGTTTCATTACACCAGGTCACACATCCCACTGCTATGGGTGATATCTCCAACATAGTAACTACTTCAAAACTTAGTGACAGCCTTGGATAAAGCATCTCATGATTTATACAATAAAATGGGAAGAAAAAGATTACAAAAGGGCTGTGTTTATACCTGGTTGTGGAGGACTACTAGAACCAGTAGCAGAAGTAACACCAGGGGCAGGTGCTTGTGATGGGACAGGAGGTTGTTGTCCTGGTGGAAATGGAGGAACACCCATTGGTGGCCAACCAGGAAACATGACTGGAGGAGCTAAGAGTAAAAACAAGACATTAACCCTTTATACCCAAACATCAGTTATCATATTCTCCAAACTGTTCTCTATATATTTCCTAAAGTGCTGACAGGGAGAATTTGTCTAACAATCAAGAACTCCTTTAGTCACTCTTAGGTGTCAAAGGGTTAACATGTATCAAGTGATGTGAATTATATTCTTTCACTCTTTATCTCCCAGAAGTGATCAACATGTAACTTCTCCTTATAATATCCATACATTTTATCAGCAAACAGGAATTGAGAATTCTCAAACTTATCAGCTAGAAGTTGTTATCTTGATCTAACACCAAATTCTCATAACTAATTTACAAATAAATATGTAACAGCAAGAGAGGAGAATTAACAATCAGATCTTAGGGGTTGAGGGGCTAATAAGGGATGAGTTGAGAAAATGAAATGAGAATGAGCTTGAACAATTAATCAGAAAACTTTTGATAGAAGCGCCATGTATATACATATTCCACTTCTCAGAGAAAGATTGGAACAGATACAATGATTGATGTGAAGCAGGTTTTCAAAGCCTGTCAGTATGATTCAACCAGTACAACTCTTGTAGTTTGGGTGCTCAATCAAGTATGTGCTGCAAACATCAGGCAAAAAGAAATACAACAACAACAAAAAAACTCAGTTAAGGGAAGAAGGATGCAAGTTTTACAAAACACAACCATGAAGTTTTTACAGGCACAAATAAGTCTCATTTCCAATAAGTTCTTACCGTTTTGTAGACCTTGGGGTTGTACCCCTGGGGTAGGGGGAATTCCCATAGGCGGAGGAGGAACCCCCATGGGATGGAAGCCAAAAGGGGGCTGAGGAGCTTGTGGGGGTGGCGGCTGCTGAGGCTGTGGTGGGGGCTGAGGTCTGAGTACATCCATTCTACATGTTGGACATGTTTGCTGCCTTTGAAACCAAGAGCGTAAGCAGCTTGTATGGAATATGTGATTGCATGGTAATTTTTTACAGCCTGTGGTCATTTCTTCACGACATATAATGCATACATTGTCCCCTTGTTGGAGTTCTTCAGGTGTGGCATCTGGATAACTAGACAAGACACAAAGGAAAAAAAATTACATCACAGCACTAGCCTTGATTAATAAGTACACCAGTAAAATTCATCCTTTAACAGTTTCTGTTTGACAAAGTTAACAGTTCTCCAAGAAGAGAATCCTCTGGTTTGGAGAATAGACATTCACAAGCAATCAAACAAAGCCACAGTCTTAGCTGTCCTATGAGGTTGGCAAATGGGAAAGGGTTCCCAGAAATAAACATCTACTGGTACTCACAGTGTATTCATATTTGAAATAGCACGCCGAGACATAATAACATCACTAATACATTTCTTGAATCCCCTACAATGAAACCACAAAATGGATTAAGCTCTGCACCTTAATTCATAAGAAGGCTTGAAAATGAAATGTTTAATTCATTAGCTTTCTTTTAACCCTTTAACTCCCAGAAGTGACTAACATTTAACTTCTTCCTATAATTTCCTCACTATTTTTAGCAAACAGTTAATGAGAATACTCAAACTTATCAGGTAGAAGTTCTTATCTTGATCTTACACCAAATTCTTGCCACTAATTTGCAAGTAGTTGTGTAGCAGCAAGAGGGGAAACTAAACAATCAGATCTTGGGAGTTAAAGGATTAAATTATTACATCATTGGAGTGGAAATACAGCTAAAAGGTTAATGTGTTTGTTGTTTGGTTTATGCACTTCCCTAGGAAAATTTTCTTTGATTCCTATGCATACAAGGTAGTTGACTCAGTTTGGAGAAGTTTTCAATTCAATTCTTAAAGTTACCTCACATTATTTTGTTATTCCTTTTTTAACCTTAGTGGTTGGTCTGAAAAATTCCCACCACTGTTTTTAAGGGACATTAATGCACTGAAAACTAAACTATTATGATTTCTTAATGTTTACAATGATATTTTTCTTTCTTCTCATAAGTTGTTGCAAATAATTTGGTTTAACAACAATCAAATGAATTTTCCCCTAGTTACCAGTATTTATTTATGATAAAAACAATGGTTCTTTGTGATGCAATGCTTGATTTAAGAAAAATCAAGAGACTTACCGTAACGTCAAGTACATGGGTCTAATGGCAAAAAGTGGGAATGTATGTACTTTGATCATGATGATCATAAAACAAATATAAAGAACACTCTTGATAAAACCTACGACAAAAGAAATAACAAGAAATAATCATGAAACGAATATGACCCACATGCACTTTTGTTAAAATATTTTAGACAAAAATCCTTGTATGAAGGTTGTATGCCATGACAAAAGAAAGAAAGAAAGTGAAACGGTGGAGGTGGTATTATAAATTGCTTATTGACTAAGTCACAGCATAGGTTGGGTGACACTGGAAAATACTTTGCTCTACATCATGCTGCATCCCTTCCATACTTCATGACCAAAACTTATTTTCCTAACAGATTCCCTTACTCAGTCAATAATTACATAATTGTGAATTGCAATGCACAAGATCAGAGAAAATCATCCAGTCAAAATCCTAGACCTCTTGAGCCAAACTTTGACACAAATATTGTTACACCTCCAAATATCTTGCTTTGCGACATTAACAGGGTTTGGTAAATAAAATAGAATCAGTGTTACCTGTAATTAATTCAGTATACAATAGATACACAGCTTTGTTATCCCATGGATTTTCACTTCGAAGGTCTACAATGTGCAGGATGTATTTCATCTGGATGGTTACTACTATTGTTAACAGAATGGCATACTGCAACAAAAATTGTGAAAAAAAATTTAAATCAGGAGCCTAGATGAAGCTCACAGAGAGGTAAAAAAATTATTTTTGGTAAAGTTCTGCAAGTCACCACTTCAACACAGTTCATATTCCTGTTATAAATGACCATCATGTCTTGAAATTATAAATCCTCATTTACTAACGCATGTGTCTGCATTATTTTCCTGCATAGAATTTGCACTTCTGTCCTGAGCTCATTCAGGTTTCAGCAGAATGAAACAACAAGGAAAGTTGCTTTTCCTCCTGAATGGGAAATTACCAAAGCACATTGCAAGTTACACCCCCCCCCCCCAACCCTCCTTCTCCAAACACTCTGTAAAAGTCCCTCTGAAAGATTTATGGCATGAGAGTAAAGTATTTTGCCAAAATGAACCTCACACCTGAACCTTTCAGTGCAAAATCCAGCAACCTAACCATTTCTCCACAGTAGGTAATGCAGGGGTATAGTTAGATTTGGGAAGGAGAAGATCCTGAGGTAATTATGACCTCTGCTTGTATTTCTGAGTCAATAACACTTTAAATCTTGTGATTCAGGTTTGAGAAAATGTACAAATCCCAAGAATCTGTCCAGTGTAAATATCCTCCTGGGATAAATACTCCATTTGTCAGTTCATCATCCCACATGATTAGAAGCTGGTATAAGCCACTTCATGTAGGACATGCAGACCTTTATAATTAAAACCTCCTTCTTAATTAATTATAACCTCTCCCTCTCCTATAAAATACTATTCATGCCCTTGTTATTGCTGTTAAAAGCTGTATCAATCTCTATTCTAACCTCAAATCCAAAAACAAGTTGTACTGATGCTCCACTTTGCATAGTTGTATTATATGCAACATGCACAAGAACTGCATCCACCATCCCCAGAAACATGAGAAGCAAAACTGCTCGGACATGGAATAACCATGTCAATACAGGACTTCTTTCCATGTAGTCAATCCTGTCTTCCGCCAACCAATGGAAGCATTTTAGAAACAACAACATTGTAAACTGAGCAACAAATCGAGGACTAAAGTCGTCACGGAAAACTGTAAATGCCAAGCAGGTTTCAGTGACTGCATACCATGATCTCTCTATCAAATGCTGAAAGAACCAAAAGAATGTGTTAAGATCAGTTTGTTTGAGAGTGCTTTTTGGGAAAGTGAACTAAAGGAAAGAATGAAATTTGAAATTGCAAACTAGAATGAGGAATTTATGGCACTTGAAAAGGGATATCAGAGTCAAAGCTTAAGACAAACAGGAGGTAAATTAATTAACCTCTCTTAAGGAAAGAGAGGTGAAATAATTTATTTGCAATTATAACCTTATTTACTATGGTACCTCCAACTTACACTAGTCACAGAAACTCGATCGCTTGACAGTTTTTATACACTCACTTTTAAGCAAAGAGACCAATTTTATCCCATTATTTGTGACCGAAAGATTAATTTGTAATGAAGAGTACTTTACCTCCATCTCAGCTGCTCGCAACTGTCCAAAGAATACCTTTCGCATCATTTTACCGAACAGAATAACAAGCACGAACGCTTGAATGTACAAAACCTACCGGAGAGAATGACAGAGTTCATGTCAAAACAAACGTAAGGCTTCATCGTTTCAATACATAGCAGATGATCGGCTACATTCACCGACAAAAGACAGATTTCCTGATAAATTCATTCGGTCAAAACTAGCAGCTTACCGCCATACTTGGACTGGATTTAGTTAAGTACACGACAGAAGGGTAAAATTGATTCTTTTGGTAGTAGGCATTCGCAACAACAGCCCCAGTTAACGCCAAGCTGGCTGCAGTGAGAACCACTTCTCTCATCTTGTAGGCGGGTATTAGCGCTGAACTTGAGCTAATAAATTTAACACATAATCTTCAAAATCTGCCGGACCTGTATTAGCAATCGCTCAGTAAACACTAGGAAAAATTCCAAAATTCCGTGGCCAGTTTTAACTGGCTACCAGCTTCCTCTTTTGAAGGAACATAAAGTACACACGTCTGCACATACGGGAACTTGTGTTGTCTTTTGAAGAAATCCGCTGAATTTTAGGAACGGAGGCTCCATATGGCGGTGTTGGGAAATCCTTTGTCTTTCTGTTCAATATGACTCGTTTAATCAAAATCATGTAACTCTGACTTGTAATTTGTTTTATAATTGCCTGAATAATCCTTGAAAATTCTCTTTAAATTTTTTGTTTGACCATATGCCAAGTCCATGTGCGAAAATGTCCGAGGGAGACGAAACTGACGAAAAACAATGTATCCCGTTTTCCATATGGGAGAAAATTTGTTTAGTTTTCAGAACAGGCATATATTTTAGAGTGACAGGTGAGAGCAGCTTGCGATTCTTCGCCTTCCTCATTAGGAAATGACTTGTGTTTCAAGCTTGACTGAAGAAAACAAAAATTATTATAAAATAACAACCGATCTTCAAGCTAAAAGATATTTTTCAGCTGAAATGTCAAGTAAGAATTTGTGGTGTAATGGAAAGGAGACGATCGAGTTATGTTCACTGCCAAGAGAAAGTAATATCCCACTTTTTTCTCTTGTTACTACTTAATAGCTATAAAATAAGGCTTGGACAAAATTCAAGCTTCAACCGCAGCGACACAGACTAAAAGGAAATGACTCGTGTTTCAAGCTTGACCGAAGAAAACAAAAATCTTTATAAAATAAAAACCGATCTGCAAGCTAAAATATGTTTTTCAACTGAAATGTCAAGTAAGAATTTGTAGTGTAATGGAAAAGAGACAATCGAGCTGTGTTCACCGCCAAGAGAAAGTAATATCCCATTTTTTTCTCCTGTCACTACTTAAGAGCTGTAAAATAAGGCTTGGACAAAATTCAAGCTTCAACCACAGCGACACAACCTAAAAGACGTCAAAAACCAATCCGTACTCCCTTCAGCGCATACCGGACAAAACCTCAGACTCGCTAAGCTGGTGACTTTATGCTCACAAGTAACCTCCTCCTCCCCCAAACTGCGCACATTACTCGTCTGGTTTTTTTTGAGAAGTCTCAAAACTTCACGTCAACTTGCTCCACATCAAGTATGAGCAGAAAATGGTAAGATGTTATTGGGAGTTTTTCGGGAGTGGCTTCCGGTGGGGAAGTATGTAGGAAGTGTGTTACAAGTTTGTCAAGTGCCCCAACAGTGCCCAACTATAACACTTCTTATTTGTTTTGCTATTTCTAGAAACTGGAGTAATTGAACCGAATACAACTGAAATACAGAAACTTCTCTTTCGATTTTCAGCTTAGATTGATGGCCTAACAGAAGGATTATGTAATTATGAAAGAACCTTGACCTCAGAATAAAATCTGACGTGTAAATGAAGTGATACAATGAAATGTTTTCGGCTTCATTTGTTTGTTGTTCACAGTAACCAGGAAGAAGGGTCAGTACGTCTTTAATGATCAGAGAGAAGTCTATTTTATACACTGCTTGATTACGTCAAAGGGCATCTAATATTTGTTCCCTTTCCAAGGGTGCTTATTTTGCCTGCTTTGAGGAAACATCCCCATGTTTGGGCTTGTCTTAAAGAGTTCTTGATTGTTTTTCTTATTCCCCCATGCAAGAACTCTATCAGAATTAAAAGAAGTCAAAGCATTCACATGTTATTTCATGCTTCAGTAGTAGTTTTACCCTATTTATTTCATTTCCGGATCAACGCACTTGAACACGTGATCAAACCCTCAGGTGACACAGTCCGCCATATTGGTCCACCCACATTCTTTTTTGGAAAGCAAAGAAGCGACATAAAAGGCAACAGGTTTTCAAGTTGCGAACTCCATAAAAGGCCATCCTACAACAAGCACAATGCAGAGCGAAGATTCCACAACAACAACAGATGAACTAGACAACATGCATTACGGAGCTCAATCTCAAGGAAGCGGAGTTCTTGATCCGTCCTCGATTGAAGAAGGAGAATTCGAAGCAGCAATGGCTGGCGATCATGATGCACATGGATTGAAACGACCGACGGAAAGCGACGACGACGGTGACGCTGATTCTAGCATGTTGGTGGAGGAAAGACCTAAGAAAAAGACCCGAGGACGTGTTAAAATCGAAATGAAGTTTATTGCCAACAAGTTGAGGAGGTACACGACGTTTAGCAAAAGAAAAACAGGGATTATGAAAAAGGTTCGTGCACACCTCTCGCAACTGGTATGCGAATTAAATATTTCGTTAGTAAATTTTAATGTTAAAAGAATGCTTTCTTGTAAAATTTACCCTATTATTTTATTTTATTTTTTATTTTAAAGGCCTACGAACTAAGCACCCTGACCGGAACGCAGGTGATGCTGTTGGTAGCTTCCGAAACAGGGCATGTTTACACCTTCGCCACAAGAAAACTTCAACCCATGATTACTTCAGAGAGCGGCAAAGCTCTCATTCAAACGTGCTTGAACTCTCCCGATCCTCCTGTTTCTCAGATTCCGAACCCAGACCAAAGGATGTCAGCGACGGGATACGAAGAAACAGATCTAACTTACACCGTGAACGAAAATGACGCCGAGAAGATGCAGGTAAGATTTATAGTTTGAAGTAGACCGATCTTTTGAATAGTCTTTATTTTTCATTCATCGAATTATGCATACACAAGAGAACACAAAATGACACAGAGAGTATGACTGAAAATTTTGCTATTTTTATATAAAATTTTTGGAGAATTTTCTTCAATGTTTTTTTTTCCTCTCCATGACCTGGCAGATCCAAACATAAGGCAAATCTATTTCATCTCGCTCTCAAAGTACGGCAAAGAAAAATTGCTAGTAGGATATTTTCTTTGTAGGAGCATTTTTTGAGCGATTCGAAGCCATCAGCCTTGTGTTTTTGCGCAAAGCTTACATTTACCTTGCATTTTACCGTGTTTATATCCTACTCTCGCGGCAAAATGTTCGCGTAAAGTTTTCAAACTCCGCGTCCTTTAAAACATTCCAACCATATATGGCACCCGTTTCCTTCTTTGGTACGTTTCCTGCCCATTTTTGGAGACCAAAGTAAACCCTCTCGTTCGCCTTGTTTGGGGAATCCTCTTTCAGTCGCAAATACTTGCATTTCATAATGTGATCACAATAATTTAGGTGGAATTAATTTCCAAGACTCAGCGATGAAAGTTTTCGTTTTTAATTTCGCTCGAGCGTTGTAATTTGATATTCTCATTATATGGATAATTTTCGGACAAGCTAGATTCCCACGCTCGTCATCGTATCGTCGAATTCAGAATTCTCTCAACAAAACGTATCATCGACTTTATTGTTGAAATCTCTAGTATACTGTGCACTTCTTAAGCTGAAATTCTTTATAAATCTCATACCGCGCTGACGTATTTTTATATTGTGTCTGAATAATTTCTGCGACATATTGTAAACCCTATTTGACGCCGTTCTATGCAAGTTTACAATATCTGTGCCTCTTAGAGAGAAGAATTAGGAGTTTAAATTTTGCATTGAAAATTTTCAATTGCTACAATCATCTTTATGTCTTCTCTTTGTTTGTTAGTAATTTTCCATTGCATTAACAGGTTATTGACAACATACCTGTCGCAAAACGTTGCAGATATTGTGGTTGAATTTTTAAAACAAAAATTACCATCTAGGGGAATACAAACCAGGAACTGATGGATAATAGAAAAACAATATCATGCATAAACAAATAAATTTAAATTTATTTTTTAGTAAAATTCAAACCTCTTATCATAATATTTAAGTGGGGCATTTGTTAATTTTATCAAAATATTTAGGTATGGTGTTTGTTAATTTTAGAATTTCAAGTCCAATTCTATTTTAGTGTTCTCATTTAGTAGAGGATTTATCTTTGACTATGTATCACTGGCATTTTTATTAAGTTATTGATCAACTGACTGATAATGATTTTTCATAGATAAATTAATGAAAAAAGTATGTTAACTGTACATAAGGTTGGCTTCAATTTTATTGCATTATCTTGTAATGAATATATTATTTAAGTATCTTCCCAAGTTTGCACGTTTTTCTTTTCAGTATTGTATAAAATTGTATGGTGGAAGAAACAAGTTTTCTTCATTCATACCCATGAATTTTATGTCTTTTCTCACAAGAAAATCTCTTAATTTTCCTAGGATAGAGGTGGCATTTTCACATCCCAACAAATAGACACTAATCAGGGACTGACAGTGGGTTCGTTATCAGGGGCAAGTGGATCCATGACGGGTATTACAGCATTGCCGGCAACAGGACATTCCTTCCCCATCACAACCTACATCCCACAATCTAACATCCAACAGCAAGGTGGTAACAAGAACACGTCCATTCAGTCTTCATATTCTGTGCAAGCTATGCCTGGAGGAGCTTTTACCACCATATTTGCTCCAGGGACTTCAGTCCAGTTGGGACAAACACTTGCACAAGGACAGCAGCAAGGGTCTACAGTACAGGTATGCAATTGACACAAGTTTGTTCCTTTATTTTGCTGAGAAATTATCCATTATTACCTGCTTTATCAATTTCAATTCCCTTTGCGCTATTTTTGTTCAGGAAAAATTGCAATATACAATTTGCAGGTGAAGTAAATGGGATTCACCTTGCCAGCAAATTAAGCATAGTTTTCAGTGAGAACTGGCAAACTTAGATGCTATTGTTAATTCACTTCAATGTGTTACTGTTTTCTCTTCACTGAAAATGGGAACTTAAAGAATCAATTAGAACCATAAACTGCCTACTTTAAATTGAGATTTTGTCAGTTAATTGTTTTAAAGATTAGATTAACAATCACATCTTTCATGTATCATATACTACTATACTGCATTTCTGAATTCCTCTTCTCTGGCTCTCTAATCACCTTTTACTAGCCATAGAATCATTTGCAAACAAGTGGCTGAACATTGTTAAGATTGAGGTAAATCTATTGTCAGAAACTGCTGTATGATTTGAGAATTAAACTGCATTTGATTATTACCAGACTGTAACAAAGAGTTATGTTTATCTGCCCACCAAAATCACTGGATTGAAAATAATTATGCAAGAATGGTCTTGTGGAAGATAAGGTTGAGTTCCATTTAACAAAAGTCAACATCAAGTTAGTCGTGTTATGACAGTTTTGGTCAAAATATTTGTTGTTTTTTGAATGTCAGTACATTAATCATAAGGCAATAAAGTATGCAGAATGCTTTGTCATCTTACTCCTTATTCGGAGGTTAATAATTGGGCACAGTGGGACAGTTTGGTGCTCGGAATCTTAAGAGTTTAACATTTGTTTGTTTCATTCACTTGAAATTTTTGTGGTTCATTCAAAGTAAAGTTCCCTTTTTTGGGTAGCCAACAAAATGATGTTTCCTACTGAGGGAAAAAGCTTACCATTTTCCATCATCAGATCATGGTATCAGAGTAGGAATTTCAAAGCATCTCTAAACATATGTCTGCAGTTTCTCTCTCACTGAAATGTGAACAAGGATTTCAAAGGAGGTTACAAAATACCAAACCTCTTTCAAGCTCAGGGTGACTTTGTTTTCAAAAGTTATAATTTTTTTGTACAGATGCTGTGTATGGTTAGTTTGAGTTAAGGGATTGTTAACGAAGCAATTTGTTAATTAAACCTGGTCATAGATTTATTGAAACTGAACTTGAAGTTGACAAAGAGTCATATGGATTGGTTAGGAATCCTAAATATAATTAACTGTTTAACTCCCAAGATCTTATTATTAAATCTCCTTACTATCTCCCATACAGTTCTTGTGATGTTAGTTTGGAGAATTTGGTATTGGATCATCTTATAATCCTCAAACTGATATTTTTCTTCATTTTCATCACTTGTTGGCTTGATATCGCATTGATATTGTAAGGAGAAATTCTGTCCTGGTCACTCATGGGAGTTAAAGGGTTAAGAGCATTTCTGAATCAGCAGAATAAAAATGATTGAATGGTTTGTTACTTATATCAATTAACAAATTAAATTTAATATCATAACACTTGTCGTAAATTGTTAGTATGAAGGGTAATACTGATATGTTCAGTGACACAGCATCTTGTAATGTTGTTAACCAATACATAGTTTGGTTTGTTTTGGCAGTTACTTCAGTTTTGTATGTTCATGTATGTAGAACTTTTGCTATCCACATGCTAGCTACATACTCCTACTTTTTTCATTCACACAGAAAGAAAGGATTTGTGTCCTATGTTGTACTCCAGGAAAAGTGCACTTAAGACTTTTATCATAACTTACTTGAGAGAGTTGAAAACAGGCTGAGTTAATTTATTGATAGCAGGATGCACTCTGCTAGTAGTTTTTAATGCCCACTGAGAATAAGCTCTTAATTGTTTCTTCAGTCTCTGCAAAGCATAAAGTGAGCCAGCCATAAATCTAGGCAAAAGTAAAAAAAAGAAAGTTTCCGTATCTTATAGTTCACACCAAGAAAACAAGGCTAGTAGGATATTTATTTTATCTCTGGGTTCAAGTAGAATGGGAATATTTCTGGTTAAACAAACTAATCAATTTAGCATGCCACAAAGTGAAATAGAGCCTGCCGAATTTACCAATCATAGTGCATGTACCAATTTAGGGGTTTGACAAGTAATTATTCTTGATGATATATTGAACAGTACATCTGGTCATAACAGGTGCTTGCACAGCCTGCTGTGCAGATCCAGCGAGTACAGCAGCCTCAGACTCAGACAGTGCAAGTTAACCCAGTGAACACCACAACAGCCTCAAACACCATCACCTTGCCAATTGTTCAGGATGCAGGCCAGACCCATGATAATAATGTTGACCAGTCATCTGGCTCACAGGCAAACAACTTGCAGTCAGTTGGAACAGTCGTGGTCCCCATAGCAACCAATCAAGATGGGAGTGTCTCCCTTGGAAATGCCATCCCTTCTTCCATGATGCTGACATCTTCCCAAGCAAGCCAAATCCCAGTCATGTACAGTGTGTATGCATCACCTAACTCTGGGCTGGTGACTGTGTCTAACCTCTCAGAGAGTGGCACAGAACAAGGGTCAGGACACACCCATCTGTCTGGAGAAGCAAGTGATATAACACAGCAGGCTCTTCCTGGGTCTCTGTCCTTGGCTGCAGTTCAAGTGCACCAGGATATAAACTCTGGTGTGCATGCTTATGCAACACAAGCTGTTGTCACAGAGAGCAGTGGCACTCAAACTGCAGATGAAATGCATACTATGGTCAGTGATCATGGGAATTTAACCGTGGGTACAGAGTCAGACACAGGGATTGTGAAAAATGATCTGTCAGTGTCTGTCAATTAAACTGCCTCTTTATCCCTTTCATGCTGATGATCTCATTAGTAATTCTCCTTACTATCTGCTGTACAACTTTAATGATGTTAGTTCTGAGAATTTGGTATTGGATCAAACGATGATCCCCCAATTGATGTTTTTCTGTATTCTCATTATAAGTGTGATTGATGTTGTTTTGATATTGTTAGGAGAAATTCTGTCTTGATCACTGGAAGTTAAAGGGTAAAGCACCCTTCCAATTTCAGGCAAGGTTGCCAATGTTGTGTGTAAATTTGAGTTTTGTTGAATTTATTGGGAGCAAGCATCATTATGTGTGTATAGCAGAAACAGGAGACAGCCATTTTGATTTATTTACCATAAGATATAATATGGAACATATTATATTGTATGGTAGTGCCTGTACAAGTGGTACAGATCATAAATACTTGCATGCGACCATCAAATTTCACTTGATTAAAAATGGAAGAAGCAAGAAAATTCTTACAAAAAAATAGCTGTTGTTTGTTTTTATTTCTTGTATAATTTATTAGAATTTGCTTCCCATTTTTTTAAACAAGTTGAAGTTTACCCAATATTTTCAACTATTTTACAGTTATTTGCTCAAGTGATGGAGTATCCTTAATTTGTTGCATATGGTTTTGCAAGGACAATTAATTATTTTTGAAAACCATCACGTTTGAATGTTTGGTAATGAGTACACGAAAATGAAATATCTGTCAATGGTTATTTTGCTGTATTGCATTTTTGTGATCCTTCAAGTTCCTAATGACACAACAAAAATATTATCAGTATTGCACTTGAAATTTGATCCTTAAAAAAACTCAAAGAAATGGAACTGAACATGAAACAATTTCAGTAGATCAGCTGATGCAAGGTTAAGTAAGGCTTATGATATCCCCAAGACGTAAAAAATGTTGCAATGTATCAAAGTGTAGGTAGCTACTGGTGGATATTTACTGAGCTGCAAAGCGATGAGACAAATATCCACAGCTAGCTACCAACACTGAGTTGAACTGTTGTTTTAGTGTTAACTTCAACAGTGAGATAATATAGCACAAGAATACAATTTTAACTCATTTATTCCTGCAATTATTACAATGTTTTCTGGCTAAAATCCTGCATGTGTGGCTGGGAGGTGAATAGCAGAGTATATTGGGAATTTGAGTTGCTAATCAGCGAGTGTGCCTTCAACACTATTATCTTTTGTAGTATATACTAATCATTATTAACTATTTCCCAAAATACTGACAGTAAATATTTGATTTGTATTCAAAGAAAACTCTTCAAAGAGTAGCAACTTATAACTGACTCATAATTCAATCAGCCTTTTCTCTTGACTTTAGGCTGCATTGAATGATGTTCTATTGACAGGTTACACTTATGATATAAAATGATATACAGTCCAGTTCAAATAGAGACAATTAAGATTTTGTACAATCATATACTAGTTGTAAACAGTCTTAACTGTTAATGATGTAAATATTTATAAATAGCTTGTACATTTTCATCTGATGGTCATTAAGGAGCATGAAAAAAAAACACAAATGTATTATATATCCTAAGAGACATTTGCTATGATTTTTTACATAGGTAACTTTTTTCTTAATATAGCTTTGAATATAAAATGAAAACATATTTACACTTGTCTCATCTGATGACTATTTTTTGTTAGAAAGATACTTAATATAAAAAGTGAGAAATAATGTCTTTACTGCTGGAATGTGAACCCTTTACACCCCAACATCAGTACGCACACTCTTCATGCTATTCTCTTTAATTTTCCTGAGGTGCTGACAAGAAAGTTTTTGTAAGAATCAAGAGAATCTTGATCATTTCCTTTATTCTCATGACCATAATGTTTGATACAGGAGTAATGTTGTGAGGAGAAATTAGATGCTAGTCACTCTTACATCATGAAAGCAAAGTGTTAGTGAATTCAAAATAATTGTTGCTGTAAGCAAATTATGGAACAGGGCTAAACATTTTCATGAAAATTCCTTGTGCCACATGAAGTAAACTGTTGTTTCCAAGGAGGTATTAACCTGTTAACTCTCCCCACTAGCAGCTACATATTGCCTTAAAAATTAGTTACCAGAATTTGGTGTTAGATCAAGATAAGTTTGAGTATTCTCATTATCTGTTTGCTTGATAATGTATGGATATTATACCTCAACCATCCCACATTACTCTTGCATGAGGAGCTCAATCTCTTCGAGTGGAGCACGCACTCTGATTTCCTTCTCAACCATTAAATCAACTATGTCTTGCAAATCATCTGGTAGAAGCTGTGCGGCATCCATGTACAAAGTCTGAAAAATAATAATTTATATCTTGCCTTTGAAGTCTCTTATTATATTCCATAAGTAAAATCCACAGTGTTGAGTCACATATTCTAATCCCATACACTAGATGATCAGTTATAAAAAAAATTTTAAAAAAAATATTATGCTTTTCTGTATTGGGAGAGTCACAACAGACAAATATAATCATTATGATAACAAAAGATATTAAGAGCCACGCGCATTGACAATTTGAACCCCAGCCAGTTCCAGATCTATGGTTAGGTGTTCTTCTAAGTGAGGTGCAGATCACAAGTTGGGACACTTGGTTCCTTCCTTGCCCTTCTACATGTTTGTTTTGAAATACTAGGTACAAACTGGCAATTATCAAGATTGGAAGGGGGAGACAGGTAACATAACAAAATGAGTGGCAATCCAAATAGGTAAAAAAATTGGTCTGTACTTGAGTTAAGAGGCCCATCCAGCTAGAACTTATCCCATTTTCCTAAGCATGAAGTGAGTAGGAGTATTACCACTCCTCCCTAGATGGGATGCCAGTTCATCACAACATTACCCACCAGTATTCCATACTGTAAGGGTTGTGTGTTTTCCCTAAGAACACAACATAAAGACCTGGCCACATCCCAAACCCAGGCCTCTTGACCCAGAGTCCAGTGCATCAACCACTAGGCCACCGTGTCTCCCACTGAACCTAAGAGGTGTCCCAACTAATTAAGAGAGAGTGATTCATACACTTGATTATTTTAAGTTTACTAGGTAATAACAAGATTTCGAGTCCAATTTGGTGTGAATAAGCATGAGTGAATTTTCAAAGATAACAAAATTGCACAAGCCCCTAGTGCTTATTACACTATATTGCAAGAGAAATCATGTTATTTCTTTTTAATAGTGTACATCACAGGAAGTCAAGACAGATGAATAGTGTCACAACTTTGCACTTGCGTTACAACTTTGCCCTTGTTTTCAGGTAATCAGAGGCCCATCATTTTTTCATGGACATTATTATAAGAGATACTACATTTATTCAATAATGTTACTGCATGACTTAGTTTTATTTACCTTAGCCCAGGGACAGTTCTGTATGGCTTGATAGAACACTGACTTTACCTTCTCCTTTTGATGTTTTGCCTAGAAGAAATTTTAAAGAGTTTGCATTTAACAAGCTATCATTGTCTGGTTATGCCAAAACTACAACAGATTACTTTTAAATTATTATATTTTTAAAGTATTATTCTACAAGTCAGTAACACAATCTTAATGCCATTGATTCTCAACCTAACAAAAGGATTTTGTATGTTGTCTTTTACTGATCCTGGGAACAATCAATAAATCTGCTGTTAGACTCAATAAGATCCCCCTTACACTGAACAAATCAAACTTGGACAATTGGTCATCTGACTGTAATATTTGACAAAACATTTATAAAACAAAGAGCAGTAGCTGCAAAACAGATGTTTCTACATGCCTCAAATTCCATGTACATCCTCCACAAAGCCACACAATGTCTTCCAGAGGAACTGCTCACTGCTCTTTCAAACAGTGCATACTGACGATGAACCACACCTGTAACTGGAAGGGACGTCACAGCTGCAGCACCTAGAGAGGGTGAATCAGTACATTCCATGACAGAGACAAGGGACTCTGCACGCAATTGCTCATAATACAGTGCAAAAATCCAAGGCACTGGTGTCTCAGCTTTTAAGGTGGCTCTGTCAAGTGTCCTTCTTAATTCTCCAGTGAGAATAGACTTTGATTCTCTCTCAATGTAAAAAGACAAGAACTTGGGGTTATCCGGAAACCTTTCCAGCCCAAAAAGTGCAATGTGTCGTATGTCTTTCAGTGGAAGAGTTTGGCCCAATTTGCTGTGAAATTTAAACAATTTGACATAAAAAGTCAAGATGAGTTCAATGTCCATCTCTCTAAGACCAGATGGGCTTGATACACCACATGATATCAGTGAAATGAATTCATTACACATGGATAACAAACTTTGGATACCACTGCTCAAGTACTCAAACAAAGCGATGCAAGCTTCTAAATGCACTACATCACTTCCTGTGGCTTTACTATGCTCAGCCAATAACTCATTGCTGCCTTGGGGTCCAGTTGTTTCTAAGATGTTTTGCCGCAACTTCTGGTAGATTCTGCGAGCTTTCAGTAGTTGAACAGAAGATAGATCTGAAGTTGACACATCAGATGCAGACATTTTGATCCTTGCTCCTTCTGCAAATGAGGTCAAGATCTGTAATGCTTTCTTGCTTCCTTCACTTGACTGGTCTTCTTTTGAGTTCAATGTGATGCCAACTTCAAGCTCAACATAGGACCTAAAAAAAAGGATGACAAAGAAGTTTGAATAAACTTCACAGAAAAATAAAAAAACATAGCTTCATTATTTAAATGTAACAGTTTTGTCAAACCTGACAAGAGGTACTAAAGCCATCCTTCTGCTCTGTTCCTCAGGAAACATTTCACCTGCCATCAAAAGAGTGGAGTCAAACACTCTGCGGGCTTCTTCTTTGTTGCCTGATAACCACTCTATCTCTGCAAAAGCTTGCCACAGCTTCAGATCGTTTCTGCAGTTAACCAAAAGTGGCATTTATGGTTATATAGCTTTTATTAAAACTACCTTAAAAACAAATCATATTCTTAAAATTCATTAACAAACCTGCTTTCTGGCTGTTTTAGAAGGCTCTTGGCCAATTTTCTGACATCTTTGCACCTCTTTTTACTTTGTTTTAACAATGGCTCTTTCTGAGTTAGACCAAACTCAAACCAGAGCCACAATACCATTAGGAAGCTCCTTGTTGGCCCTTCAAATACTGGCAAACTTTGTACAAAGATGTTCCTTATAAGATTCAAAGCCTCTGAAGATGGCCACTGAAGGTCACTTGTATTAGTAAAGGTGATCTCATCCCAATAGCATGACTGCCACAAACCAAGGCAGTGAGAAATGGCAGGTCTTTCAGTTTCTAGTAATTGTGACTTGTGCTCTATAGAAGTGTTCAAGCATTGATGTACATCAGCGTTTGTTGATGAGGTTATGCAAGGTACTGATACTCCAAGCAGATTCAAGAAAGTTAACACAAGCTTCAGCCTGTTCCCAGGATCAGAAATTTTGAACAAACTTGAACTAAAGTCGTCAAACAAAACAAGTCTCTCAGCATCATCACAGTCCTCCTCTGTTTCCCCTGCTTCCTTATCTGGTTCCCATGGACACAAATGTCTCCTTTGCCTGTTTAATTCAATTTGAAGCCAACTTCTCCACAGAGGCTGCTCTTTATCAATGGTAAAGTCATCATCATTATCATTATGAGAATCACTCTCATCTACTGCTTTACCAGAGCTTTCCCTGAAAGTCTTCTTGACATCAATAAATGTCACTTTAGATGAATCAGTGCTATTTCCTTGAGCCAACCATGACTTCCAACCACTTGCACCATCTTCCCCAAACCTACATTAAGGATTTCAAAAAATAGATTTAAATAGGAAAAAAAAACAAAAATCAGAAACCCACAAGTTGAATTCTAAGACATGACTACTTGGGAAAAACAAAATAAATTCAATTGGTTGACAGAAAATTCCTGCTTAAATCAATAACAAATTGGAGATCTTGGAAAAAAATACCAACTTTCTTTGGAAATTAAATTCAAGGCTAAAATTTTTGACTATGTCAAAGCACCTTTTCAGAATATTGTTTTGTTTGTAGAACTTGCATAAATAAGAATGATTTTAGGTTACAATGCTGGGCAAGATGTTGTCTCCTCTTTAAGGCTCACCATTGGTGAGAAGTGGCTCAGGTCAAACTGTTAATTCAAAATTAATGAGCATAATCTCTGGGAGTTTTTGTTAATCTTAATAAATATATCCTCTCAGAACAGTTGATACAATTTTGAAAACTTGTAGACCTTGATAAAAATAGATTGATGTTGAAGGACAATCCTCACTAATGTAATCCTTAGCAAGGAAGGAACAGCTAAGCCAGTCAATTTTTAATGCGAAAATTTGAGACATTGATTCAGTAGACAAACTACACCTTGGCTGTCCACTGTCCCAAAATGTCTCCAAAAATGCCATCTGCCCAGTAATGGGGGTGTTCCTTTCCAATTCAGGTGAACAAAAACAATTCAGTTCCACCATGGCCTGCAGGCAGGCTACAGCCTTTTCTATGTGTCCTTCCAAAGAAAAATAGGAATGTAAGTATTTAGAAGCCTTGTAAGTAAATTGTGATTGATCTTATCACTTTTAATTGTTGCAAGATTGGATAGGGTTAGCCCTTAACACCCTAACATCAGTGTATATATTCTCATACTGGGCTGTGATGTTCAAAGCTGGGTTACGATAACCCAAGGTTGGTGTGAAATCTGTTTTCAGATCTGGAAACTTAAAAAGAAGATTCAGTTTAATTATTTTTGTCTACAATTTGATGATGGGTTGCACTAAAAAGTATAGAGAAAATTGTCCTAAAAAGGCATTTGAGTGAAGAAATAAAGAAACCTGGATTCAAATTTAATCCTGAGTTAGTGCTTATGGCCTTTAGGACAACTGGACCTTGTTCTCTATACATTTCCTTGGGTGCAAAATCTGTTTGTTAATTCTCCCCTCTAGCTACTATAAATTTCCTTTTACACCAGTTACAAGAATTTAGTGTTAGATCAAGATAACAACTTCTTCCTGATAAGTTTGAGTTTTCTCTTTACCAATTTGCTGGATAATGTATGGACATTGTAGGGAGAAGTTACTAGTTAATCACTTCTAGGAGTTATTAAGGGTTAACAAAAAGAAAGATATGGAGCTCCATTTTTCAAGTCTATACTGTAGCCATTTAACCTGCTTACCTGACTGCTTTGTAAATTGGCATTCCCTGATAAACAAGTCCACCATTTCACTCTCCAAGTCACCTTCAGCCTGGTGTGATGCAAAAGTTCCCTCCTTTATAGATGACAATGTACTTAAACATTTACCATACACTGCTGCTGTCTTACTAAATGAGAACACTGAGAATCTGGATTGCATAAAAAGTATATAGTTTTTCCATAACAGAGTATTGTTTGGGTGAACAAAACTGACTTTCTTCCATTTCTGAACCAATTCCTCAGTATCCAAGATCTCGTTACACAGATTTAAATGACCAACTATCAGTTCAACTGAGTTTGGATTTTTTTGCAAAGCTTTTTCAAGGACAGCAATTTTCTTTTCAATTATGGTCCTAGTGGAAGCTTTTCTCCTTTCTCTACCAGTTGCTGTGAAACTTGATTTTACTGAGTCTTCTTGTCTTACAACCTCTTCTTGAAGATCAACAAGAGATAGCCATGTTTGAATGTCATGTGGTTTGTCACGCAAGATCTTGTTTAGTTCTCCAGTCTTTTGCAAGACTTCAGATTCTCTAGAATCTCTATCAGCCACTGATGCCTCTTGTGAAGAAGTGTGACTGCTTTCCCTTTGGCTTACGTCACCTTCACCAGGTAACTTGAGGGATATATAACTTCTACCATCACCCAAGTCAACTCTCTGGCTTGACATATCCACAGCACTTTGCAACATCACAGAAATGTTGTCAGTGTTCTCTGGTACCTGGAAGTCCTTTATACTCCAATATCTTACCATCTGATCCCGCTTCCTCTTTTTCTTACCTTTCTTTACAGACAGCTCAACAACTTGATGTTTACCAAGACCAAGACAAGTCGCATTTGACTTCAATTTATACAAAGCAATATCTAACCTATAGAGTGTGTCATACATTCGATTGGCCATATCAGGTTTTTTGTGAAGTCTAAAGGCTTTCTCAGGGACAAGTTGAGCTTCTTCGATCCAAATTGTATCGGGTTTGCTTGCATCTTCATTAATACACTCTTTAGGCCCTGATTTTTCATGTCTATGTTTTCGTTTCTTTTTATGTTTGTGTTTCCTCTTGTCCTTGTGGTGTTTTCGTTCTTTATGGTCAATATCAGAACCTTCTACTTTTATTTCCTTGCTGGAATGGAGTCCCCCTTCGTCATCTGAACTAGAAATGTCTGAATGTACACGTTTTCCCCCTTGGTCTGCAGGCTCATGTTGCTCTGTAAAAGTATTTCGATGCTCAATGACGGCTTTGTAGCTTTCATTTCGAAGCCAATTTGGTTGATTTACACCTGCAGAAAAAATACAGTTAATATTGTTTGCATTTGATCATTATCCTTCATTTATAGGGACACAGGATACACGAACATATGGTGTGTGTTCTTTATATAGGTCCATTTCTGAAAATTTCCTGCAGCCAGTTTTTCTTTCAGATACGCGAAATAGCAGCTTTTCTCTAGCGTACATGCATTCGACCCACCTTTGACACCATCTTCAGCTACTTCTTTCCCTGAAACACAAGGGAAAAGGAGGCCATGGGAAGCCCCATCTGAATTTAGTTCAGATCGTTGTATTGGAAATAAAGTCTTTTTTGTAGGGTATGTGAGCGTTGAAGTCAACTCACTATCATCCGCCATGTTGGATTAGTAGGTACATCATATATGGTGATTATTCTGTATCCAAGTTTATCTTCCTCGCGCGCACCGCGGGAATTATAAAAGAGGCGGGAAACATTCGTCGTTTCGCACGCAACTTGCTTGCGCTGATTTATGAGCGCAGTTGCTATTCTTTTAATTTTAGTATAATTATGCGAAAAAATCGCTTTCCATGTCCTGAGAAAAAGCCAAAACAAGTCGAAAGGGAATCAGAAGAAGAACTTCAGAAATACCAGACGATGGGAGGTCATATTTCCACCAGATATCGCCAGATCGGGAGCTTTGAAGCTGATTCAGAGATCGCGAAATACAAGCATCCACGAACTGAAAAAATTGCAACAGCAAAGCCCGAGGCTGTAGTGCTCAAGCGAAGAAGAGCTTTCAGTGAATGCGAGAATTCACCAGCTGAGAGACAGCGTTTGTGCAAGAAACTGAGGGTTAATCAGTTGTACACTGGATATTGCGGACGGAATTCATATATGGCAGCCTTTTTCAAGCTTCTTGGTGAGTTTATCAAGATCAAGTTCACTACACTTTTCGATATACTTTTTTATTTTGTCCTGCAATTTTTGATAGTCCCCTTCACATACATTACTCAACCATTTTGTACATTTACTAGGTGACAAATGCAAGATACTTTATTAATTTTTTCGTCAATAATACAGATGATGATGTCATTCAAGATTTTTTGTGGATGGACAGTTGTGCAATAATATCAGACAAGGTAAAATAAAGTTGTGCAATAATATCAGACAAGGTAAAATAAAGTGGGGAGAGGTAGCTTCCTATTTTAACACAAATTTCAAATTCTTAAATTATCTTCAACTTTCCTCTTTCAGTATCTTCTGGCAATGGTTTACACCTATTTCAGGAGAGCGGAACTCGCTCGTCGAGAATTTAACAGAATGAATTTCTTCATAGCTCTGTGAGTAGATGGTTATTCAAAATTAAACAAGCTATTTACGTTTCCTTTCTACCACTCGCTTTTGAAAGAAGTCTCTTTTTGTATAGATACTTAGCAAACGATATGGAAGAAGACGAAGAAGAAGAAAAGTACGACATATTCCCGTGGGCTTTGGGAAAGAACTGGCGAGATATGTACCCTAGCTTCCTTCAAAAGAGGGACATGTTTTGGCGAAAGATTGGATATCGTGCTCTAGTCAGTAGATTAACTTGTGATGAGGTAATTTTCATCGTAAGGAGCATAAAAAGACTATCGCATAACTAGATTTAACATAAAATTTGATTGTAAAAAAAGGACTATGCAAGAGGCGCACTTATTATGGAGGTGAATGTTTGTTCATTGGAAGTCCCCTTCCTCGCAAAGGTGTTTGTCACAATGAAAGCAGCTGTAAGGTTTCGTGATACGAATGCACTCCCTTCAGCCGACCTTGTCTTGCAGACTACGACCGGTTTTAAGTTTCAGCAAAATAGCCTCGCATTCACGGTTGAGGTTATTACGTCCAATAAGGCGCTCTCTAGCCTTTTCCATAATATCTTACTATTGATACATCCAATTTCCTTAATTTGTTTGTATTGTATCATATCTTGCATTTGTAAAAACTCACACGAAACGGAAGATAATAACAAAATTTTTTTTTTCCTCAAGATCATGTCTATAGTGTCCGACCACCCTATTTGGCAACGTAAAAGACGAAATCATCACGGAGGAGCATGGAGAGATTACATGAAGGACACAAGTAACGAGTGTGCAAGTCCAAGGGGTCCTGGAACTGCCCCTTTTCAATGCTCTAAATGCCATGACCCAAGCAGCAAGGGTAATTCACCCATGGTGACATCTGACTATTACAGTTGTTCGTCGCAATCGTCATCGGAAGACGAGACTTTCAATTCAAGTTTCAACATGCAAGGTACATGTGGTAACTTGCGAAACTGTGGGTGACCGTTTGGTTGTCATAGCGAGTTTCATTTTCTTGCTGTGTTTACAGTCACTATCTCTAATTTTTTTATGGCATACACTTAATGGAAATTATTTTCTATGGTGCCAGTCAACTATTTGTAAAGATGCCTAAGTATGAAATAATAGTTAATATTTTCGAGCATACATCTAAACAATCCGGGGAGGGATGGGGTACTATCCTGTAAAATTTTGCAAACTTTCGAAAACCAGTCAGGGCGTGAAACGGGGTGTTATTTGATCCTCAACATGTACCGTAGTTTCAGTGATGACTTGAATGCTCCGAAAAGCCCCAGAACCCATCCCAGCTTTGACTAGTCCTCCCCTTTCCCCACTCTTCGTTGGTCTTAACAAATATTTGCAAATCTCATGTTAGGCTATTTTTCACAGATTTGAAGAATGTACTTCAAAAGGGCAACAACAAAAGACACTGTTATGAAGAACGAAACGAATGTGGCAATATAACAGCTCGTTATGCGCTGCAGTAAAGACCTTGGACTGTCCCGCTGGTTCTATCTCTTCCGTACAGAAAAGTTGCACTAGCTGAAGCTTGTAATAAATTATTTCTATGTATAAAACATTCAAAGACAGGAAAACAATTAGCGAGGCCTGGTTGTCGAATTTTTAATTCATAAGAAATAATGTATTATATTGGGGAACATTATTTGAAACATTGCGCTGCGCGCTAAGCATCGTATAGCAAATTTTTTTTTCATCGCTGAAACAAATATGCAGGAATTTGTAAATTAAGAAAGCAAAATAAAAAAAATTCTGTATAGGGAAAATGGTTATGCCAATTCATACAATTTGTATGTTTTTCATATTTAGACATGACATTATCTCTGAATACTTGTAATTTTTTTTATAAACAAATATTACAATTTATTCTGTCATAACATGGGTGTGCATTCTGTCTTAATGAGACTGTTTTCAATTTATTCAATCTTTCTTGTTGTATGCGAGCTTGTCATGGGTCATTTTAATTATACATTCCGACAGTAATAAAAAAAAATGGGGTAGTAGTCAGTGGTTCCATACGATAGGGAGGTATTGGGTTTTTATGTTTTCGGTTCTGCTCGTGAGATCGGTTTTAAGTTTCTACACTCAAAATCTTTGGTGTTGGTTTCCACTGCGGTTTTCAGCTATTTTTTTTGGCTTAAGGTTCTTGGTATTCATGAGTTAAAGAGGCGTTTTACTGGTCTTTGATTTGGATATTAATACTCGGAGGTTATTTTTTCTTTTTTTTTATTTTTGTTTTTAGTTGTTTTTTTTTGCTTTTGTTTTTCTTTTTTCTCTTTTTTTTGTTTTATATTTAATTTTTTAGTGCTCTTTACTAAGTTTAAGTCGGTTTCTTATAGGCCACAGTGCCTCTCTACTCGAGATGATAAACGAATTGTGAACAGTTTTTCATTTTCTCGATTTCTTACAACGGTAATGTCACCTTAAATGTCTAATCCTGATTCTGTCAACAATGACGATTCTGAAGCAATGTTTTTGAGTTGCACTGGTTGTATGCCCCGTTTCCGATATTCAAAACAATTAAAACACCTTACTCTTCCGTTTTTGTATGGGTGAATAAACAAAAACGCAAGAAAAGTGTTGAAATGCATCATTTCATTTTTTAACGTTCTTGTCAAGTGTTGATGTTTGACTAATTTGTAGTTCACTTGATCGACTGCGTTACTGTTGGTGTAACGCCTCTGTGACACTCCTTTCGTGACAACCGCTGGAGTTCACTTTAACCAGCGGTTAACGCCATGGAAAACAAAATTATGAAGGGCTATGAACCATCTTGAGCTCTTAAATTTTAAAATTTGTCTGTAAAATCTGTCTCTCAGGCATTGCGACGATCGAGATCAGCGGTGTAGGTTTAATCATCATGGTCTAGATGATTTGTAAACGTGACAAGGAGTTTCATTCAAGAAATGAGCCTGCTTTACTTTCCCAGCTGGTTGATCGTTGCGGCATTCTTTCTGGTTACTTGTGTTTCCAAAGGGATGATTTTTGATATAAGACCATCAGTGGAAGAGTATCTTCCAAACTACGATTTCTACCATAATCTTTCCAGGATGAATCAGTGTCTTCATCATGTTTCCTCGAAATATTCTGAATTTTTGGACGTACAGATGCGTTACCGTTCACGTATGGGACTTACTCAGTTCGTTGTTCGAGTCTCGAACTTCTCTCTCGACTCTGTTTCTAAGAGCAAGTCAGACAACAGATCCAGAATTTTATTTTCCTATGGCGAACATGCCGCCGAATTCCTCCCCGTTCAAAGTATGTTCCACTTAATAGAAAATATAACTCAGGGTTATGACTTACTACGAGAAACTCATGGAGCAAAGTTTACCCGATATTTGCTTAACAATTTTGATCTTTTCATCTTGACCATCGTGAATCCAGATGGTCGCACAATCGTCGAAAGAACTAGAAACTATTGTTGGATGGGTACTGCAAACAACGCTGATCTGAACACCGATCTGACAGCGAATCTTCGACGCACCAGTAAAGGAACATATAGAATTATAGCGGGTTTGTTTACAGGTTTCTCTTATTTGTGCTGTTCAGTTGATTCTTTTTGTGTGTTTGTGTTCTTTGGAACCTAATCAGGACATTAATTTTGAATGAGAGAATAAAATCACATCAAAATTAATTCTCCCCATGAAAGAGGATGCATCTTTTGTTTCCTTTTGTTATTCATTTATTTAAGGTGCCATCTGATGTATTGAGCTCGACAAAATGTGTTTACATTGTATAAATGAAGATTTTTTAGACCAATATATCTTTTGTAATGAGAAAATTCGGTCAATGATGAATTACCGGTTGATGTCAAATTAATAATTTATTCATGGAATTTTCTGATTAACATAGTTATGTAATGCATGTTGTTAAAAAGCTGTCTTGACTACATTTGAGGTTGCAAATCTAAATATAATTTTCATTCCTCAGCAGAACCAGAATGTAGAGTTTTCAGAGAGTTGACCTCTAAACACAGTTTTGATGCTTTCTTCTCATTCCATTCAGGAAGTAGACAAATTCTTTATCCATTATCAGGTAGGTCTTCAACTTAAACAGCAGATTAGTAACAAATTTATTGAAAATTGCAGCTTACTTTTCTCCCTAAGATTCAGGGTATAAATTTTTTTACATAGGAAGGCAATTAGCATAACTTTGTGTGAATTTTGCACATGTGTGCAAGGGTTATACACCCACTGTATTACTGGTATCACTTAACCCTCAACCCTTAAGATCTGATTGTTAATTCTCTCCTCTAACATCTAGTCACATTTCCTTGTACAGTAGTTAAAAGAATTTGGTGTCAGGTCAAGATGGCAACTTGAACCTGATGAGTTTTAGAATTCTCATTACTTACTTTCTGAATTATGTATAGATATATAGGGAGAGGTTACATGTTAGTTGCTTCAGGGAGTTTACAAGTTTAATTTTAATTATTGAAGTGAACGTAAATCTATCTCAACAGATGAAAATTCCAAAGGTTCTGGTGTTGATGTCCTCTACTTGGCATCTCTCATGTCCTCCTCTTTGAAGTCAGGCTTCAAGCTTGTTCCTGCAAATACCTCTTTATTTGATGCGGGCATTTTCACTTATGCAAACCAAGAGAAGAAGGTGAAAAATTATATATTTTTTTTTATATCAAGCATCTCTATTCTATAACTTTGATTTTTTGTTAACAGTTTGAGCAATAAGATCATTTTCTGTGAGTCAGATTTGTTTGCAATATGAGAAATGTCACAACTCTGTGTGAGATATTGAAAGCATGAGACCTGTGAGAAAATTTCTCCCTTGGTAAAACATAGTTTGTGGGTAATTCTGGAATAAGAGGAGGGTGGGAGATCACTAGACAAAAAATACATTTTAGAAAAATAAAAAATGATCATTAGTAAGAAGTGAAGTTGGGAGATATATTTTGTATTCAGTGCTATAGAGCTACAAGAAATAGTGCCATATAAATTCAGTATTATTGTTATTATTATTATTTATTATTAAATATTTTCTTCATCTGGTTGAGAAATAGGGAGACCCTGTTTAAAATGTTATCTTATGTTTTCTTGTCAGATTCCATTTACATACAAAATTTCTCTGTGGGGAGGAAAAGAGATGAAATCTGATATTCCTGACAAAAACTGTTTTAGTACATTTAATCCACCTAGTGAGGATCTAAAGGTTAGTTATATATATTTTTAGATTTTGACCTTAATAGGGAGGAAGTGTGTATATATGATATAACTCAGGTTATATCTTTGTCTTTCATGCAGGCTGAGTTAGAGGTTATTCACCCACTATATCCAACCATCTTTAATTTTATACATAACTGGAAGCAAACACAGATTTTGATCATGGCTCAACAACAGGTTAGTGACAAGATAAAGATTATATGAAAAAGGAATTTTTTTTCTAACAGGGCAGGTTAATGAATTTGGCAATCTGATTAGTTCTCGGAAGAGTGTGCATTTTCCTACTTTTATATACCATCATGGTAAAAATTTGATTTAAATCAAACAGCTTTGTTACATAGTAATAAAATGGTTTGATTTGTTGCATGGTAAGGAAAAAAATTGAAAAAGATCAAGCAAAACTTTTACACTTGTATCCTGCAGTGGCCTATGTAAATGGTTTATTGTTCTAAACTATTGAATAGGTATTATTTATGATAATGGCATTAATTCATTCTTTTCATTTTGTTCCTTTCTAGCGTTCTAAAACAGGTGGAGTGCCATTTAGTGTTAGTTTTTTCATCTTCATCTTAGGATGTACTTGTGTTCTTTTGCTTTGTAACATCCGAGTACCTTTCTCATGGAAAATATACTACAGACGACAAAGACGTATTGTCAGTTTAAGATCTTTAGGAACATTATTTGCTGTTATTTGTCCTTTAACATAAAAGCAGCTGGATTAAATGTATTAGATTTTAAATGGTGTAAAAATATGTTGGGGTACAATTTTTTTTAAGTTTAAAATTTTTTCAATCATGATCTGAATTAACGAGAAAGAAAAATTTAACCAGTTTGAAACAAGGAGAAATTTGAACTGCAAAAAATAAATGTTGGGCCAGAAGCAAATGATTTTACTACTTAGGTTTAACATGTACAACTGTTGACATGGCTAATGTCTTTTGATGTAATGAGGCAAAAAAATTCTGAAATATTTATGTCTACAACTTAAAGATAATTAACAGTAAAGGTAATTTTGTAAAAACAATCCAGGACAGTTTTTCTTGAAAAAAAATATAATTCATTCAATTTAATGAGACATATTTTAATGACTGGGCAAGCTGTGAGAGTTACTTGCCCTAAAATACCAAAAAAATGACCCAAGGTCCTTGTGCAAACTTGAACTTCTCAATGCAGAATATTTGTTATGGCTGTCTTTTCTCCCTCTTTTCATCAAAATAGATTTGCAAAATCCTTTTTAGACTTAATACTTTCCGCTGACTTGATAAAAGACTGTACTGTTAAAGCTGAAATTAAAAATATTTTCTAAATTTTTGTGCATATGTACTCTTTGTTTGAGAAGTATAAACCAATATGCTAAGATGTACATTTACTAGATTCAGGCATGTTGCTAGGATTCCTAAGTGATTCTAGACGAGGACTTAAAGAGGTTAACGCTACTTGAGTGTGTAATTTTTTTTTTTACTGTTGGTACTTAACAGGTCTGAAATACAAAGTAAACATCTGTTTTATGTGCAAAGGTACCATGAAGCCAATACCTTGGGATTATACATGAGATGTGTGGATAATTCTGTAAATTTTGAAGTCTTATGTAATTTGTGTAAAAAGCTCAAATTATGTTATATTTAATGTTAATTTTCTGCCATGAAAATCAGGGATCAGAAAATAAATATTTTTTTAAAGATAAATTCATTTCAGTTTGGACTGTATAATGAGTTGAAAGGTATATAATGTCATAACACTGGAAGAATCCCAGCTGTAATAATTTCTTAATTCTCTGGTTGAATTTATTGGAAGTAAAATATTCATTTTAAAACTCAGTCTTACGCTCATGATGCTTAATAGGCCATTTTACAGTTGTGTACTTAGTTACCAAGGCTTTGATTTGGAGTGAGGCTGAAGGTGACCATGTTGTGATAGAGACCAATATCTAGTTAGCATGATAACAAAGTAATTTACATTTGAAAAGCAGCAACGTTTGTATCATAACAAGGTCAACCTTAACCTCACTTCTCTTCAAAGGCTTGGCAGACAAGCAGGCAACTGTAAAATGGACTATTCAGATCAGTGTATCATCTATCTTGCATCCAAATCATACTCACAATGTACTGCTAGAGCTGTTAGAATTATTTTTCCCCTAGACTGATGTACACCAACTGAAGTCATCTCAACCTTACAAGAGGGTCCCCAATACTTTTTTGTGAAGCGTGATTGGGCAATTTTGTTTCTTGTGAATGGTGATTTAATTTTATTTGTGAATTGTGATTAAAGATGATGGGATCTTTATATGTCCAAGAGAACAATTTATTATCATTTAAATGCAACCTTTGAATCATGAATTAAGAACCATTTTTTTTTGCATGGTGAATTTTTGGCCATTGTATTGTTTCGAAAATGTGTGTATTGTTCTCGAACAGGTGTGGTTAGGTTTTGACCAGGGTTTTGACAGGAGATGGACTTGAAGTAGATCTTTTAAAGTCATAAACCAGACCACTAATGGCTTTCGAACAAATAAGATAAGACATTCCGTCATCTTTTGTTGCATAAGACTGGTCAAGACAAGAAAAGGAATCATAACTTTAATCATTGTCACCATTACAAGACTGGTGTATCGTTTGTCTAATTCCTTACAAAGAAAGAAGGGTGTAAATAATTTTTTTTGCAGAATCCTTACTAAATGCCACTGGTGATGCAATTGTAGACAAAGAAAATTTAGGCTTAAGTCTCAGCATTTGCTAAGACTTACAAAATGCTACTCTCAGAAAACAGAACTGTTTCATTCAATACTAGACATTAAGTGTATAATTTTTCAGCTTTTCCTGCTTGACAGTTCACATGGGTTTCAAATTTCATGTTCTAGATCTAAATCCTTGCCACAGTAATTCTTGTTTATCCACAGGGAAACTATATTTGTGTTTAAAAGAGCTTTACAAAAACCCCTATGACCATGGCAACAAGAAAATATTTTTCTATTACCCAGTTTCTCTTTGGTAATCAGAATTTGAACTGTTTTACCTCCCTAGGTTTGCATTGACACATCTGCTCAAGAATTTCCTTGCATTTTATATTCCTAATATAACTGTCGATTTACCCCCTTCAAATTAAAGAGACAGTGCAAATAAAAGTAAGGAGATTTTATTAACATTTTGCAATTCATATGTAGTGACTCAACACAAATAATGTCAAAGGAAATTTGTGACAATATTTCATTTCCAGCTTCTCTAACTAAAATATAAATGGGTTTGAAAAAAATAAGATGCCTTAAAAAAGGTTAAGCTTGGCTTGTATTAATTTAGTCCTTTGAAAGTTTTGTTCTTGTAAATGATCTTGATTTGTTTCAGAGAGCAGCTTAAAAATGAGCCAAAAATTAAAGAACATATACGCTGGCAGTTAATAACATCAGGACTCTGGAGGCAGTTGGCAGTTTTTACTTATTATATTCAAAGGTTATTAAAAGAACCAATGTGAATTATTTCACTCTTCAACATTCCTTCTTTTAGTTCTGCTTTTCATGATTATTGGCCTTCTGCAAGTAGGTTGTACTCGCCTGTCTACTGAAGTCCTTTGCTAGAAATAATGTAAAGAAATGTAAAATGTTTGGTTCTGATTTTTGCACTAATTAACAAATAGATTTTTTCAATGATGACGTCATCTATACGTCTGTCCTCCAATAGATCATAAGTGAGAACCAATCAGAATGTGTGCATAACTGAGCTTATTATGTAAAGGGTAATGGAAAATGTATTTGACTTTGGTTGAAATCTTGTTACAAAGGTAGGGTTTTAAAAAGATTGACAAGGCAGAACAAAAATGAAAAGTTGCTTTTACTAAGAACAATTTTATCATGCTATTTGCCTAGAAAAAAAAAAGAAACAGTTTATTTCAGTCTTCTCCATCTTCAGACAACCCTTCAACAGTAAGATTATGTGGAATATGATAAACAAAACATCCCCTCTTACTTTCTCATTCTTATGGGGAACAAGCCACCAATTTAGATTGTGGGCAAAGTGGGTGGGAAACTACTGATAAATATAGTTGAAATCATTAAGTTTTAGGACACTTGATTTTACATATTGTTAGTATAAAATCAAAGGTTGGTGGCACTTGAATAATGCATATCCAGCAAATCAAAAGAAAAGGGCTGCCAATATTTGTTGATGAGACATGCTTGACTACAGGAGCAGGTTGTTTTGCAAAATTAAGTATTGAGGACAATAGATTTATTTTTAGCATTAGCTCATTCTGGAACAAAAAACTTAAAGAAACAAGCTATATCTTATAACGATTTTTGACAGGGAGGGGAGTACGAATGGCAATCTTTGTACTGTTTACTCTAACTAATAACATGCTTCACAAATTCCATTTTTGCTATGACAGTGTACTCACTATTTTCTTCATGTTCTGTGATGTTGGGTCTCCATTAAGTGCTGTGGCGTGTCTTTTTCGCTCAAGTTTTGGGGTTGTTTGAACATGTTTGACCTCTCCTGATACTACAACTTTTGCTGAAAGAGGACGACTATGTTTTTAGAATCAGCTTTACAATCCATTAAAACCCTAAAGGTGATAAAATTCAACTGAAAGGGTAAAGATTGAAATGATACTAAAATTACTCAGTTGAACCATATACTATTCGCCAAAAATCTGTTAGAACTTTTATGAAAAAAATTACACACAGATGGAACGATTGCGGGGTAATTGCATGATGTAATTGCTCGCGCGTCGTGATTGCGAGGTTTTGTTTACCTTCTGTTTTCTTTTCGTCCTTCATAATTATTTCGTCCAAAATAGACAGCACTTCTTCGTCGGACCCCGTATCGTCGAACATGTCAGGTAAACTACTCACATCCTCCAACATAAAGAGTTCTGGTACGGAAAAATCCTGGTTGTTATTGAAGTCTGGTGGGACCACTTCTCCGAGCCATTTGTCAGTCTCAGGGGAGGTTAGTGAGGGAATACTTGTGTCTTCGTAAAAACTTTGTGGTTGAGTTAAAAAAAAAAAAAGCACCGTTAGAAATATATCACAGAAAAAGATAGTATTTGACTAAAAATAAATGACATTTAAGAGCACAGGGAGAAGAAATGTTAAAAATTGTAAGGAATTTCTCTTTCCGCCCACGCGAGAATTTCAAAACTTTGCAAGGACTGTATGTGCTTAAGCCAATCAGAAGTATCTACTAAACCAAACGTGAAACTTTACCTATTCATGTCCTCGTCGTTGAGGTACTTCCTGATAAGTTCGTCGATGTAATCATCTTCAACTGTTTGATCCTCAGTGGGAATACTTTCGACGCCATAGTTTCTCGCCATATTTGAACCAAAATTTGTCAATTAAAATTTTTTCGCGCCAAATTAACCTGCTGCCACGACAGCCCTGACGTCAAGGCGGGAGGCGGGCCGCGCTATTTGAAATGAGCAACGTCATTCAACGGTGAGGATAAAATTCGCATGGTGAACCTTCTTCAAAGTATATTTCAAAGACGTTTTCTAGACCTGCTCTGAAAGGCTTCCCTGGTATTCGGCCATGGATAGCATGGAATCTCTACCATCCTCGGTTCGCTCTCATGTAAGCGAAAGCTTGCTAGATACTGATTTGAAACCCTCGCCAGAGCACAGTTGCATGATGCGAGGTGAAGCGTCAGCCGAAATCGGCAACGAAATGACCAATAGTTCCATCCAATGGCCAATTAACCTTGAGATGAAACCGGAACATGACAAGAATGACGAATGGTAAGTGAGGCACTACATTACTTACAGTTCTGCGATGTAGGAGCGATTTTGTGCGTAGGTGGCAAAATTTTATCTTGACTTTGCGAAATGGAAAGCTGATTGTGATTGTGTTGTTTATTTCTTTTCGAAAGTGTTCCAAGGGTAACAGGCTTGTATCAGTGGTTTGATAATCAGGCATTATCGGAAGAAGCGAGTTCTGTCAATGTAGACCAAATAGAACATCCATCGGCTTCAATCCAAGAAATACTGGAGGCAAGTCGCTTGAGCAAAAATAAGGACCTTTTGCAGCTTCTTGGTGAGATTCTTTGGCCAACCATCTAATAATTGACTAAAAAATTTTTAACGTATCATTCATGACAAGCATTTGTATATCATGGCAAAACACAACGGCCAAATTAAGTGTGAATTATAACGGCCAAAATAGGTGTGAATAACTTCACAATGTCTCGCTGTCCGTTTTGAAAAAGTCTCATAAAACAATTTGGATATCTTTTCTTAACTTTTTCTGGCCCTCGAAATTTACATTTTTTATTTGGCCACATTATTTGGTAGATCACTTAAACCCTGAAGAGGGCCAAAGAGATCGACACTATTTCTTGCATCTTCTTTAACCAGGTGAGATTGGATCGGGTGATGATTCTTTGCCAGGGAGTTACTGGCAAGAAGTAGGAGGCAATGACTTTAATTCTCAAAATGCTGGCTTCCCAGTAAGTGGCACAGATGAGTGCCCGCACTTTCAAGATGCTCAGAATTTTCGAACATTTCTGGAACCACTGCCTCTAGTCATGTCTTCCTTACCTGGTGTGATGAGTAGCTACAATGTTGCACAACCTGGGGATAGCATTATTTGGACTGGGCAAAATGATACAGACACAGGAAGAGGGGTGACTTTGGAGTGTATTCAAGCAGGAGAAGCTTTTCCTTTTGTACCAAATTCATCGACAAGTCAAGAACTCAGAGACATAACTGACGATATAGTAAGTTTTGCTTTATAGGTCCTGGCAAAACTGTTCAGAATCCTCATATACTATTTAAAGCACGTTAAAGTTCTTCTGGGTGTTTTTCCTCAGTAATATATGACAAGGGGGTGTGGCAAGGTCTCTTTGTTTTGAATGAAAGGTACTTGACTTGTCAATAATTTGAGGAAGAAATATATGGCTAATCAATAGACATGTATCTGTCCAACAGGACATGTCATTGCTAATCTCAAAATACAATTCATAAGCAAATTTTACCCCTTTTTTGAAGGGTTTGAACATCTGACTTCCACTTGTAAGTAAACCTTTCCTTGTAATTCTCATGTCAGAGAAAACAGGAGGAGAAGAAAAGAAAAAGAAGAGAGCGGAACAAGCAGTGCAGCCGAGAATTTCGCAGGAAACAGAAAGTCAGAGAGCAGCTCCTGACGAGGGGAAAAGCAGAAAAAGAACAAATTTTGGTGGAGCGATATAAAAGGATAGAGAAAACAAGTAAAATTCTCATCAAAATTGCTACAAGCAGTGGAGCATGTGAAAAAGGACAAGGTATTATCAACATGGTGGCTGGCTTGATCAATAAAGAGAACTTGCCATGTAGTGTGGTCAAAAGTAATATGGCTGCTAACAGATTGGTTAGCCACACCCAAACACAAGCCTTCTAAAATCTTAATATTGCTTGTCTAATGCTAATCAATTAAAAAAATCGTCAGGGAGACACTAAATGATTCACTCACAACCTGCAATGACAAGTAAGTTACAATTTTAGTATATTCATCCTAAAACTTAGCAGCTCCTGACAACAGAGTTTATTAAACCTTTTTGTACCCAAATAGTTTTGTGCCTCAGCAGGTTAAGGGAAGAGGTACAGGCTGAATTGTATGCTTCTCATGGGCAAGTTCATTTCAGTGGATGCATTGCAAGTACTTAAACTATATTCACTTTGGAAATTTAAATGGACAAAACATTAGGATTTTGCTAAGGTTGTGTTAGGTGAATGACATGGGAATCAATGATTTAGTGTTAGCATCAAGCTGGAATTGATCAAAGTAGAGGTCTGTTTCAATGGGAATTTGCAACAGAATAAATGATGGGAAAATAAGTAACCATATAATAGTAGGAAGGAATAGCTGGCCTATTTCAGGGTTACAATAATTTTCTTTTTTGGAAATAATTTAAAATTAACTTTCAAATTGAGTTTTTGATTTTATTTTTGGGGTATTTGTTATTTAGAGCTATATGTTGAAAAGCAATGCACATAATTATAGGAAAAAAAAAAAACATGTCATCACTTTGTAGTAAACTAGTTACAAAGCCTTAGGACACCAGCATTTATTTAAAAGAACTTATAATGGGAACCTTTTTGGCCTGGCAAAGTATTAAACTACAGCTTAATACAGTCATCCTTTCCTCCACCAATGATTGGGAAATTTTTGTCTTCAGTGGGAAACTGTTGGTTGTCAATGCCAGGCATTTTGTTAATGTTTTCTAATCACTGATATTCTAAGGTCACAATTGTTTAAACTGTGAGAAAAATACCTTAAAAATATCATTTTTTTTGGGTTTTTTACTTTAATCTTTGTTTTGACCTTTTCGTTGCAAATACTCGAATATAAATACTGAATATTGTAAATTAAAATACTTTATTCAATTCCTTGTTATAGTATAGAACTGTTTTAGGTCAAACAATACTCAGAACTGGTAAATAAATTTGTTGACATCTAATATCTTTGTTCAGTATATTCTTATTATTGCTACTTAATTTTCTAACTTTTTCCAGACATAAGTACAATTTTCTGACACAGTCCAACCCTTAGGCCATCTCTGGGAACAATGCAATTCCCAGCTAGTCTTCGTTTCGGATCTAGTTCCAAAAGATTTGCATTACTACTCTTTAAACTCTCAAGGGTCCAAACAACTGTGTGCTTTGATTTACCATGCTTGACGCAAAAGTAAACATGTCCCAGTTTACAATTAGGGGGTAAGACAAATGATTGTAATGGACTTACACAGAATAACATGGGAACATCAACATCTTGCTCAAACAATGTCCAGTCGATGCTGTTGTCGCACAGTTCACACAAGACACCTTTGAGAGGAAAAATATAAATGCCCAATGTGAGTGCCATTCTATCTTAAGTTTATTGAATAACTATGAAGTCACAAATTTTAAGGTTGCCCTTGCACAGAAAGTGATAAAATAAATGGACATAACATATTTCAATGCTACAAAGCTCATCACTTGCAAAAGTTTTTTAAAATTTCCCCCTTAACACCAGCAGGAGTTCCATAGTGCCAAATGGCAATTATTAATTTTTTTATGGCCTGCAAAATCTCTGCCACTGCAGGTACTAATTGCTTGCAATTTTCTGTTCAAGAAACAACATCAAACAAAGGAAACAAGATTGGAAAAGTTTTGGAGTTGTAGGAGTCAGTAAGTTAGTTACTATACCAAAACTATATTCAAAGTATTTCTTCTGAATGTTATACATTGTTGGTCAAGGTGGAAATGAATTAGGGGTTTAAAAAAAGTCTTGCTTATCAAGCCTAGTGTACTGTGTAAAATACAAGAAAATATTAGTTTTCTACTGAGGCTTACGTTGTAGTAATCTTGTTGTGTCACTGATTTAATGAACATAAATTCAGAATCAAAACCAACCTGTGAGCAAAGCCCAATGGGCTCGGTGGCCATTCTCCAAACAGGGTTTATTGTTCTTATCAGCATCATACGGGACAAGCACAGCTGATCCCTTAAGTAATTGAGAGACAGTGGAGTGTTGATCCTCGAATGCATTACTTATGACTGAGCATTTCACACCATAAAACTCCTCAGCAAGATGAGCAAGATTTTCTGCCGAATACATTTCTCCTTGATTAGAAAAACCTCTGGATTTTGCCAATGTCAGTAAGTTGTTCAATTCCTCTTCGTACGGTTTCTGTGCAGATGATACAACATTGTCATCACCCACTATTCTCTTTAAATTTATCAATTCCGCTGCCATGCTAACAGCTGACAACCCACACCTGCCAAGAATAACAGTTTTGAACCTTCAGTTCATTTTTGGGATCTTAAAAATTAAGATCGACGCTATTTCCAACGATCCTACCGATAGATAGCCTGGCCTACCGCGGTAGTTTTCCCTGAAGTCTTGTTGGTACCTCTCTATAGTAGAGAAGCCATTTCCTTGCCAGGTTTATATCGTCTACCGACGAGTCTTCCTGTTTATTTGTTATGTCTGAGATAATCTCAAGGCACTGTCTCCTAACGTCGAAAGCGTGTGCACTCGTGCAACTCATTTCACTGACAGTTCTGGATCAACATAAGTCTAGAAATGTTCGACAGTTCTTCCGCCATTTTGTCTTAGATTTCGCTCCAGGCCACCTCTGTTTTGGGTAAAATTTCCGCACAGCCCCATACTACATTATGCATTCAGTTCTTGGATAGAGAAAACAAAGACAAAAACAATACATTGCCATTGGGAAAACAGATTTGTTTAACAATAGTATGGGGCTGTGCGGAAATTTTACCTTTAAAGAAGCCAATTTACGGGGTATCTACGTCTCAATGACCCAGTAACTTTTATTTCGTTAACCTTCCCTTCCCTTCCTCTCCCCGACGACCTTAGCTGCCTGCGAATAACTGTGAAGGATTCTTTTTTTAAATCCTTTGAGCTGAGTGTGAAGTACCTACAGAGTGAGCCATTTTCCATGCCTTCATGTGACTTTGGCACTCTTTTCCTTTGCTGAAAGGAAATGGAGAAGACTGCTGGGCATGCTGACCTGGGAATGGGAGTTCATTTATGATCATGATCATGATTAGTGCTGCAGTAGGCGCGTTTCTCACCCAGGCGAAGACTGGAGACAATTAGGGGAGAGGGCTTAAACCCTTCACTCCAGACCTTTTGTCAAGTCGCTTTACTCAAGGGTTAAATAATATTAATTACACTACCGGTAAATATCAATGACTGCCGGGCCATAGAGGGCTTTGCTGACCTCCCGTATGAAAGACCCGAGGGATTCCGCGCACCTCAGAGCCTCGCAAGGAAAGCTATTCCGAAATGTGGCACCATTATTAACATATTTTTTAATATTTTGTGCGTGGTAATTGACTACCAAGTTTGTTCTCAAAGTCCCTCAGCTTGTAATGCGTTCAGAGAGTCTCGAGATTTACTTGTCCGGAGATAACTCAAGTATACAAGTAGGCATTTAAATGCCATGGTGGCCTTTTGTATGTTCCGCTGACAACACAATGTTTCATACAAATTTTTCCACGCCCAAATTTCTAATATTTGGTCAGCATCAGCGTCATAATTTGAGAATTGCTTAACGCAAGTTGCTTTATTTTGCAATTTATACAGCTTGTCTTGTGAAGTTACCCCAGAACTGTTAGGACTCAAACTTCCATGTAGGAAAAGAAACCCTTGTGCCGCAGTGCTAATAATAAAGGCCTTCTCACAGGTTAGGATGGGACTGGAGGACAATCTCCAAACACAAGAAGACAGCAATTAAATATTAATAGTTTATTACAGTTTCATTCAAAAGAATTAAGCAAATGACTTTGCAAACCTTTAATACTAATATCCAACATTGTCTTTCAACATAAAAAAGGTAAGGATTATTACACAGCATTTTATTGATAAGCCAGATTACAAAACAAACACGAAAAGGTCGAAGATGGAAGTCCTCTTCAATGAATGCGTCACATTGATGATGGTTGCACCTCTTAAACAAACACACTCACAACTGTAAACTTAAGGTGACTTACAATGCATGTCACTAAAAGCTAGAACTCAAAATTGAAAGAAATAGAACAGTCAAAAATGAAATATTTGAAAGGCTTCCATAAATGCTTACACAAATCTAAGTCTCTCTTTCTCTCTATGTCTGCCTCTTTAGAAATCTCTACAAAATCCACTTGAAATCACTTACAACATTCATTCCAAAGCTTGCATACTGCCTTCCTATAAGCTGAGCAAACAGGGACAACAAAGGGTAAAATTCCACAAGATATAAGTCAACCATGAATAATTGATCACCTTACATTTCACCAAATCTGCTGCAGAAATCTCCTAGAGAGTTAAGTTGAAGAAGCCAGCCTTCCTATCCATTTATCCCCTCAGTTCAATTTATACCCAAAAATTTCCTGTGACAGCTAAGAACCTAGTCTTTCTAAATTTGTAACCAAGAAGCCCAAAGCATGCTATCTTCCGCATCTAGAGACAAGTTATATGGCCACTGTGTGGCTTGTTCTGTGATCCAGAGAATTTTGTGTCACAATATTCCTTAGTCATTATTTGTGTTGTGGGTGTAATTACTTTTTCTCCTGGTTTTTTTTTTTTCAATTTAACTCCAAGTAGTCTTTGAACTAGAAAAACAATTTTAATTAGTTTTAGTCACTAAAGGGAAAATTTTTTTAATGAAATGTCAGTTGAAGTTTAGTAGACAAGCCAGGAAAAGGCATGAAGTGAATTTGTAAGACAGATGTTCCAGTATGCATTAATAGTAACAATAAAAAAATAAAACCAAAGAGAACAGATGGGAATATGACATGTGGTGCAAAAGGATGGAATTAACTTTAATTAATTCTGACCATAAAGGGATGGTATGCAAGGGAAACTAACCTCCATTCTTGTATTTTTAGCTCGGCTCAGCTTCAAAAAGTCACATTCTCTTATCTGACTTACAACTAGTCTATCTCTCCCACATCTTCCTCCATGTTTTCTACCCCTACAGCGTGTCTCTCTTCCTGAATATTCCTCTCCTCTTTAACCCCATTCTCAGGATCTCTACCCTCACTTTTCTTTCTTTGTCTCCCAGGTACTTCCTCTTGACTCTCTTCTTTCATTTCCACATCCCTACCACCGTCTGTGCTTTCAACTCTCTCCCCCTTACTCTCAATCTCACCCTCATTAGATACAGACAACCTGGTGTTCTTCATTCGCTCTTCCTCTAGTTCTTGTTCCTCTTCTATTTCTGCTCTTCTTTTAGCCATTGCTCCTGAAAACAACAGTTAAACAGTAAGTGTTTGGTGGTGACTGTAGGGTCAACAAAAAGCTAAACCATAGTGTGCTGTTTCGGTTGCACCACATGTTGTTCTTTGATTCTTCAAAATGGAGACAGGGGTTGGTGGAATTAAGTTCCACAAACCAATTAGGGTATGATACTGAAGCAGTGCCTTCTTGACATGGAGAACTAGGAGGTCTTTAACCCTCTACACCCTAATATCTGACATGGCCCTCTCAATATGGAGCCCAGCTTGCTAACATTTGGCCATTGTGTCTCCTACTTGAAACAAGGAAGTCATCTTAAAGACTAGTGAGAGAAAATCATAATGGGAGAATAGCAAAAAGATTACTTTTCACAGTTCTTGTAGATTCCTCCAGGAGTTTCTGTGTCTTATCATTGTGTTTGGCTGGAAGGTAGAAGATGGGAGGGTTGGCTTTGGTCATGATAAAGTGACTTAATTTTTCGCCATGTTTATCCCATTCTTCTTGCTGCAAAAAAGGAAAACAATTGATTTCTTTAGATTAGGGATTGGACACCTGCCAATTACTGAGTAAGATGCAAAGGTGTCTTCATCTGGATGACTAGCATCAAGGTGGTCAACTTTATTCCCAGTCAACTCTTGCAACAATGTTAGTTAAAAAAAAAAAAAAAACTGTGGATTTCCATTTTTGCAATAGCCCTCTTTCAACCAGAACAGTTTCTTTCTTAAAAAGAGTGTATTACAATATGCCAAAGGAGAAAATCAGTTAACCATTGTAAATTTATAGGGAGATCAAATCTTAAAAAAAGTCTCGAGTTTGGAACAGGATTTTTTTCCTTTCCTACCAATTCAGCCATATCAACTTTTCTCTGTAACAATCTAAGTGCTGCTTGTTTTGTTCTTCTTTCTGTGAATAACTCCTTTCTTTGAGATGACAGTTCTTCTTTCTCTTTCTGTTCAGCTTCTTCAAGCTTCTTATTGATTTCCTCTCTCCTTATTTCCTGGCAAAAATAAAACAGCAGAAATCCCTTCCAGGTTAGATTTGGTTTGTCCTATTTTGTTCTTCTTATGGACAAATTTAGGATGTGTTTGTTGGCCATTTTGAAGAGGAAACATTGACCTTTTAACCCCCAGGAGTGATTAGCAACTAATTTCTCCTTACAATATCACCCCTGAATCAAACATGAAGGTCACAAGAATAGAGGAAATGATCACCAACTAAAGAAGCTCTTGATTGTTGAACATATTCTCCTTGTCAGCATCTTAGGAAATGTGTAAAGAATATGTATACTGATGCTAGGGGGAGGTAAAGCAATGAATGAAAACAACATCAATTTTTTTCTCAATAAATAATAAATTTATGACAGTCACTTTTACACTCCATAACCGATAAAAAAGCTTGACTACCTATGAAAACATGAGTGTTTTGGTTAGAGATATTTATCTCAAATTTGGTGAATTTTATGAAATTACCTTATCTGTTTTCTGAGCACTGTCATCTTTGAACCTTTGTAGAGTTCCAAGCAACATGCCAAACATTCTCTTATTTCTGAAAAGAAACAAATAAGTTCAGATGTCTCAGATCAGCTAAAATGAACCACAATCAGCTAACCAGAAGTTCCACACCTTACAGAAATGATGACTTTTACTCACAAAATAACACAAAAAATAAAACAAGGAAAAAAAAACTTGACAGCATTAAACAATTGCCAAATAATTGGTGATTTTCAACTGACCTTGACTTTGTTTTGTCATCTGTTTTTGTGATGGTGTCTCTCTTGAGGCGAGATGGTGTGGGTGTGGCTACAACTGAGGACTGGATAGCAGGCTACAAGAAACAAAATCATTGTGTTAACAAGACAACTAAAAAAAAAATTGAAAAAAAAAAACAGCATGAATATTTTGTTCAAACTGAAAGCTGTTTTCATCTTTTTTAGCCGATGCCATCCCAATCCTTTCTTTGTCTTTGGTCTGCTATTAGCTTTTTTCCTTATCTTTCCAAATCAATGTTTTGGAGTTCCCTTCACATAGTACATCATTTTGCAAATTGCTTTGCAAATTTTGAACAAAATCAAAATATCACAATCTCACTGCATTAAAAGATAATATCACGACGACTTTTGAGATTCAATCTTCCAGGCTTTAACAAAAAAGGATCATTTACATTTACCTTATCTGCATCATCCTCATCTTCTTCACCTTCACTATCCAGACGTGAGGAAGGGCGGGTCAGCTCTTGTGAAGTCCTTGTTCTCACCACTCGGCTCCAGAGTCTGAAAAAATAAAACAGATATCTGGAATTAAATCAAGTTCACATATATTTGTATTTAATGGGAAATTTCCAAACTAAACTATCTTAGCAGGCATAACAGAAAAAGGCCTTCAGAATCACCCACATTACAATAGTGTAACTAAAAACAATAATAATAATAATAATTCAAAAATAATAATAATAATAATAATAATAATAATAATCTTTCTTCCTCCCAAGATAGAAAAATACATATCTTAAGCTACATTAAAATAACACAAATATTCAAGGCCTACCAGAGAACCAAGTGGTACAAAACCAGTACAATTCTATATTGCTTTTGATATTCCAACAAAAATAACTCATGTAGTTCTAGAGAAGAACACTGTCAATAAGTTTGGAAGTAGAGGCCAGGTTGGAAATAGTAGTCAGCCAGGTTGTATTGAAAGCCATGCTGGTTAATCAGATTGAACACAAGACTAGGGAAACAAAGATGTCCTAAGCATTCCAAAGTTCACACAGACCTCAAAGCACATTTTGAACATGGAATCCTAAGACTTGGCTACACCTGTAACTGGTAAATAATGCACTTAATTCTACTTATAACTGGAAAATGGCTATATGCTTCCAAAACTGTACAATTTTTCACTAGCAATCATGGTAGAAAAAAGTGAAAGTTCCTGACTTAAGATATCAGACTAGCTTGCAGTTCTGGCTGACTAGCGACTCTTACTGAAAGCCCTTTATACATGTAGATGTACCTTGGTTGGACTTACCTTCCCGGTGCACCAGTTGAATCACGTCGTTTAGCTGCCGGCCCTTGTCCAAGTCCAATGTTCCTCTCTGTGAAGTCTCTCTTCAGTGACACTCGCCTTCCTGCCGCTGGCCTGAGTCAAAGCATCACATTCTGTTTTAAAACGGTTCATCATTCTTCTGACACTATCTACACATAAATCACTTTTAATATTGCTGATCCTACAAATACTGTGTGTAGGATGCTTTTCTCCGATAACTATACTGATCAATCAGTTGTCTGCAACTTGATTGATAAAAAATTGAAAAGCAAAATCAGGAATTAGGCTGCAGTTTGACTCCTCATGGGAAATACTTGGTTTTTTTATGTGTACATCCATGTTTATCATCCAGCACAGAAGGGCCAAGAATTTAACAAACATCAGGTAGATAGTTTTCACTTGATATAAAAGTACATTCTCATGCACTCTAGCAGCTAGAAGGGAGATTTATAAAACAAATCTAGGACTTGAGGGGCTAACAAGACCTCTGTTACGTAGCCTAAAGGTTGTCAAGTGTATGGGTTTTACTGCAATTTACTTAATTAATCGACAAATTTTTGCTCAAGTAAATTTCATTAACAATGATTACATGGAAGCTTGTGCCTAACATAGCCACTCTTTGAGATATTATCATGGTCTAAAGGCTGATAAACTTATGTTTGCATCTCTCGCGGGACGGGGAAATGATTCAACGGTTTCAGCAGCTGTTTATTTTCGACAACCAGCTGCAGCTGAATTCACATTTCTAACGACTTCCTGTATCCAGAAAACATACTAACCTTTGGTAGCATAAAGGAAGCAACCATTTATGGTGATTAACCTATAGCTTCTTAAAAACAGTAGCTCCACGAATGAATGAACGGTGAAAACAAAGAGATTCAGGCAGAAGCAATGACTATTCGATGCATTTAAGTTTAAGGAAACTATTCGCACAACAATGTTCGCTGTTCATTACGTCCATTGAAAAACCACCTGCATTACCTGAACTCCGAAGGATCTCTACCAGTAAGTTTCTTGATGTTTTCATCGACAGATTTCAGCCCTTCCCTCGCTAATTCTAAGTCACGTTGTAGCTCCGCCACAGTCGCCATCTTCCTACTACTTAGGTCGCGTGTCTACAACGGACCGTGATGTCCCTTGGTCAGCGGCGTACTAATTCCAGTCTTCATTTGCATTGTTTTTCCATCCTCAAGGAACGCCTTGTAGAAAAGTATAATCGTGTCCGCTGCATCCAAGGGGTTTCCACTTCTGTGTTATGAATGTAGGTAATAGTTATGGTTCTTCGAGTTAGCGCTTATTTTTCTCATAGCTACCTCAGGAATATCATTTGAAAACGATAACTATATTTGTGGCCCCACATACAGCTGTAACATAACACCATGCTATACTAGCCAAATTGCAAGCTCTAAGTAAAAGAGTTGGAAGGAACATGGATAATTCTATTTTACCTATCAAAAGACATGATCTTTTATTGGGATGACAGTACACAAAGATATGAGGATCAGAAGGCTTAAGACTTGTACATGAAAGGGACTTGCTAAAACATGAAAATAAAAACTTTGATCCTCAAATACTCATGCAGTGGAAAAAAATATCGGCAATTGGATTCAATGAACATGCAGCAGTTTATTTGTCTACATAATTTTTTTTTCATTCATCCCTTATCTAACTAGGAGATTACTGATGTGTAAATTGAGGATTTAATCACATTCAGTATGAGACACTGCCGTGGATGATACTGATGCTATATTCTTTCATCTTCATGCAAAAATTTGGACAATCACAATCATGAGTTAGGACTATTTATGCTTAAATTATCATATTCTATGGAAAAAGTACTGGCAAAAAGTACTGGAGAACTTTATGTACCAAGATGATAGTTCCTAACCTTAAACTGATTGTTTCTTAAGCATCCTACGTTACTTAGAACTTGGAGAAATGTAGCTGTCAAAGGAATAACTGGAAGCATTGGCAAAAGGTCATTCTACACATGGCTTAACTTTGTCTTCAACAGGTAAATATTATGGGCCAAAATAACTAATTACTTGTCAGCCTATACAGGTATAAAAATAAAAGCTAAGTTTTTCCATTTGTCTCATGATGTAGTCACGTGTGATATAGATCGCAACGTTTCGACTACATACTGCTAGTCTTCTTCAGGTGATGAGATCGACTGGTCATGTGTGATCTTATAAAGCATGATGCTCAGCTGTGATTAGTTGTTTTTCAACAGCTCTGAATGGTGCATTTTGATCCTTGTGGTTTCACTCAGTGATTTGCTCCCTTGGTGGTCCGCTGACCACTGAGGGAGCAAATCACTGAGTGATTCATACTTTATAAGATCACGACCTCATCACCTGGGCCCAGTTGTTCGAAGGCTGATTAGCGCTAACCCAGGGTTAAATTTTAATCTAGGTTTCTATATTTCTTTGTTCAAAAGCTGTTTGAGGGTAATTTTCTTCATTTATTTTTAGAGCATTCAATCAACAAATTGAAGACAAAAAGATTTAAGCTGAATTTTTTTTTTCAAGCTTTCAGATCTTAAATCAAATTTTATACTAACCCTAGGTTATCTTAACCCAGCTTTGAACAACCCGGCCCTGAAGAAGACTAGCAGTATGCAGTCGAAATTTTGCAATCTATATCACATGTGACTACATCACGAGACAAACGAAAAAACTTAGCTTTTATTGTTATTCACCATGATGAATAACCACAACCTCTTTTATGAAATTATACAGATATGTTGACATGTTGCAGTCCCAAGAAAGTGACCCTTTAATTATGTGCTTATGTGGAGGGTCCCCAATAGGTTTTTCAGGATCTGGGATTGAGCTTATTTAAAGGCTGGGTTTCAGCTGGTTTTCAGGTACATTTTGCTGGGTTTTTTAGAATGAGAAGAGAGCTAAATGCGGAATTGTTATCATGAACAGGACATGGGAATTGGTGATTTGAGGGGCAGGATTCAGGAAATAATCACTGAAACAAACCAAGAAGGGCAAATTCCATGAAAGTCTAAAAAAGCCTAGCCCACACAATCATTTTTAGGGGATTGCATTTCACTACTCCCCACAAGCATGATTACACTAGACATGGAGATTACTCACTTAATTGTGTATCACAGAGATACACTTTGCATTATGTTAGATTATGCAAGAAACCTTGGAAATGCAGCCAAACAAGGCTTAAAGAGACAACCCATTGGGTGGCATATTATTTTACGAATTCAAATTCTTGGTATCCTGACCTGGACATGCCATGATCCTGTTGGCCATACTGATAATTCAACCATTATCACCCGTACCAATGGCACCACAGAGTGTACAGAAGGGGGGGGACTGAGTGCAAAGATTTGTTGCAGTAGTGCATCAGCACTCTGTCAGACAGGAAACAAAGATGGCAAGATCTGGAACTCTCCTGCCATACCTTGCTCAGAGAGAAATTCAGTCTTGCTGTTTTTCTCCTCAGAAGAGTGTTCTGCTTCAGAAGAAGTGTTCGCTTCATCAGCAGAATTGTGTTCAGATAGTTTTCCTTTATTTCCCTCATTATGGAACTATGGGATTGCTGTCACCTTTTGTTGTTTTATGCACTTGTTGATATCATTATTTAGTTCTTTGATACTGAGCTGTCTTTACTAATAAGTGATCAAAGTTAAATGGAAGGAAGTGGTTACCATGACTAGTGCATGTAATTGTGCAAACTTTTCCAACTTTTAAAATGAACAATATCATTATTTTGGTGAAAGTGATAAATTTATGCCTTATGGTGAGCAAAGACTACAATGGATCAATGCTGGTTGAGAAAATCACTACCCACTGAAAAGGCTCTCTTAAGTCGAGGCAATGGACTGAGAAAAAATCCATGATCAGGATCAGAATTGGCCGGTATAAACCATAAGGATTATGGGATTGATAGAAAATTCTAGTCAGAATTACCAGATTGAAGAACCCTATTGTGGACCCTCTTTCCGTACTTGCAAAAATATTTCAGATTAAGATTTAAATGAGTTTGATGTCTCAATTTTCTTATTGTACTCTTGAAGCTTTAAAACTTAAGACTGAGTTGCTAAGGAAAAAGCTTCAACCATCTAGAAATAATACTGTGTAACTTGTTAATCTCTTCCAGAGTTGATGAAGAACGAATTAAAGAATTTGGAGCTGACAGGTACTGTAAGCAATAAAATTCATTTTATGGGACTGGGAACAGATTCTACTGGCAAACTTGATCCCTTAGAAATGTTATCCCTACTAATTTTATGAACTGGAGTGTAATAGATATTAATACCTTAAAAGATCAGAAGTGATTTTGTTTAAGTTGTTGCAAATGTCATGGGAATCTAAGAAGTTGATTATATCAGAAAAGATTGATTAAGGGTTAGATACTAAATAGATACATGTGACTTAACAGCAAATAAATGCATGAATTAGTTGTAGAATGAGTGACAAGCTTTTGGTGAGTGTAGTAGAAGGATATCAAGTTCACTACACAGGTAGCAAGGGGATGTGGGTGTAATTCTATCAAGCTATACCCTGAAGAATTCAACCCTGGTGAACTTCACTTTCACATAAACACAGAAACAGATTTTTAAAATACTTAATAATAATTCTTTATTTATATTGTACTATTTCCATCACTATCCAATAGCACTTTACAATGACTGAAATAAATATAAAGTGCTTGAAAATCCCAAATGGCAGGAGGCAGACCAGTTGGCTATTTACACAGTGCAGCCGAGGAGTTAGACTTGGGGTGACTGTGAACAATTCCAGTGAATGGCAGGATGGAGGACTTGAACCTGGTACCACCAGATTACAAGTCTAACACCCTATCCACTTGGTCACACCACCTCCTATTTTGCATATAGAAATGTTATGTGGTAATTTTATTATTGTTGAAACTGAGTACAATATTTTCAAAAACCTGTGCTTGAGTCACTACTATAGAAATCAGCACACTTTGATTTACCCTGTGCTTAAGACACTTTTAAGTATAGCAGTAAATTTATTTAAGTAAATAGAATAAGAAAGATGACAATTTTGGCCTTGGTTGTGGAATAAACAGTGGTGTTACATGTATTTGTTTCCTCATGGCTGTGGACAAAGAAAAAAAAAAGCTCTCCACAAGCAAGCAAACCTCAAATCTGAGGTTGGATCTTGTAGGAGACTTTACCCATGCTCATAACAGAAAAAAGTACATCTTCTAGACATCTCAGCTCAATTTTTTTCAAAGGTACCATTTGGTAATTTAAAATCACAAAGACTTCTGTTCAGCTGAACCATAATGCTGTCAGGAAAAAAAAAACTCTTGGAAACTCGTTGTGAATATTACTGTGATTACTACTGTTTTTCCCTCCAACAGTACAAAAATAACACCACCAAAAGAGGGCACTTTACATTTACAGTACTTACAAACAGTACAAAACTAAGTTAATACAACCCCACCAAAAGAGGACACCTACTTACAGTACTTACAAACAGCACAAAACTAACTTGGTAAAACCCCACCAAAAGAGGGCACCTATTTTCATGATGTTACACAGTAATGACATGTCACAAGTTACTAACACTTGTATCACTTAATGAAGTACTCCTTTGTTTAACAAAGCAGGGAATCAATTCAAATTAACCCCAGTTTACAGTGCTGGGACACGTGCCATCTTTACCTCAATGTCTTGTAGTAGTTTCTTCACCTTTTGTGCTGGTATAACATTGATAAAGTTAAAAGGTGAATGTGTTGAAGTCAAGGCATAGTGCAGTTTAAATACAAGTTTTATCAATGGTTTTATGAATTTCAGAACCATTTGGAGAAAAAGATTATTTGCTTGCATATTCATATTTTCCATGAAATTTCTTTCATTTTCTTCAAAAATGTCTTGTTTGTGTATTTCTTTGACGACACCGAGAACCACTATCTGACCCTTGATCCTACGCATAACTGGACCACCTGAGCAACCAGGCCTGAGTGCACAATTTAATGTCACCAGTGGCTCTTTATAGAGTTCTTTCTTGTACCCAGCCACCTTTCCCTCCACAAAAAGTGCTGTTTCTCCCATATGGGTAGGTGGGTAGCCAAAACAAAAAACTGACTGACCTATTAGTAAGTCTACACCACACAAATTAAATGAGCGAATTTCAATGTCATTCAAGTTAAGACTGGGGCAGTTTAGTAAAGCTAAATCATTTTTATCATCAACAAAAACAACTTCAGTGGGCAGGCAGTGAATGAGTTCATTAGAAACGAAGAGTCCGTACCTCTCTTTATCATTAAGATATCTTCGGATCACGTGTTCATTAGTAATAGTCAAACCATTGCCGATGAGAAACCCAGTTCCATAGCTCATCGTTACCAATTTGATGGTTTCTTCATATTCCGTCAGAATGCCAGCCCTTTGATCATCAACGTTTTTCCTCTTTTCGTCTTCGCCTTGTCCCGGTTTTGGGTATTTGTCAAGCAGCTTTTTCTCATCAAAATTATCAATAGCAGACTTTATGTCAAAAATATTGAAAGTGGCCTCTCGGCTGTTTCGTATATTAGGAAAGATATCAGTATCTTCTCTTAGAGTACCAGCAAAACAGTCTCTTACCCGACGTTCAGCATCACTGCGGGAATATTTACGTTGCCTACAAGGGTTTTCTTTGGCATCCTGGTACTCTCTCGTAAGTTCCTCCCAGTTTGCCTCGATTGCATTCTTTAATTCTTTGGATCCATCCCCTTTATCTTCTGGATATTTGAGTAGTAGCCCTTCGTTATCAATCGCTCTGATGGCGTTAAAAATGTCATTGATAGAGTAACTCTCTCCAACCTTGTGTTTCAGTAGCCCTACATCACCGGCAAAGTTTCCAGCGAAGCAATCCCTAACTCTTCGCTGCGCTATAATCCAAGAATACTTGCGTTGTCCATCAGGGTTAACTTCGGCTTCCTCAATCTCTCTGGAGACATTAGCTCTTCGTTTTTCGATAGTTGCAACAGAATTTTCTCTTCCTGGGTTCTCCTTGTTAAGATATTTTTCGACGTACTTCATCTTGTCAAAATGAAGAAGGGCTTGATGAATTACACTGATGTAATATCCTTTTATCTCCGAAATATTATGTCCATTACGAACATCATAGATCTTGAGTGGGTCAAATAGAAGCCACGATTCAAATCCGCGTGGAAAAACACCTCCGTAACAACCCCTCAATCGTCCAAGAGCAGTCTTTCTATCGTATTCTTGAAGTTTTTCAATGCTACAGGTCTGAACCTTAACACAAGCGTTCAAAACTTTACGTCCATCGTTGCCAAGTACATCTCCGCTGTCCATGGCTCGAAGTTTCAAACCTTTCGTGAGTTTCCCCGTTTACGAATCTTTACGATGTAGTTTCACTTTCACCTAAGTAAGAGTTAGATCTGAGTTGGACAATTCGCGTGTCACCTGACGTTATTAGGCCGCACCCTTTCTTTTAAAAAGAGGACATGCGCAGCATTTACCCAGTTCCATGCGAGTGCCGTGTAAGCGTTTGTGGTAAACCGTGACATTTCACGTAAAATTTACAGATACATAGAAATTAAAGGTAATAGATATCGGTAAAAATGGTTTTTAGCTGATGATTCGCTTATTTGTTTTGAACTTAACCAAAAAGTTTACGTAGTTTTCGAACACTATGATCCTAAAGTTGCGATCCTTCATCAAATTTAATGGGCATACCTCGTAAGGTTGCCTTATTTACTGTTAAATTATCTCTCGTTTTTATTTTATTGTAGTTATTGAGAGCGAATGGATCTGTCAATTATTAAGAATCTAACGACAAATAAAGATGACAGATCAGTAGAAAGGCATTTGCGTCACAGCCAGTTGATCTGACATAATTTCTCTCAGAGGTCATGAATTAATTTGTAATTCCAAACTTTCGTAAGCCCTCGTTTTCAATAAATGGACGTCTGATATTTGCATGAGACAGATAAGAAATTTTCTAATTTCAGGTTTGTAATGCTAGTAGTAGAAGATTTTTCACGAATCGTATCCTTTCCAGTTAGCTAAAGAATGCTGTTTCATTTGCAAATTCTAAGTTTTGATGAGTGTTTTAACAGTAATTTTAGTGCAGTGGGTATTTGCTTCATGGCTCCACTTGGAAACAAACATTCACTACTTAATTGTTGCTGTTTTAGGGTAGCAGCTGAATGGATACTACGTTGTGGAGGAGCTGTCAAATTTAAGAATTTTGAAAAATGGATTCAGAACTATAATGCCATACCAGATGGGCCCAAGGGGAAGTTTTTTCTTGAAGCAATCAGTGCTAAAGGAATAAGTGTAACCACTGGAGGTCTTCAGCACCTTGGTATAACTTGTATATCAATTCAACCCCTTTAATTTGTTAACCTTTTCACCCCTAAGGGTGATTGGTATCTAACTTCTCCTTACAATATCTCCCATAAATATCACATTAAGGTCATGAGAATAAAGGATATGATCACCAACTGAAGAAGCTCAAAATTGTTGATTAATTTCTCCAAGTGAGCACCTTAGAAAATGTATAAAGAACTGTATGGAGAATATGTACACTGATGTTAGGATGTAAAGGGTTAATCTTAAAAGCCTAGTGGCTATTATTGCCACAGAGGCTTTATCTTAGTCTCAGGAATATGAAGCTAACAGGAACATGGCTGCTCTTTTTCACAAGGGTGGGAATCCACTGCAGGTTATTCTTGGCAGTTGGTAAAATTTCTACTATCAGTAGTTTGCTAATGCCCATTTGTACTTCTAAACTGGCTGAAGAACTGTGAGGATGAAGTCTCTTACACGAGAATGCATCTGAAGTGCAGACCTCATGCTAACCACTAATTCACCATGTTTCCAAATTGTTTTCCTTTGTTAAAATTACAATTGACATCAAGTAACTGTCTCAGGCTGCTTTTTTTCCCTCATCTCATTACCTCTTCTTTCATGGTCTCCTCATCGATTTTTCCTCAATTTTCTTGTGTTCTTTTCTTTCTTTAAGAGCATGCTTGCATCATCATCATCATTATTATTACCTCTTTCAGATGGATTGCAGCATCTAAGACTTCTGAATGTTAACAGCTGTGTGTATGTAACCAACATGAACAAACTTCTTCCTGTGAAAGAAAGTTTGGAAGAGCTGGACATTGGGAACTGTGTTGCCATATCAGATATATCACCACTCTTTGAACTAAAGTAAGTGAAGGTTATTCTTATCAGTCACAGACTTAATTTTAAATCCTTTGCTAGGTATGTGAGAATCAATGGATATCCAAAGACAATTGTGGTGGGCAGGGCTCCATGATATTATTCAGTTACAAGAAGGGTTATGGTGCACAAAATCTTTGAGGGTACTTACACCTCAAGATAAAAAAATGCAAGACTTAGCTAATAGCAAATCAAAATAAATTTATTTTTTGCTCTCTTCGTAGTGCATCAACAGTAGGTACCAGAAGATTATTTTTAGTAGAATAATACTGTATTTTATTCTTACTATTTTTTTCCTTCCTACTCAACTTATCCTGCTACCTCTATTCTAATTTTTTTAAAATTTTCTGTTTAGAAAATTGAGAAAACTTGTCCTCACTAACACACCAAAGATTAAACAAAGAGAGGAAACCATTGCATCTTTACAGAAGAGACTGCCTGACTGTGTCATTGAAGAATAAATTTTAACAAATTTAACCCCCATTTAGCAATTCAGGGTGTGAAAGAACTGCTGAGAATGATATCAAGAAGTAAGGACATTATGAAAGACATCAAAAGAAAACAAGAATAAGAAGAGAGATGTATTGAAACTCAAAGAAACCTCTCACTTACGGTCAGCCTCTCTCTCCAACCTGGCTGTCACATGAATCAAAAGAAGTACACCAAAAATTGATAAATTGGCACAAAGCAAACTTTCCTAAACTTCCTTTAGCACCAACAAACCTAACTTGAATAGAGAGGCTCTTTTACTCATTACCACATTGTATGACTGTGTAACTGTTATCACAAAATAGACACAACTTGTGATGAAAGTCAGCTTTTATTCTTGACTAATAAAAATACTTTTTTGTTATGTACATTTAGATGAAGCTCCATCCAAATAATTCATTATGTTTCCCTTCAAACTTACTAAACACTTATCCAAAATTCTTTTCAATCACAAGTATGTTAATGTTCATACTTCTAATCTTCATATCTATTAGATTTGTCCTCATTTTTATAGACTTTTAATGCATTTTGTTTAATACTAACCTGGGAGCCCTTAAGAGGCTCTGTGTTCCACTGAGATTCACTTATGGAGTGAGTGAATAATAATTAAAAACTATTATTAAATAAATATTAATTTAGAACACTTCTGAGCACAAGTGAGAGAGAGAGAAATACTATAATAGCATTCTTGAGAAAATTGAACTCGACAATTTTTTGGAACAATTTTATCCTAAGGAAGGTGTAGACATTCATGTCAATACCAAAAGTATTTCTTTCCATTTACTCAACATGCTCTTATGTTCCTAAAATTTTCTTCCTTAGCTTTTCCCTAATGTGCAATGTTCTTTCAGTGTCCTTAAGATCCAAGATCTCCTTCATGGTTAAGTACTTTTCCACAGGCATAATGTTTCCTCTGTCAATTTTTGTTCCATTCTTCAAAGTATCCAGTATCTTTATTGCATAAGAAACAGACTTAATACAGATTTTAAACACTGGAGACAGCTCCATGTGCCATAGGCTAATCATACTCAAGTTTGGAATTCTGCAATAAAAATAGTAATAACAAAAAAAGAAATTGAATGATGATGAACTACAAGTTTATTAGATCATAGAGAAATGACTCTCCAAGAACCAAACTATTTTGTAAAGAATAAACCCTCAAGAAAGTAATTCTGGATTTTTCAACAAGAACCAGTGATTTAACAGTCAGCAAATACATGCTAATACACAAAAATATAAGCAATTACATGTTGATGACTTAACACAGCTTGGAGAATTAAGGTGGCTCAAATTGGTTTCACCATAGGATAGTTCTTGTAGCTTTTCACACCACTTTTTTCCTAAGAAATGATATCAATGAAAATAATAGCCAAGTAATTAGTCAAAAGCTGTGATCATTTTATTGATATTGAAAGGTTGTGACAGCAGCACAATGGCCTCTTTGAAACACCCCTGGTTTCGACTGCTTGAATGAAAAACAGGTTGAACAGCCCCAATCTTTAATCATGAATTTCCAAGATTTACATTTCAAAATTTATGCAGTTTAGAGCAGTTCTTAAGTGTTTGAAAGCAATGTCAAGGTACACATCAAAAAGTATGGTTACCTTAGTATCATCTTAGTATTCCATCAAAGAATTGGTGTTTGTTTGTCAAAAAAAGGATTGAAACCATTTTTAGCCACCCTAAACAGATGCTAACATTTTGTAATCATTGAGAACAAATACACCATGGGTCATACCAAATGAATATGAATTGGAGATGGTGAGCCAAAGCTGTGAAGCCTGGTTTAGTGAACGACCAACCTCCTTTACTGTTAAACACCACTAGGATATCTGAAGCAGCCACAAAAATGCCTGGCTTCATTAGTCGTGGAAACTCAATAAACATAAGCTGAAGTTCTAATATTTTCTAAAGTGGTTCACTTGCCAAAGCAATATGAAAGGAGGAAATTTCCATCTATTATATCTTTTGGGAAACTTTTACTCCTCAATATAGTTTGAATTATGAAGATTTGGTCCTGTATCAAGACTTCACCTCATAGCTGAAAAGGTTCTATATTTCCATCAATCTTTTACTAGTACCGATATTTTAAGAAGTTGCATCTTTTTTCACTTTTGGAAGTTGACAATTCAAATGATGAGCACTTTGATCAAGTTCCATAAAAATTGAGATGACATTCTTTTGTTCTAAATCAGTTCTTTTCCTTTGTAGCTCTGAAGTATTTTACAATTAAAAGGGAGGGAGTTTCATACTGAATGCCCCAAGTGAGACCAAAGGGTATCACATCACCCCTACCCTGAGGTCAGCTAAGAAGTATCATTCCCTCTCCCCCCAACAGAAAAAACGTTTTTTTTTTTTATTTTTTGTAGAAGATTTTAGATAACATAATCATAACCATCCAGAGAAGAATACCTCTTACTTCCATTGAAAACTGATGATAAAAAAAAGCAGTTTGCAATCACTCTCACATAATCATTTTCTAACATTTTCCTTATTTTCATATTTCAACAATATTTAAAATTAAAGATTTATTTAAAAAAAAGGACAAAGTAGTCTTTTATAACATGAAAATGTTTGTAAAAATTTCTAGAAAATTGTTCAGCATCAAAGGCTATTCTTAAGCTTTCTCCCTGGAAAAAAAAAGCAGCATTTGGTTTTCTAACATCAGTCAACTCATTCATTCTTTTAAACAATGTTATAACTCAGCACTTTACCCTTCAACTCTCAGAAGAGTTAAGATACAACTTCTCCCCATAAAATCCATACATTGTCCAGCAAACAGATGGTAAGAATACTCAAATTTATTAGGTAGAAGTTGTTATCTTGAACTCACTCCAAATTCTTGTAACTAATTTACAAAGGGAGAGTTTGCAATCAGATCTTGGGATTTAGATGGTCAAACATATAGCTGGTCTTTAGTCTTTTCACTACCTTCCATGGTAAATTCATCACATGGGCACCCAAACCTTCTCTTGTAATCATTTATCAGCTAATAGGGCAGATATCAGTTGAAGTATTAATTTTTGTTTTATTTTGGGTGTTATTTAATTCTAATAATAAATTCCTTTCTTTTGTGGCAGCCCCTTGCACACCTTGCCCACACAGATAAATCTTGTTGTGTTTGATTTAACTGAGCCTACAGAATTCAATAGATTCACTTCAAGTTTAGTAAATAGTTATCCTAAATCATCATTCAATGTTAGATAAGTTACTAAGGGTTCATATCTAAGAATTTCCTCCTCTTAAGTAACTTTATATACATAAGTATATAAAACAAAACATTCTGCCTCCAATGTTCCATGGTTTCATTTGGCAGTTCGTGCATTATGCTTTCATGCATGCATAGTTGAGAGATTGGAAGCAGGAAGCCTTCAAATTTATAATTAAGTGGTCACGAAAATTAACCAAAATGCAAAGGTGAGGTGAGGTAGTTTTATCTAAAAGTCCCAACACATTTAAACTTCTTTATAAATTAAGAAATAATATGCAAACCACAATACTTATACTTAAAGTAACAAGTTAAAATGTTGGATTACTTAATGGAGTCTACAATTCCTCCTGGACAGGTTGGGTCAACGTTATTGCGCTGTACAAAATTGGACACTAATTGAGCAGGTAAAACATTACCGAAATTGAATTGGAAATGTAATCCCGTCATTAAATCTTCCACTTCTTCTATTTGTTCTGGAGTTAAGAAGTATTTGATGTGCTGTTCTTTCACAACTCCAACCACCTTTAATTGACCATCTTTCCGACGCAACACTGGGCTGCCTGAATTACCACGGCTGATTGAACAATTTATAATGGCTAATTGAGGTCCATACAGTTTTTTAATTTCACCAGAGACTCTGCCCTCCACAAAAAGAGCCTTTTTCCCCGTATAGTGAATGGGGTAGCCGAAGCAGAAAACTTTCTGGCCGGTTAGCAATGGCTCATTGGACAACTGCAATGGACGTATTTCTGAAATTTTCTTCCAGAACAGTTTCGAACAATTCAGAGAAGCAAGATCATTCTGAGGATCCCAGTCCGCAACTTTGCAGGGTACATACACTCCATCGATGACTTCATTAGAGATATAGATTCTGTACTTCGCTGGTTTACCAAGATAATCCTCAATCACATGTTTGTTGGTGACGATAGTACCATCTTCGATTATAAACCCTGAGCCGTAACTCACTTCAGTCTCTGAGATGGCCTTTTCATATTCAGCCTGAATTGAATCCCTTGCATCGTCAACATCGTCGAGTTTTTCTCCTTCTCGGTACTTTTCAATTAACTTTTTGTTATCGAAATTGTCAATAGCATCTTTGATTTCAGAGATGTTATAGGTATTTTTTTGCACTGGAAAAATATCAGTATCCCCTGAAACGGTTCCAGCGAAACAATCTCTTAATCGACGTTCAGCCTGACTGTGGGAATATTCACGTTGTACAAATGGCTTTTCTTTGGCTTCGTTTTCCTCTTTGATAAGCTTTTCCCTATTTCCATCGATCAAAGTTTTTAACTCTTCAGAGCCAGGCCCTTCGTCCTCTGGATAGGTGAGAAGGTTTCCACATTTATCAATGTCCTGAAAGGTGTCGTAAACTTCAGTGATCGTGTACATTTGTCCGGCCGGCTTGTGATTTAGAAGCCCTCTATCTCCAGCAAAGTTCCCAGAAAAGCAATCCCTCACTCTGCGCTGCGCGACAATCCAGGAATATTCACGTTGTGCATCGGGGTAACGTCGGGCCTCCGCGAGCTCTTTGTCGACATCGGCTCTTCGCTTGTCGATTAATTCCTTCAATTCTTTATACGTTGGACCATCAGATTCTTCCGGGTATTTGGCAACGTAACTGATTTGATCAAAAGAAAAAAGCGCCTCGTGAATTGTAATAATGTTGTATGTTCTCTTCATTTTCGAAATATTATGTCCTTCACGTGAATCAAACAGTGCGAGCGGATCGAAGAAAAGCCATGAGCTAAATCCTTGAGGAAAGCTTCCTCGATAACAAGTTTCTAATTTTTCCAGAGCTTTATCTCGATCATATTTCTCTAGGCTTTCTTGTTCTGAATCAAGGCTGCAGATATGCACCTTGACACATGAATGAATAGCCTCTCTTCCATCATCACCAAGCACATCGTCGTCAGCCATATTTTGAAGTTGCACTGATTTTGAATCTTTGGGACTCTTGATTCCCTTTTTTTCACGTTCACCGCTGACGCATGTGATCTTCCCGTGGGGAAATTATTAATAGAGTGCTTTATATGGAAAGCCATATAATAATTCTCTCTGTCGAGAAATATTTGTGGTAAGTCCGGAAATATTTTTAAGGACCGAGAAAGCTTTTTCATAGGTCTATTTCGACTTCCGGTGCTAGCGTTGCCGTTCTCCCCATCAAGTTCAGTGGGCCCGGTTGTTCAAAACTGCGATTAGCGCTAATCCACGATTAAATAGGCTAATCGCCGATTAAATTTAAGTCGCCGATTAGTTTCTGTTGTTCAAAGCCCGATTATTCCTAACCTTCGATCAAACCAAGGGTTAAATCTAACCCTGCTCGCTAGGTGGATTAAATCCTTAATCGGCAGATTAAAAAATAAAAATCACAACATGGCTGACTTGTTGTATGGTTGTGTTGGTGTTGATGGGCGAAGAAAAAGGAAGCAAAGAGAGTTTAGGAGCATCGGTTTCACGATAGATGGATATACAGACGAAGAATTAAGAGCAAGGTATCGCTTTGGAAAGGAGTTGTGTGTGTTTGCTTATTAACTCGTCGGGCTTCTCAGCAACAGAATTAGGGGTCTCATCGGCAGAGGCCTCGCTCGACACCACCTCGAGGACAAGAGTTTCTGAACCTACGGACCAGCCAGTCTTATTAGATAACGAAGCACCACAATCTGTTGAAATGCAGTGTTTTGAACTGCACTTGACTGCCTTTCTAAAAGGTTAATTGATTAGAGTTGGCCGAAGATTGTATTTGAAGCCGAGATGAGAAGAGTGGGCCGAGGCAGACTTTTCAGCGCCATTTGTTTTTTTGTTTACATGGGAGTACATGTAAAAGAAAATAAGAAAGAAACAAAAGTCTAAAGTCCGTTAATTTTCACTTTGCTTTGTGTTTGTTAGCGAAGTATACATTTTATGCAAGGTATGGACATTGAGAGGTATTACAATAATGTTTCCATTTATAAACTTACCTGTTTCAAACCCCTGTAACCCAGTAAATGACGGTGTGTCACTGAACATGTTTATTATTTTTAAACTGGCTTCTGATGGGTTCGGGGGAGCAGGGCCACCACCTGTCTTCTTCAGTTCACTTTTAAAGGAACTGAATTCTCTTTTTGCGTGACTCTGGAGGTTTTTCCACTTGTCTCGTACTTCCTGCGTTGATCTTGCTGTCACACCGACGGCGTTTACCGCCTCCGAGATTTCTTCCCAAATCTTGTTTTTTTTTTCATTTGTTATACTGTTGGTAAATTTACTTTGAAGAATGTCCATATTTTCTTCAAATTTTTCCGTTAAAACGGAAATTTCAGCGGGTGAAAAGTTTGCTTTCCGCACTTTCTTCGCTGGGGAAGCCATATTGACAAAAATAAATTTCCGGCAATTTTATGACGTAAACTGGCACAAAATAAATTATAATTAATTAATATAATTCATTTTATGCTTAATCGCGGATTAGTAAATCGACCGAGTAATCTCCCTTTGAACAACCGTTTTTTAACCAACGATTAACTAACCCACGATTAAGAAATTTAATCGCCGATTAGGCCTAATCGGTGATTAGTTTAATCGCGGTTTTGAACAACCTCAGGGCCCGGTTGTTCAAAACCGCGATTAAACTAATCACCGATTAGGCCTAATCGGCGATTAAATTTCTCAATCGTGGGTTAGTTAGTCGTCGGTTAAAAAACGGTTGTTCAAAGGGAGATTACTCGGTCGATTTACTAATCCGCGATTAAGCATAAAATGAATTATATTAATTAATTATAATTTATTTTGTGCCAGTTTACGTCATAAAATTGCCGGAAATTTATTTTTGTCAATATGGCTTCTCCGGCGAAGAAAGTGCGGAAAGCAAACTTTTCACCCGCTGAAATTTCCGTTTTAACGGAAAAATTTGAAGAAAATATGGACATTCTTCAAAGTAAATTTACCAACAGTATAACAAATGCAAAAAAAAAACAAGATTTGGGAAGAAATCTCGGAGGCGGTAAACGCCGTCGGTGTGACAGCAAGATCAACGCAGGAAGTACGAGACAAGTGGAAAAACCTCCAGAGTCACGCAAAAAGAGAATTCAGTTCCTTTAAAAGTGAATAGAAGAAGACAGGTGGTGGCCCTGCTCCCCCGAACCCATCAGAAGCCAGTTTAAAAATAATAAACATATTCAGTGACACTCCGTCATTTACTGGGTTACAGGGGTTTGAAACAGGTAAGTTTATAAATGGAAACATTATTGTAATACCTCTCAATGTCCATACCTTGCATAAAATGCATACTTCAGACTAACAAACACAAAGCAAAGTGAAAATTAACGGACTTTAGACTTTTGTTTCTTTCTTATTTTCTTTTACATGTACTCCCACGTAAACAAAAAAACAAATGGCGCCCGAAAAGTCTGCCTTGCTCTTAATTCTTCGTCTGTATATCCATCTATCGTGAAACCGATGCTCCTTAACTCTCTTTGCTTCCTTTTTCTTCGCCCATCAACACCAACACAACCATACAACAAGTCAGCCATGTTGTGATTTTTATTTTTTAATCTGCCGATTAAGGATTTAATCCACCTAGCGAGCAGGGTTAGATTTAACCCTTGGTTTGATCGAAGGTTAGGAATAATCGGGCTTTGAACAACAGAAACTAATCGGCGACTTAAATTTAATCGGCGATTAGCCTATTTAATCGTGGATTAGCGCTAATCGCAGTTTTGAACAACCGGGCCCAGGACGTCATTACGCTAGTTTTCCTGTCGTGACCAAAACGTCTAGGATTTGCGTTAATTGTGCACTTATAAACGAGATAATGCTGGTTGGAATGATTTCAGAACTCATTTCCAGGATAATCAGGTTCCTTTCTTTGTTTTATTCGGTGAATTTGTGAAAGTTTACCGCTACATTTATTCTGGATTCCCGAAAGGAAACACGATCGTCAGCAAGCGATCCAAGATTTTAGGGCTCAGTTACCTTTTGTAATTGAGCGTGGCTTTAAGCAACGTAAGGGCTTTTCTTTGATACATTTCTTAAACCATGTATGAAAACTCTAAGAACGGGTGCTGTTAATTTTATCGTGAATTAATTCATCAATAAATTAAACTTGCTTCATGTTGAAGTTTATCAAAATGAAACAACACGAAGGCTACCTGCTATATTATTCAGTGTTATTTGTTCTCATTGTTGTTTTAACCGTGATTAAAAAGTGTTCTGCGAATTGAAGTCAGAGATAAAAAAAATTAAGAATAGCTCAGGTTTGCACTTTTTTATGTCTTTAGTTTTGATCAGCGCCGGTGAAAACTTAGACAAGAAAGACATCTGCGAAAGAAAATAACAATCAACTTGATTTCGGCACGGCTTTCTAAATCTATTAATTTGATTCAGTCTTGAACGACTTTATTCGTTAAAAAAATTAAATTAAACAAAAACAAAATAAAACAGGAACGAAGTCTGATTCCTCAGTCTAACCGTTTCGTTGGTGACTAGTTTGAGTGCATTTCATTCGTTCATGGTTAAACGGGAACTCATTGTAAACAACTCCATCGTTAGGTCGCTCGATCTCTACATGTTTACGCCATAACTCCGGATAACTCCGCACAAAATGCATTGCAACTCTAACAAAGTGGTGCTTAAAAGAGGTGTACTGTCATGATTGAGAAGAATATTCAGTAAACAAGGGAAAAAGCGGCGACGATTTCAATTCCAAATTATATTTTACAAAATTATGAAGAAAAACGAGTAGTGCTGAAATCTAGAAGCACGAAACGAAATGACAGCGATACAAATCATAGAAAAAAAAATATTTAGTGGGCTTCAAAATTTGATAGATGAATCTGCGGACTCGAGACTTAACTGGAATGAAATAATTTTAAAGTTTAATCGCCCATTTGGATTCATATCAACAACTCACTTGTAGTAAACTATCCTCGGTTTGTGCTTGTTACACTCTCAAAGAGGATAATTTCGTTGTCCTTCAAGTGGTCTATGAAACCGAAAATTCAAAGCTGATAATGATCCTAAAGAGCCAAGGTTAGGATATTTAAGAACAAATATAACGTGGACGGTTCGTTGATAAGACTGCTAAGTCACTTTTCAACACAACGCGACGGCGTTCTCGATCCAGTTTTTTCTCGGCATTTTTGCTGCGCGCGCCGTTCTGAAATGACGTTCCCGTCTTCTTGCTACCACTCTATTACATCACTGGCGACGAGCGGGGAAGGAAGAAATGATCGAAATACGAATGGTCAGCGGGGAAACAAGGTTAATAGTTCATATAGAGACATATCAGTTGTAGTTGCGGAAAACAATGGTGTTGTAAAGCCGAAATGTCAACAGGAAACTTCGCTAAACTAGACCCTGTAAGCAGGGTAACTGGGATACCTGGATGGTACTGGATCCTTGAAATCAAGTGTAGTGATACTACGGGTGTCGGACAAGTATAAGGAAATAGGGAGCTCAAGCCTGGCCAAGGGCATACACCTATTTCAAAACATAGGCATGCTCTACATGCAAGAGTTGTTTTTTGTAGGGTGGGTGAACTGTAGGTGGTCTACATTCTTATAAAAGGAAAGAAGAGTATTAACGCGAAAAAGAACGATAATGTCGAATTACCTCACACGCAGGTATTTTGTGGTAGATTATATGTGTTGTGCGAATAAATGTAACCAAAAATAAACTGTATTGGTATCACGGATACCTGTTAGTACAAAATGCAGACAGCAGACTACAGACCAGATACAAAATATAGACTGGAGACTGCAGAGTGGGTTCAAAATGCAGACTGAGAATCTGAAGAGTTTTTACGTCTGGGATAACATGTCATCTTACAGCTTACCGAGCGTCACGCAATCACTTTTCCGCGATCAGCCTTCACGATTATTTGCACTATTGTGGAAAATTCCTGGTCCATTTCTTAATGAAAATCGATCGTAATATAATTTCAAGCA